ATCGTTCCGTTCCATTGGCGAAATCCTGGCTACGCCACTGACCGTGTAAGGAAAAAAAAAAACGCGCCGCTCTTTGAGATTCTTTGGATGTCATGAGATAGCAGATGGCACGAGTGGGGTTTTTTTTTTTCAACGACTTCTACATGAACACCCTAATTCTTGTTCAGTTTTTCTCCAGCCATTTTAGCGTATGCGCATTCGCGTAGCGAAAACGCGAAGGCAACTCGATTTTTATTTTGCGTGAGGAAATGTATCGGCGGGAGAGTGGTTGGTACGCGCGGAGCGTATCAATCTCGGGCCAGAGCTACACCGTCTGCTCATGAAAATGCTACTTGCGAAAGGATGGGTGGGGCAAGAATTTTGCAAAAATTTCCTGGTAAGGGATGAAAGAAATATAGGCCTATCGTTAAGGTACTGATACACAAGCTTTGAAAAATCGATGCATTTGAGAATACGAGAAGGAGCAAAAGACTTAAACTATACAGAACTGAAAGAAACAGTGTTTATGTGGAAGAAGTCATTATTTCTTAAGATGCTAATCCTGGGATACAAAATTCCCATCTGTCAATTGCTAAACGTAATGATGAGTTAGAGATTGCTCAACAGATTCTGATGTACAAAGGAAAAAACCCTTGAAAAGAATTGTCATTACCAGTGAATCCTCCCGTCAGCGTACAAGTGCGAACGCAAATATAAAATTCCAGTTGTTTATGCAAAGTCACGCGTGTGTTGAAACGATTAGAGATAAACGAATAAAATTTTTCAGGTGCTCAAAGGATGCATAGGGTTTGAGGCAAATAAAAATTTCATTCTAATGTTTATTATTTTTATTTTTGGATGGGTTTGATTGTGCTATACACATATTTATGCTCTTGAATCACAAAATTGCAATTATAGTGTAAACTTTTCCTTCTGAGAATAAACAGAAACTGTGGGTGATTCATTCTTGAGGAAAATATTGAAAATCTGGTTTCTCTTTTGCCACAGGATTTAGTATGGTCACCTGATGGAGAACTAATTGCAACAGCTTTACATGCTCGTGGCATAGTGCAAGTATGGAAAATTGATGATCCATCATGGACATGCAAAATTGATGAGGGGGATTGGGGACTAACCTCTTCACACTGGTCACCTGATTCTCGACACATTCTCAATACTTCATTATTCCATGTGAGTGTTTTGCTGCCAAATTTGTGCATTTTCACAAATCACTGACAGGTTCACGACCCCCACAGCTGGAAAAGGGAGCTCATTACATCATTTAAACCAGTGATGAGCAACCTTTTTTGACTGCAGCCTGCAAGTGAACCTTTTAGGCTCCCGGCAGGCTGCATGTATATTTTTTAAATACTGAATTACAGGCTTTATGCCTGCTGAGTACCAAAATAATTATAAGCCTGGCTTAGTAAATCAGGTGCATATCATTAGCATCTATTATTTTTGGTAGATGTTAATGATATGCAAAGAACTACTTATGAATTTTTCCTCACCTTTTTACTGGGAAAAATGCAAAGCAAGCCACTTGCTCTAAGAGCAGTGATACACTGGCCAAGAAGAGAGTGAGGGGATATTTGCAGCTGTGGTGGAAATATAGCATTTATGTTTTATTTCTTGCATTCATTTCTCCTGCAGTGGGCAATGGAATCCTTGAGCCCATGTGTGCTCCACTTCAGATGGCAAATGAGAGAGAAAAAAATTCAGTTGGCAAAGTCCTGTGGGCCACACACCAGGACCTTGCAGGCCACATGCGGCCTGTGGGCCACGGGTTGCTCATTACTGATTTAAACAATCCTCATTATCTCTGGGACTATGTTTGTGACTGCTATCAGATTGTCATGGATGACTCATTCCTATGATTTCCCCATGTGTAGCCTGAAAAATTCTGATAGTGATAGGATCAAGGCACAAGATTTTGCATTTCCAGTACCAATTCCTCTCTTCTTTCATTCATCTTTTGAATGCAGTGTAATGACCTATGACACTATGCAGAAATTGCTTCTTTTTTATGCTTGAAAATTTATCTTACTAACTTCATCATCCATGCATCATTTCATCTCTTTATCCTCAGTATCAAAGGCAAAATGTCACCTGATTATGTCCTTCTTCATTCCCTCATTTTTATTTTTTGGCTTTTTCCTTTGTTTCTCTCTTTTCTCATTTTTTAACATTGAAGGTATGGTTTTTTTTTTAGTGTTTCTAATCAAAAGTAATAACTTTGAAATTTCAATAAATTCTTAGGTCATAAATTCATTTTAAAATGTATATGTCTTATGTTTTTTATGGCTTCAGAGCAGGATCTCAATTTGGTCCCTGATCAACAAGCAAATGATGTATATTGATAGTCCCAAAGAGTGTCCAGGGTGTGGTTTTGCATTCACATCATGTGGTCAGTACTTGGCTGTACCTGAAAAAAGAGGTGGAGTGGAAAGTGTCATCATCCTCTCTACATCCTCATGGCAACTTGTCACTGTAAATTATTGTTTCTATCATATTCATTCAGTTATATTTCAGAATTTCCCACCTTTTCTGCATGTCTCTTGCTTGCATCACAGAGATTTGAAACAGAAACATCAGATTTGGGTGGTCTTTGTTGGTCTCATGATGACCTCATTGTTTGCATCTGGGATGGTCCTGTACACTTCAAGGTTCTCTTCTATTTACCATTTGGTAAGCTGATGCTATTTTCCAGTGGCTTATTGGCTCATCCTCTTACTTGCTTAAGAGGCTTGCTTGCATTAATTAAGCATATAAAAGAGGAGGATAAACCATAGAATTTACAATTTTAATATTTTAAGAAAAATCATACTGAATTAGGACAGACAGGGTTATTGGGAAGGATTCTCACCTTCTACATGGCCATTATCCTGATTCCTGTAAAGACTTTGAGAATCACATTCAATTGGGACTGGGTAACATTGGTAATAAAATGAAGTTGCAGTTATAATGTTATAAAGTATATTGCTGGAGTAAAAAAAAACTAAATGAAACATTATTCCATGAGAAATTTCCTTGCTAGTACTTGAAAGTACTCTCCATGAGTTGGTGACTTGAGGTTAAGACATTTATGATTCTTCTTTTATTTTGCAATTTTTTATTTGGCATAAACTCAGTTGTGAGTATTTCTTCTAACTGTTTCCACAATTACAACTCACAATGCTTTATCATTTAACTTCTGTCAGTTGCACTTAAAATTCCAAGGGAAGAATTTTCCCTGGATCATCATTATATTGGGTGTACTGAACTCTATCTTTTGAGGATATTGGTCTTTCTCTGACAAGCCTGACAAGTGGTAATAACTGTTTTAGGACTGCAGTCCCAGAAAATCCCTTGAGTTCATATACAATGCATTCATTTCTTTTGGAGCACTCTCTATGCTCAAAATTAGCCTTTTATGATTCTAAATAAATGGCCTGAATAGGATAAGAAAATCCTTTCACCATAATGTTATGATTGGGTTTTGAAAATGCAGCAGAATTTTCAAATGGATAAATAATAGAACCTGTCCTGTAGATTTGCTCGGAACAACAAAACCCAAAATAAAATTTTTTTCTCTGTCCCTTTTTGTTATATCTTGTATTTTGCATTGTGTCTGGGTTTTTTAAAAATCTTTTTTATTTTTTATTTTGAGCACTTATAGTTTGTGTATTCTTGTATGTAGTCTTAATGAAGGCCTTTTAGGTCATTCTGAAAAATCTTTAAAATCATGTAGGATTAGGGCTGTACCAATGGCCACATTTGGCTGGTGGACCAATGGCTGATTTTTCCTCATAACCATCAGCTGGTACTGGTGCCAATTGTGACCTGTAGAAGAAATTGCCTATAAATTCAAATAGGCCTAGTTGGAAGTCATGTGATACTTATCAGTAGGTCTCCTTGAAACAATAGAGATCACTTTTGATCCTGTCCAGCCTGTTTGTCTCTCTATGAGGTTGTCAGTGGTTACCTTGCTACCCACTGCTGCAGTTGTGAGCATTTAGTGACTCATCCCTTGCAAAAGCAATGGAGATGCAATGATTTCCTGTTCTTTATTGCTTCTTTCCTCTGCCAGTTCCTATAATATGGCTGTGATATAATTTGATCAATATTTTTGTCTGGGAGAGGCTGGCAGGAGTGGCTTTATGTGAGACAGGAGGGCTGGCACACCGCATTCACACAATCATGTAATTTTTTTTTGCTTTACCCGTCCTTTGGGCACCAGCGCCATAGGCTGATGGTGCCAATAGTGCAGCACCAGCGGCTGATACTGATGTTAGCAATACATCGGTACAGCCCTTCATGGGGCATATCTCCTTCTTTTTATCTCAGTCTGTAGAAACCTAAGGCCCAAATGCACAAACTTTCTAATGGGGAAATAAAGGGGCCTTTAAACTAAAGAGTTCTTTTTTCCCCATTGGAGTCCATATATTCTTAAAGGATCTTTAACTGAAGGAAGTTTCAGCATTCAAGCCGAAGTGTCTGTCTTCCATTTCTTGATGGGAAAGGAAAAATTTATGGTTGAAAGAGAAGCACTTAATTTTCAATAATTGCTTCATCATTCCCAAAGGAATGTCTGATGTTTCCTGGAGAACATCAAATGTGTTCTGTCTCTATGAAGCTAAAAATTTACTCCAAGCTCTATGTCTATGTTGATTCACTTTCTCTCCCAGTGTTCTCAATTGTCCTTTTTGGCATGCAGGAGAACTTTTGGGCAAGTTTGAACCTTCTGAATGCAGCATTGGAATCAGCTGTGTGAGGTGGGCTCCAACTTCAGCACTTGTTGCAATTGGGAGTCATGATAATAAGGTGAGAAAGGAAGTCATCAAAAACCAAGTGAGGTAAATTGAGTTTGTGCAATGCATGCATTATGTTATCCCTTGGTTAAATTGAACCCTTTTTTCTTAACTGATCCCAAGTGTTGAGGCACATGTGGGTAAGTTTTCTGTTGTTTAAGGCTTCTCTGAATCCTGTAGATGTGGAATCTTCATTCCTGCAATAGTTTTTGCTGCCAAAGTGTTGGAAGATAGTACTTACAGAAAGTGTGATTTCTGGTTTGTTAAGTATGTTTAGTCATACAATTAAGCTACTCTTTCATAGAAGTCTTGTGTGCAATATCTATTGGCATTTTGAATGTGCCTTTGCATTATGTCAAAGAAGTAATCAATTTTTAACTGTGAACATTTAAAGGCAAGTTGATCACTTCTATTTGCTTTTGAGTCAATTCTGTCCATCCTGTCCTGCCAGAAAACCTATTACCCATTGATAATTTGAAAATTATCAGCCTGTCCTCTATCAGGGATTCATGGCCTTTTGAAATGTGATATTTGCACATGTACATAAACAATGTGACTCATTTTCCTGACTTCCCACTTATCCAAACTCCAAACAAAAAGTAAGAAATAAAATATGAGCAAAGCAAATGAAAAAGAACTGCAAAGCAATCATAGTAAAATTTATATAGAAATCTGCTTGGCAGTCTGCCAAAACAGATTGCTGAAATTTTGCTTGATGCTATTACTCTTGCATGCCTGTTCATGAAGGGTTAATCAGGAGTCCCACTGGTATGATTAGGAGAACTGGGGGCATGACAAGTGTGGGGAAGTTTGGCATTGATTAACCAAGGAGGTAGATGACCTAAGCCTTTTCCAGTCCCTTTTACTTGAATAAGCAGCATTCTACTTCTACAGTGCAGTAACAAAATTTTGCAGGCATTTAAATTTTGTTAGGCACAAAGGAAAAAAATTTTGTTTCTATCAATATATTGCATTTGATAGTTGCCTAGATAGCGAATTTTTTCATTCACAATTTTGGAAATGGCCTAATTGTAAGGTTTTGCAAAATTAAGTTAATGTTAAATATTCTCACTACACTGTATATGCCAAATTTGCAAAGCATCTTTCTTATAAGGACATCTATTTTTAAACATTATTTAGTCTTGGTTCTTTTGTAGTTAGATTGTTTGTGACTTTTTTGTGTTTGATATGTTGGCACAAAACCCAGTAAATTGCTTAATATATGGGACCTAAATTAAAAATGTATCACAATAAGAATGCTGCTCTAGGTCTAAGTTACAAATTCCTTTTCTTGGAAAGGGTTATTTGATTTTGCTTTTATTTTGAAAAAGCCATGTAAAAGTATGAATGTTAATTTTCCTGGTTTCATGGTCCCTCTTTTAAATGTGACACTAGCCTGTTTGCAGGACACATTCAGGAGTAGAGGCTAGCAGAGGGTGAACTTAGGAGTCATGAAAAACTCCATAACCACTTGGATCTTTCTATGCTACATTCTATCCACAAAAATGTTGACAGAGTGGCCAAATTCATGAAATTGTGATTCCCATGTTAGGAATGGTAAACCAACAGAATTAATGTGAGGGACTAGACCACTGATAATTATGTTACTCAGAACCTGTGTTTCTTGTCTGACAGGTTAGACTTGTAAATGGTTTGACTTTCCACATGGCCGTTTGCTGGCACACTGCCTTGGAAGAACTTGACTCAGAGGACCTTGAAGATGCTATCATCTATGAAGAAGTCCCCATCAACTCTGATTCTGAAGAATCCTCACTATTTCCAGATACTCGATGTTAGTTCCATCAGCTGCTCTTCTCCCTTCATTGTGACAGGAATGATGAATGTCTGCATCAACAGATCGTGTGGCTTCGTGGACAATTCCGGACAAAGAGGGTTGTGAATCTCCAGTGATGCCAAAAATGGGAGATATTCAACTGACATTCAGTCCTTCATCACACCACATTGCTGGACACAGCAAAGGGTCTCCCATGCATCTCTTCATCTGGGATCTCAAGAAAACATTCTCCCTCAAGGCAGTCCTCATCCAGATGAACCCTATCAAACGTAAGTTATCCATTTGATTCTTCAGGGTTTCTTACCTGATTGAGAGGAGCTTCATCAAGACTGAGAAAAGGCCTTCCACTCCCCAAATTTATCATTTATTCTTAGAGATGCTTCAAGTGATGCAATTGGGCCAAGCCTCCAAGCTACTGCTTTGTTGAAAGAGAGAGAGAGAGGTCATGCATTATGTATCTATGTCTGATTGACATTATTGAAATTAAGCTCAAGGAGAAGCTAGTCATTTCCAGTACTTTTCAGCAAAACCAGAAGGTTCAGAAACTGAAATTCAGAAGGCGGGGAAGGATGAATCTGATAACAGCACCTCTCTGTACCAGAGATTTTGAGTGGGGAAATTCAATGGGAGAAATGCATGAAAGCATGCCTGGCTAAGCATAATTCAGCTGCCCCTCTTATTGCATTCTGAAAGCAATGAAGAGTATGAGGAGACACTGAAAGGTGGGAAGTGCTTGTGCAGGCCTATGCATGCAATTCTCACCTGCAGATATTGACTAACAAACTATATTGGCCCACAAGAACATGATGAAAAAATCATTTGTTAATATGAGGTTTGACTTATAAAAATCTCCTTTCTCCTTATTAACCATATAATCTTGAGTTTTTTATTACAAAGGTATGAGTTCTACTTATTTCTTGTTATCACATATCACCACCCAGAGTAGTTGCACTGACAGAGTTGTGTCAATCATTGATTAACTGGGAGTCTCCTGTTGGGGAGAGAAAGGTATGGATAGCATGGTCTAGATCTATTGCAGTCACATAGGTTGAATAGCATGTTACATGGGTGAGAGGAGAGTGCATGTGATGCTTCCTGTTTCATTTGCAGTTGAAGTTGCATTGCATGCAACATCACTTTTAGTAGATTTTCAGCTCAATTATCTTTCAAGAGACAGGATTTGTGTCCCCCCTATTTTAAGTTGCTATGATATAGCATGAGACAAAAAAAAAGGAGAATTTTTCTTTTTGCCTTATGATGACAAGACTTTGACTTTTTTCTGTGAAGGGATACTAAGAATGAAAAAAATGGAGTACCTTTCAAAAGTGGGAGACATAAGACATAAATGGTTCTGTTATTGATCAAGTCTGGATGTATTTGCTAGAGTTTCAGGGAGATTTGTCACTTTTTTAGGCACTCTTCACAAATGATAATTCAATGTAAGGAATAGATAAGGGAGACCCAAGATGCATCTCTTGAAGAAGACATTTGCATCTTTAACTGTCATCTAACTATGGTATCTCCCCTCTCCACTTGAAAGGCACCCTGTGGCCAGTTTCAGCATAAAAGACTTTATGTATCTTGTATATATTTAGTAGTACTTTGTTTTGTTCTCAGACTTTGCCTGGGATGCACAAGAAGAATTCCTGGCTGTGTGCACTGGGAATGACAAGGTGTATATGTGGTCCCCAGAAGGGTGCCTAGCAGTGCGAGTACCTCAAGCAAACACAGAGCTGGACATCTCTCGTTTAAAGTGGCAGCCTCGCTCTGGTACCGAACCCTCTGCTCACACCAGTCTCTGTGTTGTTGGTTCCAGTCATATTTCAGTGTGCATCATGGACTCTGTTGGAGTATTGGAAAGTGCAGCTAGTGCATCATCAGAAGATTCTTCCTGTTCCCGGTGAACAATGATTACGTGTCGTAAGTATTTTCTGTCATTACATACCCTTGCGTATATCTCATGCTGCAGGAAGAAGTATGGAAAACATCATGTACCTGAATGTGTTGATGGGGAACTTCATCTTCATGTATGGAAATGGAAACTGGCTCAAAATTGTGAATATTCCTATGAGTTAATTGTTATGCAACTGCATGGCAGCATTTTTTGCAAGATGGCTAAGCATGTATGACCTACAAGACCTGTAGAACACCAAAGAGCATTGGAGAAGAAAGTCATCTTGACTTCTGTTCAGTTCTCTTGAAGGTACAACTAATTTGACAAATTTGAAAATAAAAGAAGTCCAATTGAGCCTTCACTCACTCCATGAGTTGCTGATTGGCATGCCTGATGAAATTTTTCAGATTCTATGCTGTTTCCACTTGCAATGCCAGATTAATTTTTTAATGTTTGAACACTTGAACATCACTTTTGGTAGTTGTTTTCCTTCACTCAAGGTTAAGAATTACAAAAGAAGGTTCTGCAAAAGCATATCATAATAAACTAATATAAAATTAATTCTCCTAAGACCCAAACTATATTTTATCCCCTATTGAATGCCTTTAATGTTAAAATATGCTGCTTGCAACAAACTTCCCATTAACAAAGGAATTTGCACATTCTCCTGCCTCTTCACTATTACAGGCTTTTACTATCAAAACTCATGAACCCATCCAGCCAAAGTAAAACCATGCTGAGATGAGAATGTAAGGGACCTCAGAAATTACTTCATTATATGGCAGAGGATGTTGATTTTTTAACATGAACATTCAGTCAGGGATCCAAAATAATTTAATTCTGAGGAAAACATTGTTGCATCCAAATTTGTTATGACAGGGATATACTGTAGATACTTCTGTGCATATATGCATATAGGTACTAGTCATAGCACAATGCTAATGCTAATGCTAATAATAAAAGTAAAATAATGCATACATGGAATAGTGCAAAGGTTTAGTTCCTGTGAAGGTGTTGTCTTTTTGGATTCACCACATGCATGGTGCACCACTTATCCATTCATCTAAGTAATTTTGCTTATCTACTGTGGGAAATTTCCTTTTTTTTTACTCAAGTATCTTCATGATTACCTGATACTTCATCAATATTCCATATTTTTTAGGTGGCATGGATCATGCAGGGAGACTCGGAGATAAAAATGTCTGCTCCCACTGAGAGAAGTAATGTTCTCTTTTGTGCAGGACATTTTATATTATCTTTTGGCTTTGTATTTTTTTGGATTGGAAATGAAGTCAATTGTCTTGCAAATTTACCGCATAGTGAACTGTCACACAACCATTTGTAGCCTGTTTGCCTGGAAAAATACTCTGTTTTCCTGAGTCAAAGTTCAAGGATTTGATGAAGGATGTAAAAGTTCAAGTGATGAAATGGCTTGGCCTCCTTAGGGTTGGACATATATCTTCAATCATATTCTTGGTGCAGCTGATGGAAAGACTCCATGGAGTCTTACTTTTTCAGAGCAAATCACTTTTAGGGCACATGCCAAGTACAGTTATAACCCCAGCCCACTTTATGGATGACAAATGGCCATCAGAAAGGATTAAAGTCAAAGGCGGCCTTCTGATTGCTAAAGATTTTTCATTCAAGTGGACAGATTATACCATATCCTTTAATCTGCAACAACTTGAAGTTCATGAAGTCTAATGTCTCTCCTTTTTTAATATTGTCCCGTGTCACTCTGTATGGCTACAGTATGCTCAAAATTATTTTGGATGCACTATATGTACCATTTTGAGTGGTGCCACCTGGATTTATAGGTAAGGTAGATGTCCAATCAAAATGTTAATCTTTTCAAAACAGGAATCAGGGGATTGGCTGGAAATCCATCAAATGTTATTACAGTATAATTAATTTGAGATCATGGAAGTCTCATGGTATGGAAAAATGACGCTCATATTGATTTTCTTTGCTGCCCTTATGCTGTGGCTTTCAATCGGTGTCTGAAATTTATCACCATTCTTTTTGAGTTTTTTTAATGCTAATCGACTGATTCCTCTATCTCTTCTGTGATTTGCACAATGATGTCGTAAATTCTTCACTTTCTTAACGAGAAGCTGTCAGCATTTGCGCTGTGTTGGACAACTAATGTCTAGTCACAGGCATTCGCCATGTACTCCTTCTATGTGCTCCCCATTTCAACTCGTTCAGAATCGAATTGGTTGGATGTTCCTACTTCGAATGCATCTACGATGTGTACTACGAATCGTACCCTCATCGAGTCGTCAACTTGGGAAAATCGCACTTTCTTGTTGCGCCTTGTGTCAGGTTCCTTGGCACACCTGTCGTTGCTTTACTTTTTCCACGAACGAACCCAGTGATTTTGCGAATCAAGCGAACTCGCTAAATGAGACTGAGAATGACGTCCTCGTGGGGACGTGGACTAGCCGCTGCCTTTCTTATCCCGACCGGAGTGGGAGGGCTCGATGCGAAGTGAACACCGTTCACATGCACTCCCTCTCTCGAGAACACACGAAGCCACGCGATAAGCACCCATGAGAGCCCCAGGAAAAGATAGGCTTCCTTTCGATTGTAGAGAATGCGATGAGGAAGAGAACTACAGGTTACCCCGCCCCCTGAATACTTCAACGACTGGACAAGGTGTACAGTACATCTACGCAATCGTCTCCCACTTCATGTTGCGCGTTTTCCATAAGAGAGCCAGCAAGCCGGGAATGGCTGCTACCAAGGCAGTTGTAATCGTGGAGTGCCCAATTCCGATTCCGCAGATTCATTCTACTCAAACGGAAACGAATGAAGCTCCTGGAAGAGGCGACGGAACCCCATAACAGGATGCCTGTAATGTATATGTATTTATATCAGATGACGTTGGTGTGCAGGTTGATTATAAAATTCGAATTCCTCTAGAGGGCATTATAACGCCTAAATCATAAGGTGCCATCGCACAGGTATGGCGTGTGACGCAAGGGGAATCAATTGCAGCACTCACCAAATCTTCCTGCCAACATGCCACCATTTCGCAAAAGTTGAATAGTATCCAGAAATGCCTTGGGAAAAATTAAAGAAATGCGCTATTGATACTGCTATACGGACCGGCAGTGTTGGGTGGTAACAAAGTAAAATTAGGGCGTCACAGTAACTAATTACATTTTACGGTATTTTCAGTCGTAACGAATTCCTTTACAGGGACTAGTTCTTTCAAGGAAAATCTCAGTGACGTAACGCGTTACTTTCCTGATGAACGACACTACTTCAGATGAAGGCGACGAGTGCTGTAATACAGCATTCATCCTTCCCCGCACTGAAATCATTAGCTTACGAAGCTAAAAACGCAGTTCGTCAAATACAATACAACCCAACCAACAGGTGCCACTGTGGAGAATCCGTCAGAGAATTTTAGTTACTCGTTTTTGAGGAGGACGGAGACGTGAACGAATACCAGAATGGTCGGTTCCAAGTCGACAGAACTCGTGAAAAGACACTCATATTTGTAAGTTGTTATTATTGGTGAGAAAAAAATGATGCAGGGTCCCATAAGTCTGGAACCATAGGCAGTATATTTTCTTCATATTTCAGATGGTTCAAGTTGAAGAAATGGCGCTATTTTAGGATGAGCGAGTAGAGGTTGTGTCACTGTGTACCTGGAGAACCATTAAGCACCGCCGAGTATCCAACGAATCGAACATTATTATATTTATGTTGGTAAATGTGTGTCTATGGTTCCAGACTTACGGGAAGCCCTGTAGTAGCTAATTTCTTCTGCAGTGTTTTTCACTCGATTCAGAAATTTTTTCACTCGACTTCGACACGCATGCATAAGGAACGTCCCATGCACGAGTGCCCGAGTCAAGGGAAAAATACTGTTGGATGGAATACTTGTAACTGTAGCTAAGACTGTTACCCTTTACATATAACCTGCCCAACACTGGAGACTTGTAAGCATAATGATATTGGCAGGAGTGCAGAAAGCGCATATAGTGAAGCTTTACTGCACAAATAGCATGACCTCATTATGCCATGGTTGCACCCCTACACTAGTAGCATATAACATTAAAATAACATTGATTCAATGTTGATTTAACATCCGGACGTTGAACCAACGTTGAATCAATGTTATATGCTACTAGGATAATGGCAAGATTTGGTAAGTGGTTAAATTGATTCCCCATGCTTCACTGGTCGTACCTGTGCGATGGCACCCTGCCACACCTTATAGTTTAGGCGTTATAGCCCTCTGGAGCGGGATACTTTATTCACCATGTACTACTGAGTATATGGAGTGGCGTATTTTGGCTGAAGAGGCGGGCGGGGGGCTCCACCTCCCCGTATAATACGCCACTGGTATCTATTTGGTAATACAAAATCTATTTTCTATTTTGTATTCAAGCGTAACCCGAACATACAGACTACCGACCAAACACAAGCATCCTCTCAGGCCACGTCACTCCTTATGTAATGGCGTTTCTTATCCAGGCCTAATTGATAGTGTCTAACACGAATCGTCATGGGGTCAGATTAAACCCAAATAAATGCAACATCGGGCAAATTTTGTTATTTCAACCCTTTCTTATTTCAAAAGAGGCTTGCTGGGGGTGATAATATAGGCATGATAATAGAGTTGGTGGAGATATTTGTAATGCAGTACATGGAGTGGAGCGGGAAAAAAGAGGGATGGCGTTAGTGTAAATGCATCAGCGTCATATCCTCAGCAGTGTCGACACTAGCGCCATCTCTCGATTGCATTTCTGGAAGAACTATATTTGCTGCTGTCCAGTAGGCAATAATTCCCGTCCTGTAAAGATCCCAGCAAACAAACGAACATTCAATCAGCGTTGTATGAATGTTAAATTTGAACCTTCCCACTGTTGTTGCGTTGCATCTAGCGTCATAGCGTGGAGCAAATGAGGATGATATGGTTTTAAGTTGAGCTCGTGAAGCATCCTCTGAATGCTCTTGAAATGTTAAGTTCTTGCTGAGCTCGCCTGTTGGACTTTTTTGGACTTTGGATGAAAGAAGTTTCAACAACCCGTTTTTTTTTTCTTCTGTGCAGACGGACCTTAGTCTTCCAGGTCTTGCCAAGTCATTAACTGAACCTGTGGCTTCAAAGCGCTTGATGAGGTTGGCCACCGTGTCTCGTTTTATCGACTGGTCAAACAGCGGCACTAAAACGGCGGCACGTCTCACTCTTGTTTTCCGTTTTTAAAAAGTCTTCACAATAAAGAAACGCCCTTCGTCTGTATACCGTTGGTAATTACGATGCTCCAAACTTGCAACCTTTATGATTAGTGATTCTGAAATTAAAATACAAATCAATTAATAATCAAAATAATAATAAAATTGTAGTGACTGCTGATTGTACCACTAACTGCCCTATTACTTCTGGGCCACCCTGTATATAGTATTTAAGCATGCAAGGGGTTCTCATAGGGAGGATGGGCTTGTTTATCGCCTGGGCTCCATGGTTGTCTCGAACATGGGGATAATAAATGGTTAAGTGTCCGATTTTATTGATTGTTATAATGAGACCAAGAAAAACATATGGTGAGCTACTAAACACTCCTGTAAGGGATGATTCCGTGGAAAGAGGGAAGTGAACTTTTGTATACAGTGCGAAAAGTGAGACCCATGCCTCCATCTAGTGGCCTGGAGGAGAATTTCAACATTTCCACAAAAAAACTTCTCCGTGCAACTTGGGCGCATTGGATCATCGCGTCAGTCTGATATTGGATCGATGATGGAATGGTAATATTGGGAAGTCAATATTTAACCGGTATCGGCAATAATGGCAAGATCAGGCCCGGCGCGGGAAAATGCGGGGCCCCCTGCGGCCCCCTGTGGCAAAGACATTGAGCTACCTCTGGGTTCCCGAGATTTGCCCCTCACTTCACTTTTGATCATTGAAGCTATATTAGGAAAACAAATGAAAATCACTACATTTTCATAAAGCAAGGAAAGGAGAGGAATTTGTGTAGGTTGTCCAAAGACTTAGCGTTTGTATTCTCGGAACTTTTGCCACCAGCTCATCGATCACTTTCTTGTAATTCAAGGACCTCCTGACCTCCCCCTCGATAGAGAGTATGGCTAGTCCTGTCAGGCGTTCTTGTGACATGCTTCATCTTAGATAAGTTCTAAATTGTTTCAGCCTGGAGAAGCTTCTTTCTGCAGATGCAACTCACTGGAGCTGTGAGTAACACTCCAAGAGCGATGGACACGTTAGGATGCACGGGCCTGACTACTCTTGTGAATGAATCACGGAGTTCCAAGAGCATCAAGTGACTCTGGTAGAAGCGTAGCCATTGACAAGGTCGTTGAGATGTTGAGGTTAACCCTGGCTAAAGGTGTCCAATCTTTGCACGGCTACCATCGATGATTAGGCGCCACTCGTTCATAATTAGTATTGATCGTACATATTTCAAACGCTCCGTAGATACTGCAAACTGATCTTAATATGGACACTTGTCCATATTATAAACTTGTTGAGACTTTATAAATTAATAAAGCTAAATAGCTAAAACGGCTCTTTTCCGTAAGTCAAAAGCAGTAGGCCACACTCTCATAATATCGATTGGCGCCTTGGCTTAAGGTGGCTCTATTTGCGGCATAACTGCATACACAAGTATACTTCGAATATTTGTGCATATTTCCATCCGTCCACGTTTTGTTGAATTCAAATGTAGCCACCCCCATCAATGACTCGGTAATAAATAAGCAAGACGTTTCACAACATGATCAAGGGAGACGAGCGAAGGAAAGGGATGAAAACGAGGTAGACCCTTCCATGCGGACGTCTTTCTCACCTCCTCGAAAGCCTTCAAGCGCAAGGATTTCATGCGGGAAGGAGAGAGGAATTAAAACAAAATGTTAAAAATACTTTCCATGCATTTGGTGACGGATTTCGCTCTGCTCGGCCTACTCGCCTGTCCATAGTAGGAAGACCTAGGAACATTCTCCGTCTCATTCAGAGATTGAATCTCTTTCGGAACAACTCGCAGCGTTTCAAAGTTTTCCTCTCTTTCTTTCGTTCTTCCTCTTGGGGGCTGGGGCCCCTGGATTCTGCGGGGGCCCCCTGCAGCTGCAGGGGACGCAGGGGTACTCGCGCCGACCCTGGGCAAGATATATAGACATCGTGTCCAATGTTGGTCCAGCATTGAGCCAATATCTGGTGTCAGTGCCGCCCAGAGGGGGGGGGGGAAAGGGGGCAAATGAGGCAATCTGCCCCAGGCCCCACAAATCAAAGGGTCCCAAGGGGGGCTTCCAAAGGGCCTCAAGGGGGCCCCCAAGGGGTCTCCAGTTTAGTTTTGCCTCGGGCCCCTTGAAACCTCTGGGCGGTCGTGTCTGGTGTTACTGGGGTGGTAACACTGGATAGGTTCTTGGTCGTTTCTTGAAAAAAAAATTTGTATTCCCTGTTTGGCGATGCATGCTCCATGATACTACCATAGATATTATTTTTAAAATGAAATTTAAGAAAGTATCATTGTGTTATAATATTCACGCAACGTTGGACTTTGACCTTCAACGTCAATGACAATTGACTCTAGGGGAACGTTTCCACAATGCTACCATGTTTGCTGGGATGTTACTTAATTTTGATTTAAGCTAATAAAGATTCTGGGATTTCTCTCATGAACCTGATAAAGAAAGTATTTAATGAAGAGAAGCATGAAAACTTACATTTTAATTTGTGAAGGACATGCACATTTCTTATCGCAACAGAAATTTTAAGTATCTCTTTTGGTCGGACACATCAGTCCAACTTTTTCTTAGTGTTGTAACGACTAAGTCGTGGCTCGGGTTGTGGATCTACTGCATATTGCATCTCTGCATCACTTTATGTTGATGGTGAATGTTTCGAAATAGTCTACTCTAAAGGAATCAACGAACAGTCAGGGAATCTAAAAGAATCGAGGGAGCGTGTCAGAGGCTAGCACATGCAAGAATGTGGCAACACTGGGATTTGTCAAATCCGTAGCGCATGGCACACGACTTGAAAAATGGTCGCTGAGCTTTAAGCCTCAGAGAAGACCTGAGGCAGGCACTTGAGGATGGAGGAGCACAATGAGAAAAACGCCTCACATGCACTTCTGATGTGTAATACTTCCGTCACCAGTTCAGGCTATGTGAATAAAATTAGAATGAAGGAAATATTCCGAGGTGAGTTTACCAGAATGGGCTATGACAAAAGGAACCTTGTCGAAATGAGTTTAGCTTATACTAGGCCTACGGTGGGCATAACTTAGGTCTAACGGGGTTAGATGCTACACCTGACATTAACTTGATTTTTATTTGATTTATTGACGTCGATATGGTATTCATGCCTTTCCCCCACCTAACGGAGGGCTAGCCCGTTACCCATTCTCACTATCCTTTGGCCTGAGTGCCTTCCTGCACGTTAGAAATTACATCTTTCCTGCCTAAGTAAAGGTGTGGCCCTTGGTTTCTTCATTGTTCCTTATCTAGAATCGTAAAGGGGCAGGGCAATGGCTTGGTGTGATTGAACTTGGCTAATGTGGCAGGGAATGTGGATTTAAAACCAACCAAGCCATGTGGGGTATGTATGGGGAAGGGTGGATGGTTTCCAAGGATTCCAAAGTGAATGTGTACTCAAGGGCCCTGAGCCTCTAATACCTGGTTGTAAAATATATAATTCATGGAATCATGAAATCTCAAATATACATCGTTGTCATTGTTTCAAAACTTGCAATTGTACTTTTATTTATAGTAGTGGAAGCTCTAGGATGCATTATGCTAGAATAATGGCATGTGTGTTCTTTTGCCATTCAGTTATATGGAAGACACGAAGTTCTTTGTGTACTCCCTGGCTATGTAATTGAGCATGATAATTGGTTTTTGTAGGTGATCATTATGGTTAAGGTGGGAAGAACTCTGGAAAAATTCACCAGCAATACACAATATGTGTAAGTAATCTGCAGAGGAGATGAAGTGGATATCACTCTTATGGAGTATTTAATAAGCTGATTGAAGGAAATCACTGGGAGATTTCAGCAAATATATTTGATTACTATGAAAGACTATAAATCTGCAGGATGCCAGAGGTACAAAGTGCTGTCACTTTTTTGTTAGTAACAGCTTGGATAATGATAATCAAAAGTCCCATGTGAGAACACTGGTTGTTCTTTTAATGCTTACACCCTTCTGACAGGCCTAGGCATAATATACCATTCCAAAAAAACTGAGTAGTAGCAAATCAAGCAGAACAGACCCTCCCATCTTTCCTTCACCAACCTATCCAGACTTATATGAAAGTCTTAATGGTTTACTTACAGAAGAAGAAAAGGATAGCTTTCAAATCATGTGGAATGTGCCATGATCTCAGGAAGGATTTTTGGGTGATTAAATCAATAAATAAATTCAATAATCGCCAATAGGGCATCCGTTGTACCCTAAAAATCACTTTTAGTTTGAAAAATGTTGCTTTTTGTTTTGTGCAGGGTCCTCCCTTTTCTTATTGGTATTTCATGCAAATTTTCCATTTTGTTTCGTCAGTAAATGCATGCTCTTTAATGTGCAAAAAGCAGCAAATTAATGCCTTCCTTGCTGAGTTATAGCTGTTAAAAGTCGTTCAGTGACTTTTGACTCACCCTGTATATCCCATATGTATAAGGTACAGTGTACAATTTATATGGTATGGTCATACCTACATAGTGTGGTGACATCCCAGGGATGTCCCAAGGCCTTTATGGGATATTTTAAGGACATCTTCAGTTCAATAGTTTCTGACATCTTGAAAGTGATGTCTTCAGGACTTCATAGAGATGTCTTTTAGACATCTTCATTCGAAGAACACCATATGGAACAACCCTTAAAAAATAAAGGGTTGTCCTGTATGGCAGGAAATGAGTCTGTTTCAGAAAGAAAGACACCCAGATATTTTGATATTGTTGAGATGCCCCTAGTAGTTATCTGTGGAAGTAGTGTTGGAAGTAGGGCTGTTCTGATGTATTGGCTAACACCAGTATCAGCCGCTGGTGTTGGACTATCGGCCACATTGGCCATGGACAAGTTTGGAACCAGCCGGTGCCGATGTTCAAAAAAGAACATGCTGAACGAGGAAAATTTAAAAAAATACCACTTGAACGGGGGTCAGTAACCAATTCTCAACGGCTATAGGAAAAAATTAGGGCTATCGCAGTTCATCCATCGACGTATTGATGTCATTTTCGATAGTTGAGGTATGGTAGGCTTTATCACTGTCACGAAGGTCACACCTCCCCCTCCAACTCCTCGAATCACAGGCGACAGATTATGGGAGGTGGATATAGGTCAGCGCCCCAATCGAGGCAAGAAATGGCAGAAACGAGGCAGAAACCTGATCCTGATCGCAGTAAGAAAAGACTGAATCTGCTGACACCCCCACCCCCACCCCCTGCCAGCATCGATGCACTATCGATGTGCATTGATGGTCGATACATGGGTGTATTCAAAACACCCAGCGCGGAAGCAATAATAAAATTGAACGTGCATTCATAATACGTCTATTTGACTTTTAAAAAATTTTGTCGAATGCCTTTTCGCTGTTTCTCTACACGTCACGATAGGCACCGGCACTGGTACCGGCCGATAGGTATCCGAAAATAATCAGTCATCGGCCCACTGGCCAAATGTGGCCACTGGTACTGCCCTAGTTGGAAGTGAATGGTTTTTTAATTTTCACAAAAGTGACAGATGAAGTTCCAATTCTCTACTTGGTTCCTGAATTTTTTATTTATTTATTTTGGTGAGACATGAGAATAACATGGTTTCAAGTATGTTTCATACCTGATTTGGTCATGTCTCTTATCAAGTGTGACACGTATGCCCCACTATGTACTAGATAGACATACTATGCCATAAAAGTGTCTTATCTGCTCCTTCATATCTTTGATATATATATGGTTTAAAAAAAATTATTCTGTGGCCTCATATACTCATTGTTTCAATAAGATATGATCAGGTATATTTTCTCATATATGTTCTTGCAGTATCATATATGATAGACCAGACCATATATATCCTATTTCTCATAAAATCATACATGATTTTTCCATATGGGTAGGCCCAGCTATATATACTTTCTTTGAAATCACTGGCAACTAGTGTAGGAGAGTCTGACACTAAATGGTTGAGATTCTATGAGTTTAGTTTGGTATTATGTAGGCCTAATAAGCTTGTGCTCTAATTCCTTTAGAGCTGGATGGAGTGCATGACCAACTGGAGGTGGTGGGATGCAAGGGAGTCCGTGGTCACCATCTGGTTGCCTTCAAACAAGTTCCAGTGAATGATTCCTATGGGCTGTGTGTCTTCTCAGAGACCAAAATCCAGTTGGGCCAGGATGTGGAATGTGGATCTCTCCTTACCTCCCTGATTAACAGCAAGTTACACACTCATCTTGAATTAACATATGAGTGAGTTCTCCATGTCTCATAGATGAAATTTTCCTGCAAGCTTTGCCAATTACCTCTATTACCATGTCAAGATTCTATTTAAGATAGATGGTGAGTGTATGTTGATCATAAGATGTGATAGGTGATCTTTGCTCTTTGAGAAGACTTATTGTGGAAGAGGAGGTTCAAAGATGATGTCATGGGGTCTCCTATGTAGCATTAAGGATCATTTGTTTGTAGAAACCCTTGTGTATAAGCAGAGTGCAAAATAATGACAACATGAGAATAGGTAGAGAATTATTTGATTTTCACCTCAGTTCCACCATAAGTTGGTACCATATTTAAAAGTCTGCCTCTTTCTAGATTGCAATATTTGGATGTTTGCTCAGGTTGGATGACATTTTTCTTGTTCATTGGTATGCTCCATCTTCAGAATCTCTGCTCACTAGATATTCAAAGTTATAATATTGCATACTCCCCTGCAAAGTCAAGGTGCCATTCATGTGAAAGGTGGAGCAGAGGACAATAACTTAATGGAAAAGGGTTGTGGCCATATTCTAGCTGATGTGGAGTCTAATGAACAACCACTATTAAGTTGTACATTTTTATTTTTGTTTTTCACTCTGTGCAGTTATAGTCAGGTGAAGCATGAGAACACAGCAAGGAGTGTGTTGGTGAAAACGACTTCAGATGGAAACATCATTGTTCATTCAAACATTGAAAGAGATGGGAAGGATGCAGAAGCCCATGTTCATACTCATTCTGAAGATTCTCTTCAGAAACAGGTGCATTTCTATCTTTCCCTCAGATATGTTACCTATTTGTCCTGCACAAAATTCTATGGTGAAAAATGTTGGCATTCCTTTTTAGAATGATGGAAAATGTGGTGTTCAAAAAAAAAAGTTGTACCCTAAATTATTGAAAAAAGGAAGCAGCATACAAATTTTGAAACTGAAACTTGTTCACCATTGAAAAGAATGTTGGAGTATCAAAATTTCACCCTGTGGCAATCATATAAAAACTATACTGAAATTGCCACCCGAAAGCAAGCATGTGCAGCTGTGGCTGTAATTTCTCTACACTTACATTTGTAAGCTACTGAGACATGTTGTTTCAGTGCAACACAAGAAGTTCATTCACATTGTGATGAGTTCATGTCACAAAGCACATTAAATTGAAGAAAGAACTTTCACTGATTAGCAAGACACAGAGACAAAAAAGAATCACATGCAATCCATCCATTATAGCAGACACACTGTCATTCCCCTCCAGCACAGGTGGATGCTGATTGGCCACACACATAACATGTTACCTTGTGTGTGCAGCCTTTTTTTTTCAGCTTTGTGACTTCAAATGACAGTGATCTGTGTGTGATGTGTCATTTCACATGCATGCAGAGAATTCAGTTGCCTGCCCATTAGTATATAACTTTTGACTGTAGTCTCTGATTGCTGCTTTCTATTTTGCTGAATTTAGGATATTTATTTGTTTATTTTTTTTTTTACAAATGCCATGTATTTGCTGAATCTGCACAAGATACTGTAACAGACTATTCTAAATGCTAGCACCTGTAATGTTTCTCAGATGTAGCATGCTATCATTGCATTCTTTTTATCTTTGTCAGTTTCTTGATGCACATTGAAGTAGAACCCTCCCTGGTGAAATAAAAAATTCTATACCCTTGTGAAGAGTAGAGTGGACTTGGAGAGTGCTCTACTAGTGCAATTGCACTCTAAAGTTATGGTTATGAACATCATTGCATGATTTTACTACAAAGCATATTCAGTTAAGCACATCCTTTGTGCTGTCTAAGTAAAACTGCAAGAAAAGGAACTGCTATAATCTTTTAGTTTCTTGATTCTAAGAAAATTGTTATTGACAATATTCACAGAATATTGGCCAAGTTGGAATCAAATTCATATACATTTTTATTTGTTCTACTTTTGCAAATAAGAACCAGGAGTTGCTCTTGGCACATTCATATTTTCACTTTAGTGCAAAACCACTAAGGTTTTAGCTTTCATAATGAATGATGATTTACTTTAAAATTCTTCCAAATTTTACAGATATTGCAGATAATTGCAATTTTTCTCCATGAAATAAAAGTTTCTCTTTATTACCAGGCACTTCCTTGCTATAAGGTGCAGCAATCACTAGAATTACAAGCAGTCCTAGTGACAAAACTGAAAAGAATATTACTTATAATTTTACATCATACTCTTCTATCTTCCCTGACACATCTAGCATTCTGACACATCTGATAATGCTGGGTGAGCATTATCTGCTGATGCTAGAAACTCTTAGAGACCCCTGGGTAATGGCTGATTTCAAGGTGGCTCAACTGCTCTAGTGGTGACCTCTGAGTGAACCTTTGAAATTATGGAGTAGCCCAAAGTCACTGGGGCAAGAGTGTATTGGATCTAACGTATATATTGCCTTCACAGTTCAAGACCATCACAACTCAAAAAGCATAATTTTGAGGCATTGCATTTAAAATGTTTCATTTGAAATATAAAAATAATTTTATGGAGGAAAAGGCTCACTGCCAATAAACAGGTTAATTTCAAGTGTTAACTACATCACTATATACTGTACATTTCTGGTTGATTATGTCATTACTGCTGTTAACTATATTTTTGACAAGAAAAGCTTTGAATATTTTTTCTTGTGATGGTCTTGAACTGGGAAGGTGATATATGAGGAACTTCTAGAGGATATCTATATACTTTTCTGATGCCTTGCATGTTGCAGATACTTCTTACTCAGGGTTCTTGCATTGCACTGGAGAGGATATTACCATTGTCTCCATTGAGAAAGAGAATTGTCAGTCCCCTCCTAGATTCTGAGGGGAGAATTTCAACCGTCTCTTATGTAAGGATGTCACTTTCTTCCTCACACCATGATTTTGACATTTCAAAACTGATTTCAAACTGATTTTATGTGATGAATGCTTGCAGGAAATGGGCTGTGGCTTTGATGATCTCTTAGAAGGCTGGACTATCCTGAAATTGGTCCAGAGCTCAGATTCCTCTACATATTGGAGGCTGATCTTATCTTCCTCAGGGCACTTGTTGAGGCACGAACGTCTCTATTCTGCAGGCTTGTATCTACGTCCTGCTAAGTCTGTTCCATTTGCTGACCTCTCCTCCATACATTGGATGAATGCTGAAGAGATGGAGATGTTTTACACTGAACGCAGACAGAGAATACGGAGGAGGCTCTCGGCCTCTCTTACCACATGCTTGTGATTGATTATCTGTGCATCATATATAATATATATATATCTGTGACTAAAACTATGGCTTTTTATTATTTACCAGATGCTTCAATAAAATCTGAGAACAACTTTTCTTACCTTATGATTGCAAATGCATTTTACAATTGTACTCATGAGCTGGTTGAAGCTGTGGCCCTTCCCCATGACATTGCTCAATGCCACTAACAATATATGATCCAGAAATCCAGAATAGGTGGAGTAACGTACTTAGTCTTGAAGAGCTTGATCTAGGGAGGCTGTTGGTGTATAGTTTACTTTGTTTTGAGCAGTCCTTCCTAATTTTTTGCCCAACGGAAGTTGACCCATCTTACCACCCCGGTCATGCCTATCAACAGCTTTTGGACTGGCTGCGCTTTGACCTTTCAACTTACAAAGAGCTCTGGGCCATAAATAGGGGAAGAAAATCCCAAAAGAATTGACAGACCTAGTTCCTATTTGTTTATTATCAAAATTAGTTTGTTTTTGATGATCCTTAGCAAGACTGCCATTAAAATGGATTCTATGGATTATGTAATGGACTCAATCATGAATCCCGTCTAATAGCGGACCTCCATATGTTTAAAAAAAAAATGGATCTGTAAATTTTGGCCACTTTGCATTCACTTGGAACAGCGACCACTGTTGACGATTAAATTTCACCCTCTGCTGGGAGTCTGTCACCTAGAGAATCGTGATTTTTGTCGCGCTTTGATGTTTAGGCAAAGCACGGACTTGTGCATTCCGGGAGCATTGATTTGTGTCTCCCGAAAAATTTCTAATTTTGAAGCTCGTATTTTACCACTCGATTTCATCTGCTCTGCAACAGCTCCAACATAACTTGCACCGGTTATAACAGACATACACAGCCAGCAAAAAGGAAAAAATAGGAACACCAAGAACTAGCGATGCTACAGCCACCAAAGTAGCAGGGAGGGGGGGGGGGGGTAGCCTCAAGAATTCACTTGCCCAGGGGCCTCGCATCTTCTTAATCCGGCCCTGACATCCTAGGAAACTGGATAAATGTGGTATTCTTTAGTTTCTGATACTCCCACTAGATTACGCAGTGGTTCCAGCACATTTTCGTGCAGTCTTGTCAAAATTCCCCTTTTCCTTCCACCGTGTAGGGTTTAGTTTTTGAGGTGACTAGACGCATAGTCTAGAGGGATTAGATTAAACTTCTGTGTTCATTGGGGGGCGTAACTCGTAAATATGCAAGATATCTAAATATATATGTTAAAGGGTGTTGGTAGCGGATGCTCAACGCGGAATAAATATGTGAAACCGGTGGGTGGTTAGTGAGGAGGCTGGTGGGAGTTCCAAGAAACATGTCATACCTCCATGCACATATATAAGCGTGCAGTCAAAGTATCAAAGTCATGTCGATAGAAGTAGTTTCCAAAAGTCGAAAAAAAGACGACCCCTAGAGAAATGGGAATGGCAAAATCTGATAAAATCTGATCCTTGGACCTGTTTCAGTGGGGTCATTCAGGTCATTCATCGCTCAGGTGCCCGACTGGAATCCTTGCTACCTCCCACATTTTTATCCCTCAAATCAAATCTGTCGGCACTTGCAGTCCTGACTCCCTCGTGACTCCAGGAGGACTGGTGTTACCTCGACTGGTAGAAAACTTTCGGTTGCAGATGTGAACTGAGTTTTCTTACAGTTTTTCCCAATTGCTAACGTCCGTTTCTTAAAACTACACTTCCGTTTTCAAAACAATTTGAACAAATCCCAGAACTCTGCAATCTTTTCACAAAACTTAACATCCGATTTCATTGCTAACGTACGAAAAGCGAAACTCGAAGTGCGATTTTCATATCTTCACGGACCTTTTTCGAAACTGAACGTACGGAAAAGGATAAGAAGACCGATTCGACGAGCGCCAAGGATGGATGCATGGCTGCTGACTACAATCCATTGGCCTATACTCCAACAAGTCCCTTCCAACCGATCACAAAGATTTTCTCATCGTTTAGAGTTGTCAGAGCTAAATGCTTCGTCTCAAACGTTGAAAGAATTTCTTACGTCGATGCAGAAATGTAATTGACAGGCGATAATGCTGACTGCGATTCAGTAGTATCCTAAATACCTGATCTTGAGTATTTACTTACGATTAATTTCTGTTATTACCAGCTAAAAAGGGTTGAAAAGGGAATTGCAGCCCCGAGTTTATGGGTGAAAATTGTTGCTTATTGCCTTGAGCTGATCACATCCGTCAGCCATTTTATGGTCATTTTTGTTTGCCATATGTTATTGAGTATTTACTTACGGTTAATTTCTGTTATTACCAGCTAAAAAGGGTTGAAAGGGGAATTGCAGCCCCGAGTGCCTCGAGAGCCTCGTTGGCTGCTTCAGGAGTACGTACGTCGTGCATGGGTGAAAATTGTTGCTTATTGCCTTGAGCTGATCACATCCGTCAGCCATTTGGTGGTCATTTTTGTTTGCCATAGGTTACAAAAGTTGTATGACCTTGGAGCCCATTTTCGTTCATAGATATGAGTGTTAATTGCGAAAATCTCATGTTATGATCGCCAAATCTTTCCAACTTAGGCTCGCTCATTTGGCTCGTAGAGGGGTTTTCGACCGGATGCAACGCCCTGCACTCTTTTTGAATGCTGACGAGGGATGCATATTTTTTTTGCAGCCTCCTAGGAACATACAACCCAGATAGGATCGTGTCTTATTGGTATAGGAAGCGATTTCTGCCATTTTTTAAATGCATAAAAATGCATGTTTTTACACTTTTCTCAACATGTGCATATTTACGTTTATATGTGCATATTTATGCATGTTTCGGTCATTTTTATAAAAAAGTAAGAGTTTTCCAACAATATGTTTATTTATGAGCAATCTATGACAAATTTCAGGCTGTTATGCGCTGGCTGTAGTGGTAAATCCCCCGAAACTCTGCTCTAAATCCTTCCGCTACCAACATCCCTCTCGAAGTGTTTCGAAAAGTAGACTCTGTTTGTTTCCCTTAGCCCTCCATTGGCGAATTCCTGACTTCGCCGCTGGTTGTCACAAGAATAGATCAACTATACTCAGTAGAGGCATGAAATGCCGGACGCATAGATATGAGAAAAGAGCGCAGCGTTTTGCGGATCGTACGTTAAGTTTTGAAAAATGTCCATTGAGATATGAAATAGGACTTTAGCAATTGGAAAAAACTGTAACTTGCTTTCAGGTGGTAGATGCCAATTTGGTTTTGGAATCTTTCCCATTTAATCGGCATTTTGAATCAGCAGAACATTTATTATTGGTTTTATGTTACCACTGAGACACCCAGTATTGCATAGCATGAAGTTCATGTGTGGCGTTCAAATCGTGCTCTGTTTGACAGGCCAAGTCGTATGTAGGGTTGGCATAGCTATGATGAGGGTTCAAAAGGTCATTCTCTTTAGGGTCACTCTAGAAATGCATGGCTAAACCTGAGGTAGTCTCTTTAGCGTCGATCGCTTTCCAGTGCAGAATTATATTTTTTAAATAATGGCTTCACCACTTTAGAGGATCTCTTGGCGTTCATCGCTAGAAATTCGTCTGCTTTCCTCCATGTGCATACACTTCTTGAAATTGTAATTTTCCACTTCAATGAATACATATGGAATAACAAAAATCTAAATGTGCATATTTCTGGACCCCAGGACTATCTTGATATGAAACCCAAAGACATGTTGAGCCAATGATGAAAAAGTTCAGGCTTAGTCATCTAATCTGCCCATGGAGTTCCAAATTTGCTAAAAGATAAAAAAAGATTGCACTTGAATTTGTCAGTATAAAACTTAGGTAGTGCATGCAAAAAAACCAGTGCAATCAAAAGTCAAAGCAGATTGATTGCAGAAAACCAGTGGCCAATCATCTGATGGCCAGCTTTGATAACCCATCGGCCATGTTACTCTGATTTGAAATTATCACTCTTGATATACCAGCTTCATTCAAAAGGGCAGTGTGCAATCACTGGTTGTAGGAAAATTAAAACATAAAAATATAAAGCATATTGATGCAACAAGCATCATGCAAAGTGAAGAAAGCCAAATACATGGGAGATTTTCCCCCTCAATTCTTTGCCTGTAGCATCACAGAATAAGCAGTTTCAGAAGAATGACATGGAAGCACTGTATTGAGGAATTCACCCTTGTGTGAACATAATTCAAGAGAAGGAGGACATCTTAAGGATGACGTTTCAAGGATTTCAAGTATCACAACTTGAAGAGAGAGTTTTTCTTCATCTTCTTCTCCATGGCCTGCTTGGAATCACTGCTACCTAGCCACTCTGGTAGCTTTCGCTTTTGCTTTTCATCTTGCCCGTGCATCTGCTCTTGGGATTTGCTGCCAACTTCCTTCTTTGGTATGTGTTCCTGGGTCACTGACTGGGAGTTTCTGTCAGTAGTATCCCTTGATTCCTCTCCAGTGTACTAGAATATTAATGACAAGATGAATTTTATGCTTGAAGCTAAGAGTGCTACAGAGATGAGAATGGAAAACATGGAACAGTTTCTTTGAAAGCAGTTTGCCATGAGATGCTCTTTAAACAAGGGTTTTGAAATAAATGTCAAACAAATTATGAGTTCAACTACCTTCACCCTTCCTCTACCCTATTTGTAATGTTATCAGTAATGTTTAATTTTTATAGCTCTGTTGCAATACTTTTGATAATTAAAAAATGTAAGATTATTCAATGAATGGGTAATTTTTTTCTCATAAACAAGTCTTGTCTGTGCACCAGTTGGTCATGGCTCTTGCATAAAAATTCAAATGGCATTGCCATGATCCTGGCAAGATTTGGCTTGCAGACACATATAGGTAAGATGCAGCCTACCAGTTTTTCACATTGAAGCTTGGCTAAGAAATACATTTTCCATCTTTGATTCAAAGCAAAGTCTGAACATGGCTTTGAAGGAGATGGGGTTGCTATTATTTTCAACCATTAGTGAAACATTCTTTAACTGAGACTTCACTACACTGATCATTTCAGCCGAATGACAAAAAGAGTTGAACTTCATCTGGAAATGGCAGATCCTTGTTCAACATCCACCCCCCTTAAAAAAATATAAAGGTCTGTCTTCATGAGAACTTCACAGAGACACACACAGACAGTCCCATTCCATTGCAAAGGAGACTTATTAAAATGTTAGGCATGACTATATACATCAATCAATTACTAAACCATGTCATTCCATTTGAGGATGATTTGGGTATTTCAAAATGGCAAACACCCTATATCGTCCAGTCCAGATGTGTTCACTAGGCCTACATCTACAGGTATTGTCATGCATCATGGTTTCAATAAGGAAAACTTCATAAAGTTGGAAATCCAACTCTCAAGACCAAGACTGATATTTTAATCATAATTTAGCAAAAATGGGGTAATAATTCTTATCTCTTTGCTTCAACATAATGATAAAATCCTGATTCAAGTGACCATGTGCTTCTGTCAAGAATTTAGTTTTTTTGTGGTGTCCCCTCTTGCTTATGTGCTTGGAGCAGCAAACAAAAAGGAAAATGCAATCAATTCGCATAATTCTCAGTCATTACCTTGCTCAGTCATTCAATAGTAAACACTCTTTAGTATAAGGGGAGTATAAGTATGAAAGAGAACTCCCAACAAGTAATCAAACTCTGGTCTTTCATGAGGATGGTCACACTCTCCAAATACCAAGTACAAATACAAAAAGTAATATAGTACTTTGAGTAAAAAAAAAGAAGAAATACTGAATACAATCTTTGTGAATGGGCTGAAACTCTCTTGGTCACTCATCCTTGGATAAGAACCACAACTGACTCTCATTTGATGCCCAAATACCTTGGTCCAACTCCATAGGACTCTTTGTGTGTGGCTCTGAAGGTACACTTTGCACACCTTGCAATGAGTAGTGTGGCCATGAACTACTACTGGCTGCAATGCTACAGATCTTAAGTTTAAATCTCTATGCTTCATGAGGCTTTTATGAATCACTAAAAAGCATCACACTGAGACAGAAAACTACATACCGCATCAGTCTCGAGTTGTTGGCCAATGAATTTATATGAAAGTAATGCAACAGCAACTTTGAGCTGCTCCCATGTCACATCTTCAGGACACAGCTGCTTTATAGGAGTGAGTTTGCTGATGTCTGAAAGAGAAAAAAACAAAGTGGATATTGTTCTGAAGAATCCTTCAAGGGGGATGCATTGACTCCATTGACACTGCAGATACATGGGTTCTTATTTGTGATTTTAGCGGTAAGAGTTTAAAACTTTGTTTAAGTTGCATAAATGGCCATATCTTTGTGCTAATTTGGACAACATCTAGAAATGTAGTTTGAGATGAAATGCCGATACATGTTCTATCTAGTCATGAGCTACAATGATGAAAGGATAAAAGATATACAGTCCCCTCCAAGACACTCAACAGGCAGCCATGATGTGAGGGACACTTCCACATTCAATGGCCAATGAAAGTATTAAAGCTTGTTCATTCAAGATGCAATGACAAGGTCTTTTGAATCAATCTCAAAATCCAATCAGAGAATTGACCTTTCAGGAAATTCAACCAGTTACAGCTCACAAGGAAACAAATCCTCTAAACTCTAAAAAAGTAAGCTCAAAGGGGCTTGGAACCAGCTGGTATCATTTCCCATAGAAATTGAGTGTTGAAGCATATGATGGTCAACATGATAGGATCAACACTGGACTTGAATCCACAAGATGTCTCTGATTCATCTTCAAATAAAATTCAGAAGTAAATGGAAATACTGACCAGAGTTAATGGGTTCACTGCGTACAATTTTGGTGATGCTATCCACAAGAGGTGGTGTGACTCCAAGTCTTCTTACATCAACTGGGAGGCCTCTTCTAATGGCATCACTTAAATGACCCACAACTGTACTAACTGCCAGATTCCTGTTTCATGAGGTTAGTAGTTTCTACAGAAGAATTGGAATATGTGCATCATTTCTGGGAGGAGCATGACAAACATACCTTTGTTTACTGATTTCATTGACATCCTTCCCCTCTTGCCAGAACATGAGGTAAGTGCATATTTGGGTTGTTGTGAGGACCTTCTCTGCCTGCTTCACAATGCCTGCCACATTAACTTTCTTATTTCCATTCTGCATCTCTTCTGCAAAGATGTCCAACTTGAGCCCTTTCTCCTTACTGTATTCAACTATCTTCTTCACAAATGCAGGTCCAAACATTTGAACTTTCACTTTGTTGAAGCCCTCAACTGAAAATGTGACATGAAGATTATGAAAACTGGCTCAAAATCAAGAGTAGGAGGTTACAAGGGTGAATGGGTTGACAGTCCTACCCTTTTCAAGTTGATCAACAGCTGATGGACGATGTCGAACAGCAGCAAGAAGACTTTTGTTTGAGGCCACCATGTAGGGAGCTATACCTTTTTCTGATGCCATGTCATTGCGAACCTTCACCAATATGCTATACAACTCTGTCTCACATGAATCATCTTGGTCAACAGAAACCTCCATTTGCACAGGATTGGAACACTCATCAAAGTATTGTGACCATTCATTGATGGCCATGAGAGGCAAGATTTTCTTGTTAGTACTTGTAGTTACCCTGAAAAAACATCACATCATCTCACAAAAAGTTTTATGGCATCATAAGGTGAAATTGTGGGAATCTAACTTACAACTTGGGTTGGACAGGAACTGCAGATTGTACTGGTAATGCAGGCACTCGAGATTGCTGAAGCATTCTCATGTCTGCATTGATACGGAGCTTGAATTCAGAGCCTTCGACATATGTCTTGAGAAACTGTTCTCCCTTGGAACTCAAGTGGGTTGTAGACAAAGCAAAGGTGCTGGCAGAAGGAAGATAGGATGACTGCTGGAGATAACCTTCACAGAGAAGCATGGATCCAAGGGCTTTCCACCAAGCTTCAGAGTGCTCTTTCCCTGACCCATGCAAAGGGTGCCTTTGTAGCTGAGCCTTTAGACGCTGGCTGTTGGAACCCCTGAGGAGGAGCATGGGAATGGTCAGCCCTGTTTTACCCCCACAAGCATCTATGGCTTTCATCATCTGATGCATTTCCTTTCCAACATCTAGTTTCTCATCATGTCTTCCAGACAATACTTCACCATTCCATTGTTGCTGCAATCTAGGAGATATGGAGAAAAAAAAAGAGCTTTTATACTATGGAATTCCACTAGGTATGAAAGGGCTGAAAATATTATTGGCCTTATTTTCTAATGCAAGAACTCAAGGGTGTCTACATGAAATTAAAATCTATGGTAAAAGCACCAGTTCATAGATGGGCTTCTATTCATGGATGATTTTGTTTTCTGCATTCCTATAAAACCTATCAAGGAAATTTTATATCCATGAATGCTTGACTTAACTGATTACAGTTTATTCTGGCCAAAGTTCTGGTGTTAAATTTTAGAGATGGGAGATTAAGCTAAATTGTTAACAAATTGGCAACTAGATATAGTACTGGCAATAATATGGAATTATCCTATCACTACCTCATACTATAGGAGAGCAGTAGCTGAGGATGGATAACTAATTGCATTTAAAATACAAATGACATCCAAGGTTAGCATGAAGTAAAACTTTTGCTACTGCAAACAGCTCTTGCTTCATTTCTACCTCTTGCAACAGTAGAATTTCCACCCATTTCAGAAGAGAAAATAAGAATTCCTTGCTGTATAAGAAAAAAATAGGGCCAATGAAACTCCCAAATTCACATCATCATGCTTAGGACATGCCTAATTTTGCAATTGTCACAGCAACGTTCACTTCTCCAAGTCCCATTAGGGTCAGGATGAGAGTTGAAGTGCGCAAGCAGGCTTTCTCTTCTACATTCAACAGAACCGAGATACTGCTCCATCTTGGAGATCATCTCTAAACGGTGATTGCGGTACTTCTCCATTTTCACTTGGGATATCAAGTGCCTGCAACATCAGAGAGAGCATGTGAGTGCAGTGGCAGCAGGGACAACCAATCCCAATCCAGCCACATGGGAAGGCACCAACCTGTAAATGGCAAAATCAGCTTTGCTGTAAAACACATGGCATTTTGATGGAAAACCATCTCGACCAGCCCTTCCAATCTCTTGATAGTATGATTCTTGATCCCTGGGGGCACCATAGTGAATCACCATCCGCACATCTCATTAGGAGAGAAAAAGTGGAGATTTTTTTCCTCTATTAAAATTCCTTGCTGACATCAGTCAACAACAAAGTAGTGAAAGTTTTAAAAGTTTCACTCTTTCATGTTATAGCAACAGAAGATAACTGAAATTGAAGTGTCAGCAAATAGAACACACCAGGCTTATCAATGCCCATTCCAAATGCAATGGTGGCAACAATGACAGGTACATTGTCACGAATGAATTCTCGATGAGCAGTCTTCCGCTGTTCAATTGTCTTTCCAGCATGATATGCCACACATTGAATTCCTGCTGCTACAAGGAAAAAAAAAAGAAATGTCTCATGACTAAGACTACCATTTGTGTGATAGTGAAAGAAGATAATTAAATAACAAACATTTCAGTGTTGTGGTGATAGTATCAGTGACTTTCTTAGTAGGACAATAAATGATGGTGGGTCCATAATAAGGGTGATGATCCCTCAGGTAATGTCCCAGGTCACTGAGCACACTCACTCCTTTTGGAGACACTTCCAAGTGGAGGTTGCTTCTATCAAAGCCTGTGCGTGTCACCAGTGGATCCCTAATAATTAATGAGGGCATACTGACTGAAGGGAACAATTAGATAACTACTGCAACTGAAGAAGACCATAAACAGATTTGTCACAACCTGTGACATTTCCTAGAGGTAAGTTGGGATGGAAATAGGTTTTTGACTCTGTTTTGACCCTAACCACCAGTTTGATTGGCATTAAGGTGAGACTGTTTGATTAACTCTATGGCTTGACAGATTGACCCATAAAAATATTTACTGCTTCGAAGGCTTGTAACTTTCCATGCAATAGTTGTAGACTTTTCTTGCAAAGTTAATTGGAAAGAGTAAGCCAGAAATGTAAAAATAGTACAAAAGCATCATGCATTAACATGAAATACATGTTCAAAATACATACCATAATTCTTAGTCTTCTCTCTCAGGTGATGTGTAATGTTATGAATGGTTGCCTGGTGAGTTTCCTGCCAAATACCATGAATAATCCTTCTGATTTCCTGCTCAAGTTGCCAGATAATAGCTGGTGTAATTTCAAAAATGTACTTTTTTCAAGTTAAGGATCTGTCTGGCATGAATTTGTTTTTAGGGGGAACCAAAAAAACCCACATTTTTTAAATGAAACCAGCTGTCAGCCAGGAGCTCAAGCAAAAAATCCTAACTGTTTTTTGCCATGTGCCACCAAAAAGTTCTAGATATCCATCAGTGCACTTTGACAAAGTGAGCAAAGCATAGTGTTTTATGTTAGTGAAAAGCATTTGTATATTGTAAAACAAAGTTTTTGAGTTACTCTTTCCAATAAACTTTACATGAAAAGTCAACAACTATTCTGTGGAAAGTTACATGCCCCCAGGGTAGTAAGTATTTTTATGGGCCATTTTGCATCAACAGCACATGTTCCTATGACCCCCCTTCTAAGTACAACTTTTAAGATATGGAAGGGTTGAAAACCATATGCCCGTGTGTTGGATTTACACCTTGACCTTTTTTGGTACCATACCTGAGTTACCTGAATTTTAAAGAACTCAGCTCTTGAAGTGGAAGCAAGAAGGAAATCTACTGCTCATCATGGGCATTAATACTTTATTATTAAAGGATGAAGTTTTAGTTGAGGGATAGAGCCAAGAAATATAAAGAGAAAGCCTGGATTTGTTTCCATATTGATCTTTTACAGAGCAACACAATGCAACCTAATGATTTGATTTCCTTCTGGCATGATCAATATCATGTCAACACAATGGATTATTGCAGGTCAATAAAATAAGTTTCAAAGTTTGGTTCTGGAGAATCACCATGTTTAGGGAGCCTATCATTTGTTTCCTACATGTCTGACTGCAGGCATTACCTTGAGTTATAAATTTTATCTACCAATCCGGAGAGCCTGAAGTACATACCTCAGCACTTACCAAGCCAACCTAACTAAAAATAAACTTTAGAAAGAAAATGAACCCAATGACAGTTTCTTCATGGTGAATTTACTCCTTAACCCATTAACCATCGAGTTTTAAATAGTACAGCACCTGCTCCAGGTTGGGTTTTTAATTGCTCCAGTCCCTTAGAACATTGTGGCTTTTAGAATCATAAATGGATTTGATTTATTTCAAGAAATGTGGGGCTACCTACATATCACCTTCAACCCACACAAGTACAGTACAGCTGCCTTAATATTAAGCCCCCTTTCCAAAATCCTACATATTCCTCTGGTAGGATAGTACCACTGTCTCTATTTTTTTATAATCACAGGAAAAAAGATCTGAAACCAAATGAATCATTTTTTGGTTGAAAACAAAGACAAGATTGAAGACAAGTGTTATAACCTCATTTGCAGATTGCTGCAGATATCCTTGATGACATCAGGTGTGGCAGTGGCAGTTAGTGCTATAATAGGGACATCTGGAAACAGCTTCTTCAACCCTCCCATGCATCTGAAAAGAGAAAGTCAAAGTTTTGTGCTGAGCTACTTATGTAATAATACAAGCAGCATCAGTTAATACACCACCTTTCTCAAAATGATTTGGAATGTAACTACAACTACATTCATTCTAATCTGGGTTTGTTACTCTTCAAAGTTCTGGATTGGACTATCAACAGCATAAGCAGATCTGAAATTTAAATAAGAGTCTGAAGAGCCACTTTTGAATGCTGACACAGAAAGACAGAAAATGATTTACACCCAGTTGGACTATTTAAAGTCAATTCTCAATCATTAAATTAATTGTCTTTAAGGCAGTGGTTCTCAACCTTTTATCATTAACAGAGCACTTTCTCAGCAATGAGATATTTTTTGTCATTCCAATGGACTGATAGAAGAAATAATACAGACCTGAACAGAAATTCTGAAACTCAGGAAGCAGGACCTCAGAGTTCCTATAATATCTTTATTTATTTGCTTATTTCAACTTCAATAAAATAAATATGTCATGTTGAATCACAAATTAAAAACTCTGAAAATCCCAGAAGCATGAGTAATTCCTTGCTCCCAGAACTTTTGAATGGAAACTACCCCAGAGAGATAATTAATACAATATTAGCATAGTGCAACATTGCAAAAATGACCAACAGCAGAATGAAATGGATGAAGAACTAATAAGTTAAATAGTAAAGAGTATCAATTGATTCTGAGGGCTCCTTCAAACCAAGCCAATGCTTGGAATTGGTAAAATACATATAACAGGGACTGAAGAAAGAGTTGGAATGCTGACACTGGTCAATAGATGCCTGGATTCTCACACTAGAAAAGCTGTTTTCAAGAGTCTACGGGGAAGATTCAAGGCTAAGAGGTATTGCTGCCTTCTTGCCCTCTTAAGGCATGAGCCATAGACAAGCTCCCTGCACCCAAAGCACCTCTGCCAACCTCTCACAGCACCCCTATGCACTGTAGCACACAAGAAGGGAACTGCTGCCATTCACCATTGCCCTTTGTGGTTTGCCGTTATACACAAGTCAATTTCGTAAGCTACCATGCAAGATCTTTGGTATCAAGTCTTGTTCCTTTTGTTTTACTATCTCAATGAAGTGCCCATGATATAAATTATTAAGGAAACCCCTGCTTAGTGATTACTGCCATCCTTCTATTAATAGTCTGAATGTGATCACCAGATCATCCAGTTTTTTAATACTATGTTTTTCAGTCCTCGTTATTTTTTTGCTTTGGGTTTCATGTGAGCATTACTATTATTTCCATGTCAGTTATAAAATCTATCTTAGAGTTCAAAATAGTAACTTAGGTTGACAAGTACCTGTAAGAACTGCGAAAGTCATGCCCCCACTGAGAAATGCAATGGGCTTCATCAATGGCAATCAGAGTAATTCCAATCCTTTCATGCCATTTGGACAGGAGACCATCTTGAACCATCTCTTCCTGCACATATTCTGGAGTCACATACACCAACCTCATCTCCCCTTCCCAAACTTGATTCAGGACCTTTTTGCTTGAGCCTTGGGCTGATCCCAAAAAGCATGCTTCTATGCCAGCAACCTAATAGGATGAAATGAATGAAGAATCAAATTAATCTATTTAAAAAATGGTTTATGCAAATAAATGCAGAAAATCACAATGAAGCAAGACATTGAACTAGAAGAAGAAAAATATATACATATATATAAGTTCCTGTTGACCTCTTATAACAAGTTTCACATTGTTCAATAGATCTGAAATAACTACATATGAGGTCTGGCAATAAAGTTCCAGGACTGATTTTTTTGTGAGTCTGTCAATATCACAAAAATTATTTTCATTCCATGGACTGATAGATTAAACTGTTGGGCAGTGTTGTGTCATCCCTCATATGACTAGCATCTTCAATGAGAGTTTAGCTGGCAATGTAGCAGCTCAGTGTGTAAGGCATCTGTCATATTCCCAGAGTGAAGCAATGCTTCATCACATTTTGTCTCAAACTGATCAATACAGCTGCAGTAATCCATGAAACACTGCTGAAGTGTCTTGAAAAGTTCCTTGTTCTTGTTAGCCATTTGTTTTTTGATAGAAGAATCCAAGATATACAAGGTCTGGCAATAAAGTNCTTTAGCAAGTAGTGAAGACACTCAGATCCACCTCAACCCCAACCATCACCAACCATTCACCCAAGGGATGGCTGAACCAATCATTATTTTCAATGTCATTTCTACTGGCTGAAAGCCTTGAAAATTATTCAAGCCTCTTGAAGTATGGCAAGACAACTTGTCAAGACACTTCTTGCAACATTTGATGGATTGCTACAGCTGTATTCCCTGGATTGAGACAGAATGTGATGAAGCATTGCTTCACTCTGGGAATATGACAGACGCCTTACACACTGAGTTGCTACATTGCCAGCTGAACTCTCATTCAAGATGCTAGTCAGATGAGGACTGACACAACACTGCCCAACAGTCTAATCTATCAGTCCATGGAGTGAAAATAATTTTTGTGATATTGACAGACTCAATAAAATCAGTCCAGGAACTTTATTGCCAGACCTTGTATATCTTGGATTCTTCTATCAAAAAACAAATGGCTAACAAGAACAAGTGAGCAAAAATAGTCAGGCACCACCAGTGAAATATCCTCACTTCAATGCATAAGTGACCAATGAACAGTACTGGCATATGATAAAATTCACTGTAAGGAATTAAGTCACATCGAAATTCAGAAACCTGATGGACAAACCTGAAGGGCTTCCACTTGGTCTTCCATAAGGGAGATGAGTGGGGAGATGACAACACCAAGCTGTCCAGTATAAACAGGAGGGAACTGATAGCAGAGGCTCTTCCCTGACCCTGTAGCCATCACCACGCATTGGTCACGTTTCTCCTTCAATAATGAGCGTAACATGCAAGGTGAGAAAAGCAACCATGCCTATATTGTGATGTTCATACATAGACCAATAATATTTTGAGCTGAATATAATTAAGGAATTATTTTCAATCTTAGTGCAAGCTTGGAGACATGCTAATTCTTGGCAGCGATCACCTGAATCTCGCGCACATTTAGTCCGAGATATGTTCTATCATCAGCGAAAGGGTGACATGCATTCAGTTTAATGCAATAGTAATTTCACGTGAAGATGTGAAGATGGAACTTAATTCACAGTACCGATCGGGAAATATATGCATAACCGGCATATATATATATATATTTTGCAATTAGTTTAAGCTGAAGGCCCTCGCCAGCAACGCGTTTCGACCTGGGAGACAGCGAAGCGATACCTTCCCAAAATGAAACCTTTCAAGTATAGTCGTTCAGAACATATCCAAGGATCTTGCTTGGCTTTCTTTCGTGCGTGGCCAGTGTGCTGGCCGATTCCAAGGGACAAATTTTATCTTCAACACTTTGAATTGCGAGAATAAATTCATATTTTTGCGAAGGTGTTCCGCTCCGCACTTATACAGTATTTGTCAACCACAAGCCATTCCTTTCTGAGCCTCTAACGTCTAAAATTGACGGAGTTATCGGCGGAAAATCGGAGACCGATCCCTATCGACTGCGACATTAGCATGCTTCCTACGAGCACGCGCATTCGCAGAACAGGTCTGGTCAGCTGGTCTCGATTGCACATGCGCAAGGAAACATCTTAAGCCGAGTTCACTCGTTTCCACCGACGTTAAAGCGACTTAGCGCTTAATCGACTAAAGAAATATCCGTGGAAACGCGGTGCTAGTTCGCAATTTTGTCGATTTTATCGGATTGGACGAGGTGAGGAGGATCTGCATCACGAATTTGCACCCAGAAGTGTCGTACTGTCGGAGTCGCCAGACGAGACAGTTTTCCTTAATAGATGCGTTTACCTTCAGAGCTGACCAATACACTCATCATAAAAGGAAGATCATGCAATCTTGGAGTGCGGTGATTCTCGTTGCAACCAACGCTTTGTCGGTTGCGTCGCCATTGCCCAAATAAACTGATTCTGAAGTTTGAGTCGACTGGAGACGGTCTTTGCCATTACTGCTCTCAGCGGTTCGATTTGGTTTCGTAAGCGAGCAATGCGACTGAATCGTCTATCCGCCCTTGTCCTTCCAAGAGCCGGCTGGGCTCTTGACTCAGCATGAAAAATCTGGAACCATCGGCAGTCGACCCTTAGCAATGTGTGGTTATAACAGGATCCAGCACCTAGCCGCTGTCCATCAGGCCACTACATACAGGTGACACGAGAATGGCTCGGTGAACTTTTAATCGAATCGTTCGGAGGTTAAATTCACAGGGTGTATACAAAGTTAGTGAACATCTTTCTGAGCAATGCTGTTTTAATTGATGCTCATATTTATTTTTCATACATTTACAATTCACGACAAATACAAATACGTATTTATAAATTAGTTATAGCAACATTTTTTGCGCGCAACATTAATTCACAATATTGTATAAATACAAAACAGAGTGGCGCGTGGTAAGTAGGCAAGCCGGCATGGAAGATCAACGTTATTAACAGCTCATGCGATTAAGCTCAAGTACAGCACAAGATGATATCACACATTCACACAAGTGCATAAACACCACTTCCACACAATGCAATCATAGATAAGGCGCTCTCTCGGCAGATATAGGTGTCTGGACAGATTCATGACTAATCCACAGAATCCTCCGAACTCGAGAGTCACATCAACCCCAGAGTGTCCGCCACTTCAGCCTAGTCCTTTAGTGCGTGGAAAATCCATTTGTGGGAATCAATTGAGCTATCGGCGATGCCCAACGTGGCCAAGGAATCCTCTACTTCCCTCGACGATAGTACGACGAAGCTCCCTCTCGAGGTTTGTTGACATGAACAATATTAGCATAAGGCAGCGGTCGAGGCAATTTGCGCTCGAGATTGTGCGTCTTTTAGGATGGGAAACGATCACCGAGAAGGGACACCGACGCGGCGCGTAAACAGGGAAAGGATGTCGTCTCTCAGGAAAATATCGGGGAAACGGTCCAAGTGAGTTTATTTGCAATAAAAATTCCTTAGCAGTCATACTAACTCACGGTGGGTATCGACCGCTTTACTCCCCGAAATCAATGAAAAGGTATTGATTAATCAATACTTTGAGGCAGAGAGGGCACCACGGGCCAGGCTAAAATTTAAGGAGAGAAGAAGGCGGTCTTCTGTGAGACAAGTCCTTTTACATAGCTAATCTTTCAAATATCTACTATCTGGAAGTTCCTATAAATAACATCTGAAATCATATTTCGCAAATAAATTCGCTTCATCTTTAATATGGGCTTCATAGACATCATGTCACTCCTCCCATAGGAGATGTCCCCTCGCCTACTAGCATGCATCACAGAAATATCATGTAATATGTTACAGATGGTTCTAACTCATTCGTAAGACTGTAGCAGAGAGGCCCTCCATTTCTCTGCTATGGTGAGGCACGGCCTGGAGCGATTCTAAGAATGAGGGGCGAGGGAGCGCCGATGGCATAGTCCACGCAATGTGGAAACCACACATCCAGCACATATCTGTCGAGAGCATAGTGTTTACACGATCTATGCAATCAAGAAAAATAAATCTTTTTTATCTCTTTCTCCCTATCTATCTATCTGGCGGGACTGAAACAAAACTCCTCTTAAGAGGGGAGTTTTTACGACTCAACGACTTTTACCTCTGTCGCTCTGGGATGACGTCAAAAGGCGGTCAGCACATCACAGAGAACAAAACGTTATGAACGCCTGAAGGCGGTCTCCCCATTTGAGGGGTTAAAGCCCCTGCGCGTTTTCCAGGTCTCATCTCGACCCCCATCGAACCCTGTATAACTGTTTACTTCCTGTAAATAAATCCTGTCTCAGGATTTTCCGACCGGACCGCTTATTCTTCACAAGCCAGGATAAGCATCCTTTTGACAGGGACTCGGGGAGATGAAGCAGTGGCAGGCTGGGCTGGCGAAGTAGAAGAGGGAAGAACATTTAACATCGTCTTTGATACAGGTACTTCTTGGTGAATTCAATCCGTTAACGTAACAATGCACGCGCAACAGCGATTTCTTTATTTCTCGTGGTAAAAAAAAATTGTGGCGTAAGAGCGATTAGTCCTATTTCCTTGAAATGAATTGCATCAGGAAAGAGTGATACTGCTAATCCTCCAAATTGCACGAGCGCATCCAACTCATGGATGCAGCAACCAAAAGGGGGTGAGCTTTCTATAACCCACCCTGTGCATAAGGCGTTTCGCTCGATGAACTCATCTCCGATGCGTCTGAATCCGCTTCCGAAAGAGCACACCTTCGTTCAAGCGAATGGGTTCTTTTGTACCAAGCAACGTGCTCCCCTACACTTTCAGTCGGCCCCTTAAACGTGAAAGACCTAGCGTTCCAAAAATGGAAAATGGAGATCGTGCAGCAGGTTTCTGGACATTAAGGGTCGCTGTGCCAGAGTCATACTGTAACGAGAACCGGAGTCTCAGAAACTAGGGATAATCAATGATACCGATGTTGGATCGCCTACTTTCATTTCTAAGAGGTTCCAGGCCTTTGTCTTGTAGAGAAATGGAGTATGTTGGCTTGGTTTATAAAGACTTCCCGACCATGCAGTGCCACCGCATTTCCCTCAGCAGCTTCCCCCCCCCCAAATCGCGATCAAAACTTAATCTTTTGCAGGTGAGCTCAAACCTTCTTATTGACATCGACCAACTGTGTTTTATGGAATGATTGTAAATTTATCAAAGATTTCTCATACTGCATCATAAACATACTTATTAGTTTTTTTTTTTTAAAGCGACCCTGCTTTCCATCTCACATAAAATCGTAGTTACTATTTTCATTGCAACACGTATGTTTATTTCTAGGTTTTCTCTAGGAGCCCTCAACATTTTTCCCCTGCGAAGGAAGAGTTGATTCAATTGAAGGCAGCGGATGAGTGTCCCCAAACTCCACATGTGGAAGGAGCTACGAACAATGACGCGGATGGCCGTGAAGATTCCAGCAAGCCCAAACTATGTTCATGTATATGCGGTTCGCAATGCATGAAACCGCTTGGCTCTTCGTGAAACTATTTTTGTTTGTTTTCCTTTATACTTTTTTTTTCTCTTTTATTGAAATTGCATGATAAAGATAGCTTCGAGTCCGTCGACGGATGTTCAATATCTTTAACTACACGCCTCCGTCAGATTCGGTCCCAGGTCATCCTTTATTTCCATATATATTTGTGACTGGGGAATTTGTGTATACATGTGTATACCTGTATATCTGACTGTCCTGGGATTCCTTCAGATCTCTGTATTTTGGGATCAGATGACTCAACAGTCTCAGACTCTGCATGACATTCAGCAAAAAGGAAGCCATGAGAGGTCTACTTGCTACTGGTGAGGCAACCTTGAGGAGTGAAACCATTGGCAATACATGTGACCATAAAACACCACACTCATCCCTGTAATTATGGCCACAGGTTGCGGTGAGAGGACACTACAGTATAATGCCCAAGAGTAGCAGCTTTTTGCTTAAGTCAATTTCATAGTGGACTTTTACTTCATCAAGGCCCATCCACCATTAACAAAAGCAGAAATCAAAGCAGTACAGGACCTACCTGAAGTATACTGTGAATGATCTGCCATTGAACTGGACGAAATTGAGCATGGCCAAACTGAGCTTGAAGAACATCTAGATGCTTCTCGGATGGGGTTTCAACCTCTCTGGGTGATATTTCTGAAAGTCAGAGGGTCATAATGAAACAACTAGTAATTGAATATGAGAATCAATGTGCTATTAGCATGCTTGAAAGGAATCAATTTCTACCGGTCTCATTAGTCCGCCCAACACTGATCTCTTCCATGTATTCTTCATCATGAATGAAACTCTCTTCACCATCTGCTTCTGCAGCCTTAATGATTGAATGCACAGAGATAGATGATTGGAAAATGCATGAGAGCTAATCTTCTGACATGTCAAAAACTCACCTGCAGTAAATCAGCCTCAGAGAAACTGTTATCCCATTCCATCTTTCTCAACTATACGTAGCACGTCATTACATCACACGCCTCCAAGTAATCAGTGTCCTAGATGAACACATGGGAGACATCCAGAAACTTTATAGCAAAAACAGAAAAAAAGAAGATGGAGGAGGGGAGAGGAGACAGGATGGGAATGCAAGGATACATTTTAAAATTGTTTCATTCATTCTTCTTACAGCAAAGAAAAAATAACGATGAAAGCCATATATTCTGACCAGCAAAATCCAGCATTCTGACAAGAGTATCCAAGCATCCAATAGTAAGTGGTCCTCATAGGTAGCAACATATGGGCTATTTTTTAAAGCTCCAATATTTGAAGGCCAGATGACATCAGGATATAATGACTGAGCATGTTTCAGGGGTGATGTGTGTGTTTTGGTCAGCGCTCTGATGTATACTTAAAGCAATGTTCCTTTCTATGTCACATGAAGTATCAAGGTGCTGCTTGGATAAAGTGGTAACTACCAAATTCTCTGCCTTGCACAGAGCTCTGACCTCAACCTGATTGTGATATTGGGTAGCCTAAATAGATGTAATACTGCTATTAGCATGATAATTGATAAAACCTGTCAAGGTATGCTGTCCACTAATTTAAGACAGCGTTTCAATGCAATCCTTCTCGTTTCTACCATCACAAGCTCTTGTTGCTGATGTGAATTAAGAGACTATGGCACATTCTTACAGATGCCCCTGCAGATGTCTAATCAGGTTGTCCTAAAAGCCTCCTCCCACTATCCTCCACAAGAACTCACATTCAGGAATCACTTTCATTATTTTGTTTAATATGATGACCTTCAAGTTCACTCAGAATGAACTTCATTAACCACTTTTTTCCCAATAACCCAAAAGCTTCAGCTCCTTTTTTACTTTTGCCAAACACTCCAATAGGAAAATCTCTCTCTTGAACAAATTAACTGATTTTACCAGCTAGCTTCCTACCAGGCTCCCCATATTCATTTTGTCAATTACCTCCATCACAAGAGCAGATTAGAGATAATACTGTCGCCTCATAAATCGGTGCTGGAGATCTTTATCCACACTCAATCCACAAGTGAACAAATAGAAAAATTAGAACGTGACCATTATAATGCTCTCTGTGGTTTTACCTCTGATCAATTATGAACTGATTAGAGGTAAGACCATGGAGTAACAGTAAGCTGGAACAGGAGGGAGGAACACCACTTCCATACTTTTGCAGTAACTTATAAAAAACTATTGTCAAAGGTAGTTCCTATAACTTATTACAATTTGCTCAAAGCATATAGGAATGGTAAAAAAAAAATCATAACAGAACAAACTAACTGACTGTGGTGGACCACCCCAACATTTTCATCATTCACATACTACTTTCATCAATTCCTATAATGCTTTTCAACTAATCAGCCAACATTTCCCTGGATAGTTTTTATTCGCCTTAAAGATCTGCTATACATGACTAAATTTTTAATTGATAGAAACTGCTACACAAAAATTACTACCATTGGAATAATATTCTCAACTCTTTTGGTGTAGTTTTAAACTACATGCTACCCATCCTGTACCGAGAATTTTTTTCATGCATATGTCAGGCTTGTGCTTTTATTCAATTTATCCAATTTTCTGCTAGAATTTAATGTTTTGCAAATCACAATGGCTTACTAAAGTGTTAGCCAAATTTTGATGCACAAATTGTATTACCAGGGGAAATTTTAGGGTCTAATAGTGCTTCAGCTCATGATATGCCTGAAAGCATGGCATGATGCAAAGCGCAACGTGGCACTCCAGGCACATACAATGTAAAGAATTTCTTTTCTTTTCACGTTGTTTTGTGTGGCTGCATGTGACATTGGCATATGGCATTCCCTATTGGCAGTACCTGGGATCAGGGTAGGGAAGAGCCTACCAGTCAAACAGAGTGAGGCTAGTGGACACCATGACTGCCACATGAGAGGGTGAGTTTGACTGGTTGTCAGAATTAATCTTATTTCTACACTCTCCTGCCACCAAACATGAAAATCTCACACTTCTAGGAAGAAAAAGCTCTCAGCATTAGGTTATAGTGGTCAGAAGGATGTCAACTGAATTTGACAGCTGTACTGATAGAGGGAAAATGCTGATTGACTGTATCACCTGCACTGAGAGTGTGGAACGCAACTGTAGACTATAGTTGACAGTCACACTGAAACAGTTAATAACACTTCTACTTCACTATTTTCTGCGAAGATTAGAAGAATTTCATATCTGTCTTGGAACCTCACATCATGGCCAAAGTCAGATTAGGCTCCATTCCTATATCCGCATCTTGGGCTAAAAATTTTATCAGAATTTCAGCTCTGCATCAGACTCCTAACCAGGTCATGTTAGGTCTTTGATGATGTTGCTGTCAAGAAAGTCCATGGTCACTCTAGCTGGAGTAGGCAGATATCATCATGAATTTTCTGCAAAGAGAGACAACTTTTTGGTCATCATCATAATTACTATAGAATGTTGCAGTCATCCTCACAAGGAGCTTCAAGCCCTTTTGTAAATGGGCAGAAGGTAAGTATTAATACCATGGCAGAAAAATACCTAACCAGCAAGGGTTTGAGAATAAATTTGATTGTTCTGAGTTCATGCAACTGTGAAAAATTTGTGACTTAGTTGGGGCAAGTTATCTGAGAATAATGATGCTTTAACGCATATCAAACATAAAGATGCATAGGCATGAAGAACCTGCAAGGGTATGGCCCTTCTTTAGAAGGCTGATGCCATAGGTGAAGGAAGTTTCTTGAAAGCAAGGGACAAATGGCTTCAAACACCCTGGGGGGGAACAGGGAGAGAAGAAAGCAAATGATGACACCCAGAAACCCAGGAAAGTGGGAGGGCACTTACTACCCCTGTCCTCCCAACTTCTTGCATGTCCTTTTTGAGGCTGGAGGTATATGCAACAGATGCAAGTGAACAGAAATGTTTCACACAAAATCGATGCTCACAGGACCTGCATTGGCAAGAAGCACATGGGAAGCACATGGGTTTTTGCAACAGCAAGAAGCTGTTGCAAAAACCATCAATAGGACTAAAAACCAAGATGGGTCAATATCCATCCCTCTGTTCCTTCTCTTGTTCAGCATATCCTCCCTACCACTTGTGCGAAGCTAGTGGGGTAGTACTAAGAGGAGTGGTGGATTCACTTAAGGGGGGAGGAGTCCTGCTTGAAGCATCTAAAAAATCTCAGGATGCCCTGAACTTGAACAACACAACAAAAACCAAGACAAACAGGATAAGAGGTTGCCTGGTAACCTTGAAAAATGACTGAAGTTATGTTGAAGACATGAAATGGTGTTCCTATCTGCCCAAAAAACAACACAGCGACTTTAGTTGTCTGAAGTCTGCATTTTAATGCTTCTGGCCTATTGTGACATAGTTTCTCTTGCCCTCATGAGGGTATTCATTCCTTTCCTTGATTGAGTTTTCCATCCCAAATGAAAGTAGTCCAACAGAATGGGCCAACCCAAACCATGCAAAATGCAGCATGGTTGACTTCTACTTTGTCCTCCACTTCAAGGGAGCATGGTATGTCCACCTGCGACAAAATCAACTCTGGATGAAGTCAGAATGATTTATTGAAGTCTAAAAGCAATACCAGGGATTTGAATGTATCACAGAATGGTATACAACCCCATGCATGCCCACCAATCCCTTATTGCATACATCAGAGATATCTATCACGTGTGTATAAAGACTAAATCACAGAATGAGCCCCGAATTATAACTGTGCCTAGGGGACTGTACCAAATACATAATAGAAGCAAAGAACATATGAGAAGATGGATGATATGATGAGACTTAAGTGAAGATGAGCTAGATCACTCAAGATCTGGGATACTTGATATTGGTGGCAAGGTGTGCTGGAACTCATCAAACAGATGCTTGGCATTGTTCACCTGCTGTGACACCTATGAAATTGGCATATGTTAAACTCCGGTTTTAACAAGGATGGAAGTTCCTGGAGAACTAAAATACCTTCTGAGAAATGAGGGCATTTGAACATCGCACACGAGGCTTCTTCTCTGATGGAACTACATGATTCTCAACATTTGCAGCACTTTCCATCAGGAACTCTACAAAAAACTGACGACTGCCCCTTATATCTCCACCCATTTCTTCCACTGCTTTGGATTCCTTCAAGTCACTGCAAATAAGATGGATGCCATTATGTTCAAAAAAAGAGCATGAAATCAACATGCTTGAAAAGCACATAATATGATTACCACTTCAGGCACATATACCAAGAATATACCAAGATGACATCATTAGGTATTTTACAAAGCACTGTTGCAAGGGCATAGCTGGAAATTCTTATCGCAGGAGGAATATATTGCACTTTCAAAATTTGACAATATGACCTGATAAATTACCTCTAGATGATATTCAATCCAACAAGATATGAGAAACAAGTGCATACCTGAAATGGATAGTCTGAACAACTTCACAAAGGGAACCCTTGCGATCAAGGATGCGGACTCTGTCACTGGAGATGAGAGCCGACAGCAACTCTTCCCTTTCTTGGATGATGAGTGCAAGTATTGAGACGAATGATTCCTCTGTATCTCCACCATTAAGTGAGTATAGGATGCTTTGTCCTTGTGCATTCCGCTCATTATATCGTGGAAGGAGGCCTTCCAATGTCATCACAACACGAGGAATCCTCTTTCTGGCTGGAATTTGATGATGGTCACCTCGACTAGTATCTCTCACTGCACTTGCTGCTCCAGTAGCAAGATCCAAAAATCCTACTGCTGGCTTTGTCACTGTTCCCACGAGGCCCTTGCCAAAACCACTGATCATTCCCTGTGAAAACAATTTTTTCCTTCTCTTGTACCACAAAGTCATAAAAATAATGTTTTAGAGATGCCAGTCAAAGAAGTTCCTTTTATCAAATACAACAATGCAATATAATGCCTGTATCTGGTCTTTTTTGTCAGTCTGTTATCATGATCCCCAAGTGAAACCCAAAGTTTCCACCTCTCAAAAGATGAAAACACAGTCCTTGACCTCCCAAACATGTGTGATGACATATGTAGCTCTTCAGCTATCTTTGCATAAAAGTTGTACATTGGGGGTTAATTTCACTAGAACTGGTACATGGGAGTTTCAGGAAATCAAATTTTGGTGAAGGAAAAGCATTGAGGCTATAACATTTTTTTACCTTCTTTCACTGATTACTAAGAGGGTTAGGTTTGCAATAAAAAATATATAAATGCCATCATTCAAAAAAGATGCAACATCCATGACCTTCAAAGTAGGAGAGAATTTCATGCTGAAATGCCACAATCCTAACAGCTGCTCATCTGAGACTTGTCCTTGAGAGGTAAACATGTCAGTGTGAATATCTTAGCAATTTTAATGAGGTCCATGTCGGCTTAAAGCAAGGCTCAGGAACCTATGGCTCATGAGCCAAAAAGTTTGGCTCAAGGAGTCATGGCTGAAAATCATGGTTGTTTCTCATATTTCTCATGCATCAAAGAATCCATAAGTCTGTTGCAAACTTCAGGAAAAATTATGCTGTTCTGATATCTTTCGCTCACAAGCACTTAGCTCAATCTTAATATGGCTCACATGGCCTAAAAGGTTCCCAACCCCTGGCCTAAAGGGTGTCACCAGGACATCATGTATCATGGGCAATTTCCATGACTTACATCCCCACCAAGTTGTTCTATGCTGGGTACAATTTGGACACCCTTCCTAATGCATACATGACCATGGGCTTTAAGGAATTGGGATGTCTCTTGACATGCTAATCAGGGTGCCCAGATGGAAAGCCCCTGGCAGGTGATAGGAATAGTCAGTTACTATTGCAGCAGAAAGAATGCTCTATGATATCAGGTCCTTTTCATGCATCCCTCAAGGTACTGGTGTGTCATTACCCTTAATAAAGCAGATTCACTACGGCAACCAAAGAAGCCTAATGATATGTTTCAATATGAAGTTTCCAATCGACACAAGTAAACTTTTGCCAAGGGTACTAAGAAAGAGGATTTACCAGTATTTGATACTACATAATGAATAACTTTCATTGATGCAGCCACTAGATCAGGGGTCTCAAACTCATGTCAGTGTGCATTACTAAGATTTGACCTCTCTGCAGGCCTGAGTGCAAATCATAGAATGAATAATCTACCACTACCTCATAAATGTAGGCTGTATGAGTGCATTTATTTTATTTGCCATTCTATTCTGTGCACTGACTTGAGACCTGGCAGCACTTCACCTCCACTAGAGCAGAAATGCTGGGTTTGATTTCCTGGGTTGTGACAACTCACAATATGGATTGCAGATGTACATCTGAGAGCCAGGATCTCATAGGTGATTTGCTGATCTTCATGATGGAGGAAAGTTGCTTGCAGAGGTAGGTGCTGCCAAACATGGCCAAAATTCTTATGGCTGCTGAGCGTAGCTGAGAGAAGTGTTTATGTCGACATATGAATAAATGCTGGTATGCTCATGGAGAGGTACTTTTGCTTCAGAATCATGTCACACTCCATATCCACAAACTCCATTTGAAGTTCTGGTTTGACTATGTCAATGTCCTTGGAGAAAGGTGTTGAGAATAGCTTGAAGTTGACTTTGAGGCATTGAAAGTCCTTAAATCAACTATCAAAGTCTACAGGCAGGTCAGAAATAATGACAGCACAGGTTTTCCCAGATTCTGCATTTATGCATCCCAGAGACTTTAAGTATGATAATGAATGAGGTTGTTGTTCTTCAGCTGACTCTCCCAGAAGTGAAACTTGACCACAAACACCTGTATGCTGTCATACATCTCAGTAATGACTTGGTTCCTTGTACCTTGAAGCTTGGTGTTCAGGCAGTTCATATGCTCCATAATGTCAGTCAGGTTTGCTAGGTCACCGATCCACTTGTTGTCCAATAATTCATGGACTTCCTTGTCCTTGCTTTTCGTGAAGCTGTTGAACTCTTCCTATAGGGCAAAGAACCTTTTCAACATGTTCCCCCTACTCAGCCATCTCCCCTCACTGTGATGGATAATTTCTCTGTACTTGCTCTCCACACTTTCCCTTTCTTCACTTTTCAATCAATCTTTGTACCTTAAATTGGGTGCAAAGACTGATTGAGATAAGTGTCAATCATGTTTGAAGGCTTTCCTTGAGGGTGTATATTGGGTCTGAAATGTTTCTCTTTTGGTGCATGCAGGCAGATCGTGGGCTGCATTGAGAGTGTTTGTGGGCCACATGCAGCATGTGGGCTGTGAGTTTGAGTCCCCTGCACTAGAGCATTGAATCAAGTGGAGAGGAGCAGAAGAAGGAAATGGGAAGTGCAACAGGCATCACAAAGTGACACTGACTCAGCTGTTCATCTAGCATCATGCCAATGCTGACTTAATGCATTGACAGCCATATGACCCACCTGGGGGTTGTATGGCACTTTTCCTGTGGGGTGAGTAGTTTGCTGCTTTATGTTTGAAAGCCTCTGTACTTTTCTGGTCTCACTGTACAGTGTGCAGCTTGCATGATGGTCCCATGAAGATATATACTTCAATTTTAAAATTATGAAAATTTTCAGCTGTTTCTCTTTGCTGTATTAAATTATTGAATCAAGTAATCAAGATGTGACTTTTGCTTGTTCAAGTAACTAACATATTTGCTGTTTACATATTATATTTGCCTCAAACTTAATGAAATACTGATACATGAGTAAGTAATGAAGTCACATCAATTAAATTAATCATCTGCAAAAAAGGTGCCACATATGAATTATCACAAAATAAAGAGTGACTCTCCCATGTCACAAAACCTCAGCGTTCATTTAATGTGTTTTGAGTTAAAACATTTCAGGCCCATGTAGGGCTTGTGAGAGCACTGTACAGAGAAGAATGATACTTTCAGCATTTTCCTGTCAGCCTGTCCAGAGCCCTTTTGCCTTGCTGAACTCCTTGTAGTAGTAGGTGCATCTCTTCTGGATTCCTCAGTTGGTAGTGCAGTGTAATGTGGTGTAGAGCAGGGGTCAGCAACCTTTCACTGCTGGCCAGATTGATATGACTCGACCCTATGGTGGGCCAGAGTGTGTAATTGATTGTGGTGCTTATCTGCCTGGAGTATGAGGATTTCAAAATAACAAATTAAATATAAAGTAAATATCTTTTCTTGGTCTCCTTGGCTGGTCAAATTAAATTTCCTCATGGGTTGGATCTGGCCCACAGGCCATAGGTTGCTGACCCTGGCGTAGAGCATGCTTATTTTAAATAAATGTACAAGTGGAACATTACTGCATGAAAAAGCAAGTTATGTAACACAATTCAGCTGCAGGAAAAACACATTTTCATGCCCTCTACTGGGAGCCTAAAAAGCAACTTTGTGCATGAACACCAGTGGGTTATGCAGCCGAATGATGCTGGATCACTGTATGGCCATGTGACCTTCCAGTGTCCAGATATTGAAGATCAGGGGAACTTCAGGGAAAACATTCACACCACTAATGACTATTCTTGTAGCACTGCTGCCCTAAATATTCAATTGGCCTCTGGGAGAGAAATAAGGGAATAGTGAAAAAAGGGCTTGGAGGTCAATGTGTTAATGTCCAAGAAGTACATGACTTCGTCGTTGATGCAGTTTCTAAGGTCAGTGTAAGCATGAACGTACAATATGTGAATCCTGAATTTGTGAACCTTAGAACCATGAGTGACTTAAACTCACTGTGATGCCTTCAGTGGTTGCACCATAATAGGTTTGACTGAAGATGGATGTGACCCCACCAAGAATGCCATATCCCAAGCCCTTGATCCCTGCTGCCAAGTGACTTGTTGAAGAGCTGTCCAGAGGAACCTTCCTCAACCGCCGGCGAATCTCTTCATGCCGTTCATCCAATGTCACCTTTCCCATTGCATCAGATAGTGTCCCTAAATAATTGATATTGATGTATCAGATATTCAGATAAAGAAGAGAAAACTACAACTAGGCCAAAGGATAAATTTGACAGACCAGTGAACTTGGCAGTGGAATTGGCCATCCCATGTGTAACATTCATCACCAGGCCACCAACGTTGCCCTCAGTCAGAAGCTCAGTAACACCCTCAGAAACATCATACATGAAACCCAAAGGGTTCCCCAGAAAATCTGTAGCTCCCAGGATTTTGGCTGCTTGAGACCTCAGTTCCTATGAAAAGAGCCACCATTAAAGAAACCTTTGATGAAAAAATGTTTTTGGATCTGCAGAACCAAAATGTGACAGCATACTGATGTCAAATGCTTCTTCATTGATGCTGTCAGGAAATGGGGTGTTTCTAGAATGTGAGTCCGGAGGTATGGCCGCAGCTCAATGTTGGCATTCTCAAACTGGACCAAAGTCAATCCAAGCTTTCGTTTGATGCCCCTCAGAGTTGGATCTAGGTTTGAGTCTAGGACCATGCTCAATCGAAGCTGGAGGAAAATACATTGTTTGTTGATTGTGGCATGCACACAGAAGTTACTATAAAATCCTGAAGTGCAAAGAAGTATAAACAATAAACTCACCTGTGGAAAGCACACTTGGATAAGTTCAAAATAGAATCGCGTAGACTGTGCAGACGCTGCAATATCAGAGGTGACTTTGGCCTCATTGTCTGGTTCCAGTTCCTTCTCCAGTTCTATGTCTGACTGGTTATACCCAAGAAAGGAGAGAAGACGCCAGAGAGGCATCTCCTCAATGCGTACATCAAAACCCTTGATTGTCAGCAGCAAATCCTGCAGAAGTACATACTTAGTACAGGGTAAATGCACAAGAGGTGACTGGTAACATTTATTGTGCATAAAAATTCATTCACTGAACTTATATATATAGGATCTTACTCATTGCTCAAAGTTCAATCAGAACAAATTGCATTACAGCACTTACATGGAAGAGCTGGAGGTTGGCTTTGTCATAGTCATGGGAGTAGACTTTGTGAAGCTGAAATGAGACAGCAGGCATATGACGATACTCATCATCTTTATCCTGGGGCAAGAGATGCAGTAGAACTGGACACTGGGCAGCATGATATGGGTTATCCACCTGTGCACAGAGTCATAAAATCATCTGACCACACCAAAAACCAGACACTAGTGGAGTAAAATATGAAGTAACAAGCAGACCTGGACACTCTGAATGGAGCAGTCAAGTTTTGCTGCCCAATGTCCTCTGTGAATGGTGAAACAGATGTTAGACATCCAAATATATAGGATTTCTTCCTGCATATCCTGGTGGACAATGCTTATTCCCATGCCCTGATTCAAGCGGATAGTTAAAGAGATCTCTGGCCAATTGTGTTGAAGCATTACCCTTTCTTCTTGTGCTGAACTTGGCTGTGGAAGGAAAAATAGTAATTTTTTTTACATCAAAGCAAAGGATGTCTAAAAGAATTACTCAGTTACCTTATGAATGAGGTCAGTTATTTGCAACACTCTTTTAGGTCCATCAGTGGCAACTCTGACGCTGAGGATGCCAGATCCTTCCCGAAAGCGCTTCCGAGAGATACCTTGTTCAATGGGTATCCCTGAATCCAGCATGAGAGTGGTCACAGGCTGTGGGGGCCCTAGCACAACCTCAGCATCTGGAAAGCAACATTTTCCTAATTTATGAGGGATTCACTCCATACATCATTAAAAATTAGTGAGGAATTTCACTATTCTTCCCATAATTATGCACATGCTACATTTCTCCCCCCCTCCCCATGCAAGCACAAAGCATTTACACACTCTCATGCTTCCTACCTGCAGAAGACCTATTAGTCACAATGAGAAGAGAAAGTCATTTACTAGACTTACAATGGGATCCTAATCTGGGAATTCAAGAGAAGCCAAGCCTCCTTTGTGAAATGTTTCTTATGAGACTGAATTGGTTGAAAATTCATAGTTCCCTTTAACCATTCACTATTTCCATATTATCAGTGTCTTGCTAGCAATGAGAGTGCTGAATCTTTAAATTATTTTATCTGTTCTGTTTCACAAGAAGTCACTAGGATCAGCTACAAGTACTCTAACCTTTCAGAAGCAAAGATGACCAAGAAAATTGGAAAGTCCATCAATCACTCAGTAATCCTAGTAACCTTAGAACTTAATCCTTTTCATGATATTAAACACCCCAAATAGGCAATAGTCTAGCATTACTCTCTTCAATTAAGTCCATTTCCTTGTCATTTACTACTTCATTCTGCTCCTGGTCTGTCCTTAGGGTATCATGTTGAAAATATGCTATGGCCAGTGGTGGGCTGACTTATAGGTCTGGCGATGTTGCAGAATGGGGTTCAATACAGAAACATTGGATTTCCTGGCCCTGGTAACCAACTTATCAATAGTCACCCCAGAAGACAATAACTATTGCAGTCCTGATTATCCTGGGCAATGACTGATCCATTATGAAACTCCTGTGCTGAACACATCATGCAAGTTTCAAGACTTTGATGGTTTACAATGCCATGTCACAAGGATGGACTCCAGTAATCAGGAAGGTTGTAGAATCCCAGGTCCTACCAAAATACAGGGAATTTTCTGATGAGGGTAACCAAGATGAAGCAAAACTTGTAAAACTTACTGTTACACTTTGAGATGTGAAAGCAACTCTAAATTAATTTTTCTTGAATGAAAGGCTTTTACTGGCTCTATCTTCCTGGTGGGATTCTTTATTTTTAACCAGGGCCTTCTTGGGGTGCTACAGCTGTCAGGAAATCCATGGCCATTCCCTCTTTTCATTGCTCTTTATCAAGTTATAGCAAATATGCAAAGCAAAAGTCATGGTTACAGTTATGGATAAACAAACCCATGCTCATTTCTACTTATTTCATTGAGGAAGTAGCTAAAAGGAAAAAATATAAATCAAACACCAATAACACCACCAGGTTAGACCAGGAGATTGTTACAAGCAAAAACATTTTGTAGTACATACAGTGATGCCATGTCTTCAGATGGCTCTTGGCATCTGTCAACAAAGGAAGGATCTCAGTGTCATCTAAGAATGATCATGTATTTTAGGGGAGATGTAAGACTCACCTGGTTTAATGCCATGGAAGCCATCTTTAGCTTGAACATAGAGGTTGGCATGATCACAAGCTAGTCGTCCATCAGAACTGAAGTGCCAGTGCTGGGTAATTGAGCGCCGACTGTCAGGACGTCTCAAGGTGAGGGGTGTGTACTCAGTTGGTTGCGGAGCCAGCCCTGCTACATCAAGGACCTGTAAAGGGTATGTAATCTTAATATTCTGGAACAAGTACGAACCAAACCACTACCTTGGTGCTGTTGCATATGGTACAAAATCCAGTACAAATGTCAAGGAATTTCATATGATTGAAGACTGATGCATCCTTCTCACAGATAGAAAAAATGAATCCTGCCGGCAGAAAATTTTGATATTTTAAAAGTTTACTAATAACTACCAACTGCACAAAAGTTCATGTCCAAAAAGACTTGGAATTTCCTGGAATATCCACGTAGAATACCTGAAGCTTTTTGCCTAGATTACTGATAGATCAAAAAAGTTTCTGAAGTTCTTCTCTATTATGGTAAGTATTCAACTTAATGAAAATGCAATTTCCCAGGGTAGCAAATACAAGGAAAACTAATTTACTGTGCAATGTAAAGTCAATGTTATAGTGAGAAGCATGTTGACCTTCCAACCACCATATTGGCAGGAGAAGCACCCAAGACTATCAAATGTACAGAGAAATACTGAGATTCCATTCACTTGATAGAAGGTTAGAGATGATAGATCTTATTGAACTGGCTATTTAGGATATCAGGGCTTTCATAATGTGGGACAGGATGCTATTTTTCACTCAAAGAAATAGCAGGATGAGGATCTAATTCATGACACAGAAGTTGCGTTTATTGCAAGGAACAGCATATTTTACTTTCCAGGTGGTGAACACACAAATTAGGTTCAATGATGATGCTGTGGCTATCCCATCAATTGATTGCTTTTTAAATAATACATCAATATATATTTGCCATTACATCATCTACATTGTAATGTAGATGAAATAATGGAACAACTCATTGAGTCACTGGAAAGTATGAAGATTGACATGCAATACAGCTTTTTATAAAGGGAGGGGAGATGATTACTTGAAACTGAGTCAAGGTGTAAGTGTTATTGGCAATGCCTCCTGGCACTGCTACTACCAATATTCTTTTAGAATCACTAAATGTAATTAATGGAATACACCTGACAAGAATGTAATTTTTGGCATGCAAAAGCTTAAAATGCTGAAGATTCATTTTTGCTTTGCAATGTTCTTTATATTGCATCTGTCACAGACAACATAATGATATACTTCATGAATTACTGAATGTAGTGACACTCCACCACTTGTAAGAAGCCACTAGACAGACTTGTTGCTCAATGTTTACAATAGGAATCCTGAAATGTTAAGACAAAAGATAGTGTAACAACTGGGATTTGATTTAGAGAAAAGGTAACGTGGTGAAATGAACAAGACAGACCCATATATTCTTGTTGCGCTTGCTTGTCTCTCTCTCAATGTGATCACGAGGAGGGCTGCTTCCCACATGCTCCAACATTCCATCCATGGTCATCCTCCACAACTGGGACCTTTCCCCAATCTTCTGAGGTCGAAGTACCACCCTGGGGGTCCCTGGTTGCCCCTCCACATCCAAGACTAGATTGTTCAGGCTAGGGTCTAGCTTGCTCATATCTGACAATGCTTCTGACCTATGACATGAAATTGCAAATAGAGAGGGGTCTCCAATTGAATACAAATGCCTTCAACACTTTTACAGAAAATATGATAGTTTGGATCTTTGTTGTTGAAGCTCTGTTATAACCAATGTATTGTATCCTTGAAGTGCAGGTAGATATCCCATGCTGACATGCTCACAGGGTCAGAGTAAACAGTACCTTCCCATTGTCATTGTTTATAGATTTGGCATTGTCAGTTTATAAATTTTGATAATTCAGTACTCAAAGCTGAAAGGCTGCCAATCACTAAAGGCTTCAAGTCTGCCAAAGTTACTCACTCAGGGAAAGAGGCAGTGAAGATGAGATAGATGAGATTTTCATATGTCAATTGAGACCCTTCTCCAAGCTGGTTCAAGTCATATGTTGCTTTCACACCACCAGGAGCAACAACAGTCATGAGAGGAGGCAATAATGGCTCATCCAATGCATAAGGGATGTGAGTTCCTGCCTTCAAGATTGATCGCCTGTATGTCTCTTCAACTCCCTTCTACAATATCAAGCCAGCATACACCACCTCATGACAAGGTTGAGTGACAAAAAAGGAATAAAGGAGTATGAGTAAAAGAACACATACCTGATAGTAAGTGATGTTCACAAAGGATCTGTTATCAATTTTATAGGGTGGAGGGACAGTGTCAGGGTCAGAGAAGATGATAAAGTAGGTTGCACCTTCTATGAGAACCTCCACATGAAGGATATGGCTCTTTTCTGCTCTATCTCTGCAAAAAGTCCAATTACTTGCAATGTAGCTATGTAGTTCTCACTCCAACTCTTTCTTAACTTTCAAATAAAACCATACAGACAGACATATTTGTACCAAGCTAAGTCAGGATAGGCAAGGAAGCAGAGTATCTGCCAGAAACTCATGGAAAAGAATAGCTTGCCCTATATCTTAACTCTTTTTTTTCCTAAATCATTGCACAGTGGAACAAATATGCCTTTTCAGGCCAAAACTCAGATAGCTGAGACAGGGATGAGAAACATCTGAAAGCATTACAGTCAATTCTCGATATACCGCACCTGTTGGTCTTCACCGATTTCGGCACTATATTGAGGGTGGCATTATATCGAAAAGCGTGGCTTTAAAATGGAAATTTTCTGAAATAACTCAAATGTAAAATAAAATTAGTAAAAAAAAATCCACTTTAATTCAGCCTTGCTGCCAATGGAGAACAAAAACTACACAGCTTTGAAAAATGATTCGCAATGTTTTGCTGATTTTTGGCCGCATGCGCCTCCTTGTAACAACACACTTCTACTTTTTCCCTCACACTTATAACTGTCCTTTCCCCATTACTGGATAATGAACACACTTGAACAATTGTCTGGAGGAACTTTGAACTGAAAGAGGCATTTCCATTCTCCAAAAGAAAGAAAAGGAGAGGCAGGATTAGGTCAGATTAAGAGACTCCTTACGCCTCCCTCTAATCCCAGGCATCCATGCCAAAGCTAAGTCATCTCTCTCAATCTCGTTATCAAACAATCAAAAGGAAAGGCTGACAGCATGTCATTTTTTCCCACAACGGTAGTGCATGGTATGATCATTGTAGTTGGTACGTCACATTTCATCGTGCTCAATTCATTGCAAGCCAAACTCATTGCAGGCCAAACTCATTGTAGGCCATATTCATTACAAACCATTTTCCATGCTAAAAGAACTATTTTACTTTAGTATGAAAATTTCACTAAGTAAAGAGTCAACTCCTGTTTATCTGGACGTCATTAACCCAGACTTTCCATTTATCTGGATGAGTTTTCTTATCCCCTACACCATTCTCACCCGTTAATCTGGATTTGCTAGCAAAAGAGATAATGCTACAAAAAAAGACTGCATCCCAGGCAGCAACCCTCTACAGTGGACTATGAGCGTCCAGCAATGAAAGCATTCCAGAACTAGTTTCTAGAGTTCCACCTCCAAGGCTGCTTCTTTCATTTTTCACAATGTCTCTGGTGTAAAATCCAAGAATATGGCCTGCAAAGTAAATACAAAGAAGATCCAGAATTTTCCATCCAAGTACGAATGTTGACGTATTTGGCACTTATTTGGACATAAGATGTCACTGTCTTTGAAGAACTCTTTGACTCACAGTATTTCCAGGACAACAAAGAGATACTCCTACCGATAATCAATTACATGGAGGATGTATGGATAGGGCGATTGGATCATTGAGGTGGAAGGAGGCAGCCAATGTTCTCCCACGACATGGAATTTATATTCCTCTGTGAAAGATGGCCTGCCCAAAACGAACAATGCCATTGAGAGATGGCATACAGCATTTAGTTCAATGATAGCTGCCAGTCATGCATCCATTTTCAATTTCATGCGATTAAGAATTTTCATTGAATATTTCATTGATGCGATTAAGAAGGACAAAGTTTTGACAAACCATCAGCTACAAGAAAGGTAATGTGGAGACTCAGGTAGTCATGGAAAAAAAGTCTATCGAGGCATAGCCACAAGGGTGCAAACCATTGTACAAGAGTATGGCTCATGAGAACCTGTTGAGTACCTGAGGGGACTGGCACATAACTTCCAGCTGCAGGTGTGAGGCAATTCTATGTTTAAACATTGACAATCTCTGTAAAAAGAAAATTAAAAATTAAAATAAAAAAAAGACAAATTATTGCATCATTATTATGCTCGTGGAAAATGGTTTACGATGAGTTTGGCTTGCAATGAGTTTGGCCTGCGATGAGTTTGGCTTGCAATGAATTGAGTGTGATGAATTGATGGTAGACCCTTGGTGCTATATCGAGTACGACTTACATTGAATAAGGCATGTTTGTGCAAGGCAAGGTATTGGCAGATGGCGGCTTGCGAGGGTGGCGCTATAACGGGGAAGTGCCAATGATAAGCCTATGGGAAAGATTCGTTCTCAGGAAAGAGTTAGCACTAAGTGAGAGTGGCGGTGTATTGGGTGGTGCTATATTGAGGGTTGATCCATGGTTGGATATAGCTAAAAAAAAAAAGCCTGATTTTGTTACACTAGAGCAGAACTATAAGCAGTTGCACAGAGTTTATAGTGATAGTAATTCTCCTTTCAAAAGGTTCAGCTACCTTCCAGTCCAAATTTATAGAAAAATACTGAGCACCTCTTGAATCACAGCATCCAACTAATTTCCTACCACAAATACTGCAGATGTCATGCAGGAAAAATACCAACTGTACCTGATGTTCACATGGAAGGATTCCACATGGTCTAACTTGAATCCCCCAGACCAGTAGGATGAGAAAGTATCCAGAAGACGAATGTGGAGGAGTTGTGGAATGTCCAAGCGTTGCCAATGAAATGCCAAGTGAGAGTGGGGAAGGGATGTCAGATAAGTCCTCTTCTCCTCATCTCCAGGCTGCAACATTTCAACTCTCATCCACCATTTGGATACTACATGACTTACTGAAGTTGTAATAAACTGTTACTTTTTAATTTTCAAAACTGATAATTGCTTAACACGTTGGTGACAATGCGTCCTGATGCCAGGATGCAGATTTTTTTTCAATGAATACCCTAAATGCACGTGGTCCCACGCGGCGGACAAGCAAAAATAGGCTGGTCGTCAACGTGTTAATTAGCTGCTTTTTATGTAATACATACTTCCATTCAATTAATTTAACTGATGAGTTAGTTAAATTACTTCAAATTATAAATGGCTAAAATAAATAAAAAATAATCTTTTAATAAGTGGTTCCCTCATGTTGAATGGGACCAATTTAAGTTGCATTTTGCATTTTTTTTCCTCCAATGCCCTCAACCATGAGTTGTCAAAGAGCCTGAAAATATTATCAGAATGAACATGATGGACTAATATGATGCCCATAATGCACTCTATTCATTCCTTTCAGAGGCTGTTTCTTTAGTCAGATTCATAGAGGGAATTTGGGCAGATAACTTGATTAACCCCTTAACTCTCATGCCCAGGTATACTCCTATAAATGCAGCTGTGATTTGTTTTCAAGTACTTCATTTATTACTGTAAAATAGTCTCAACTTACATTGGAAACAAAGTTTAATGGTTCTATGAAAACTTGATTGAAAAGTTTTCTAATGTGGGAACAAGTATTTGAAAATGAAAGAAAAAAATGAACACAGGCCTACTTAAAAACTCAACAGTTGAGGGGTGAATAGTTTGATTAGCATCTATTAGGTCTCAAGCAGGGTTTGTGCATCCTTGGAAGAATACAATCTCTATTTAAAAAATTGGAGATCTATAGCATTGCCAGATACAGAAATCATTCATTGGGGGGGGGGGGGTTGGCCTACCTAGTTCCTTCCTCCCCACCCTTCCACCACTGCCACCATCCTCCAAAAGCCTCATTCATTTTTTATCCATATTAAAATTTGGAGAGTTTGTATTGATAGAAGCTTATGAAATTGGTCAACATGACAAAATTTAATGCCAAAACTTCCCTTATGTCTCTTGTCACTTGAATGAATGAAGCTGCATGGAGTATTTTTCCCTAATGCTATTCATCTTAGGAATAATACATTCCCACATTTTGCTGTTTTTAAGAATGCTTTTCTCAGTCCTTTTTCTTCTATTCCTGTGCTGGCCAGTGTGTCTTCCCTTCAGTAAGAAAATTTCAGGGTTGGGAGAACAAATTCTGATTTAAAAGGGGGGTAGACATTCTGTAATGTAAATACTGGTTAAGCTGCAATTATGGAACTCCCTACAACTCACATCATCAACTGCATAGTAACTCTGTGCAAACTGCAGGGTGTGAATGGAGCAGTTGAAGAGCATGAATCTAGGAGAGATGGTGACGATGTATGTATCCCTGTATCTCCCTTTTCCTTGAGCCACACTTATGCTGATGAGATAGACCTGGCTGTGATCATCAGAGAAGACACGAAGGCGTCGGACACACGTTCCTTTCTCCAGGTGAAATGGATGGCACCACTACATTTAGAAAAAAAGAACACACTTACTCTCTCCAAAAGATTTTGAATTATGCTGCTTAAGTATATTAAAGGGGACAGACCTGAGGGTTCCCAGATGGATGGAGAGCCTTGCCAAGTCGAGCTTTAAGAAGTCCACCTGAATCCCTGTCTGTGAGGGAAAACATGAGAGGTGTAACACAGGACCCTGTCTCATGATCTTCACCCTGCCCTGTTGCATCCCTTGATTCCCCATCTTGCCGAAACACCAAAGGGATTCCTGTCTTGTTGACAATCCAGAATGGAGCTGATAGCACCAACTGGGTGGGAATAAAAAAGGAATGAAAGGAAAGAAAGGCATAAGTAAACTCCTACTGGACTATAATTGTGCTGAGATATATAGAGAAGACCAGATTTTCTGGCTAATTCAACAGAGAATAGTGTAAACATCCCATTCAAAATCTCATTTTCTCATGACTACATAAAATATCAAACCATTTTAGTTCCCCCTCCCTTATCTCTTCACAACCCTTTCATTCCATGAATGATTTCCTTCCACAGGACTGACATGGTAAGTCCTTCAGGTCTGGTATGTAAGATTATGCATTATTTTTCTCATTCTCAACCTCCCGACTCCTGGAACATGAGGTCATGTCCCCCACTTCAGGTTTTCTACGACAAAACAAAGTTGTAAGGAACATATTTTTCCTTGATACTTGGCGATCCATAGAATTTCTTAGGAAAATTTTATTGGTGCAGAAACCATATTGGGATCAACAAGATGGATTTTCTCTACATGCTTTGTCATGCATGGCTGTTGTCATAATCAGGCACATTCATGAAGCAGTTTAAGAGGCCTATTGATTTAAGTTAATGAATACATAAATTCTTGAAATATATAGATGTCATGAGAACTTTTTCAAGAAAGAAAAAATCTTAGATTTCACTCTTTCTCTCTATAGGATGGATTTTCATTTTATTTCTTCCTTCAATTAGTTGAAGTATATTTTCCTTACTTCCTGCACTTGGCAAAATAAACTTATAAAACTATCTGCAAGGTCTGTGAGCACCATGCACCTGTAAGAAATACATAAATTACAGAATTAATAAATGAATCATTTGATATTACAAGGCATATGGCTTTGGATGATGTAAGATTGCATCCATATGATATTGTTATTTATGATAAAAGCATGCTGTCCTGGTTGTACCTTGTAGAAGACTCCAGAACGACCAGTTATTTTCATCTGAAGTTCCAGAACTCTCTTCAGCGAGTCCATCATTGTTAGCCTTACAGTGCAGTTCCCCATGGCAGGATATATGGTGAAAGGAGAAACTTGATTGAATATTTCAGTCCTAAAGGCTAATTCTAGGTCCTCTGCCAAATCCACCTGGAGAAATGAAAGTGGCAACAAGGTGACAGAAGCCACAAGCAAAAAAAAAAAGCACTATGGCACAGTTGGTTCATGCTTGTTTTCATGTTGTACTTCCTAAATTTAGGGTACATTTAACAACCCCAGGAATAGGTCCATGAAAATTTATTGCAAGAATCACTGTCTCAGATTTAGCAGCAAAGAAACTTCTTGAAACTTTCTTGTCAGTTGAATAAGAGACAATCAACTCAAAGTGAGGACACTTTCATTATCTTCCTCTTTTGACTGAAATGAAAGCATATTTGGTCCTTTCCACAGTAAGAATACATTCCTTGATTTTGAATTTAGTGGATCACATTCGAATTCCCTCCTGACACTTCCAATTCCATCACTTTTCATTTGTGGCTTCTTACATTGAGGATTCTGAAATCTACCGATTGGCACTCTATGGGAAAAGGCCACACAAGCATTGGACCTAGGCCTGTTTATGTCATCTACCCTCACAGTCACTTTCCAGCTGGATATTTCACCACTGATTGAATGTAAAATACATGTTTGGATAAGCAACAGTAAAAGAAAATACCAGACCTTATGCAGTGATACTTGATCACTGGCCTTAATTAGGCCACCTTCACCACTCTGGTTCTTGACTTTGAAGGTGACATCACATGGGAGAAGATTGACAAGCATGAGAGGACTGAACAAAGTAACTGTATGCACTGGCTGGAGAGGCAATGGATGATGTGACAGGGATCCCAGAGATGAGCATTGAACCACTTTTCTCGTTGATGGGTAAGGATCTTGATTATACTTGACGCACATCCTTCAACACATTGGAAAAAGAGACAAACTTAATAAGGACATCTTTAATTCTTGGTCTTCACATATTAGCTTATAGAAATAGAAACACTAGGAACTGTTAGATAAGCAAAGGCATATAATCAAACCCATCTAAGAAGAAAGGATCATCATAGAAATCTACTTGAAAAGAGATTTGGCTGGTTCAAGAGAATTAACAGATGCATCACGCCAGAATGAATCCAGAAAAAGTCAAGCAAGAGCCTATATCCTACTTTGGAGATCCTAATTTTACTTGAAACCACATCTAACAGTAATGTGTTTAGCAAGTAGCAAACAGTCTTTTTACATTCATGACATTACCTGGGGGGCAACTGAACTGATTAAATGCACAAGTAAAATATGGTTGCCAACCCATTCACATCTACAAGTATACTGGTATGCATTTGAAACTTGGGTGTGGAACATTTCAATGCTTACCATACCATGAAATTATGATATGAATTGAATGAACATAATCAAAGAGTACCTGAGAGTTTTCTGAAGAACTTTTAAATCCTTGCAGGATTTAAAGAGCTGTTAATGGGGAAAAGTCACCAGGTGCAAATTGGTTAAGATTTTCTTCATCAGACCTGTTTTATTTCCTAGTTCAGCATACAAGGGAACTTCCAGTAATTGAATAATGCTGCTAAACATCACAATTTTTGGGTTCATCAGTGATGCATGATTTATGAATGTGACCAGATCCCTGATCTCTTGAGCATCAATTGATGAAGGGGACCTTCTGTTCATACTGTGGTCACACTCTTCCATACACATGCAGTTAACCCTTTTAGTGCCTTGGTGAAAAGCATACAAATTCTACATATATTTTCTTACCACATATACATTTTATATACATTACCTAAAGATATTTTGCATCAAACTGCCAAAATTTGGTTATCTGAATAATTTCAAAATTCCCCATTTGCTACACATTGAGTCTTCAGCCCCCCATGCATAAAAATGTATCAGTTGTGTTACTAATCAGGAACTTGGTGCAGTGACGGGTAAATGTGATTTAGGTCCATTCTAGAACCTGCAAGGTGTTGGGACAAAGAGGTAATGACAAGAAACAAGAGACCATCCCTTTCCTGTCATAAATAAAATTTATGTCAAACAGCAGCACTAAAATAATGGTATCAAACACAGGACTAGAGTATAGTAATAGAAAAATTGTATTATGATGAACTACATTAAGAGCTCAATATGGCATCAACTTAATTAAGAATGGATGTGCAGATCCCCACTCTAGTAAAGGAGCATCTTATAACTATTAATTGTACCAAGATTTCTGCTCTTCTTGGGAAATATTAGAAAAGATCACATAAGACAGCCTCAGTGCAGTGTGTTACCTGAAAAATGAGAAATTTCAATAAGCCAACATTTCTTACTAGGCAAACATATGTGGCTGATGTATCCTTTGCACTGTACATGAAGATACTTAGGGCCATAGATGTTACCTAGCAAAACATGTAGATGAATCCAGACCCCACTCCACTCATACTAAATTGCAAGTGGATGCAGTGCAAACTCAATACCCAGGTAGTGGCCTGCAAGGGCCAATTTTTCAGAATCAAACCCAGAAGCCAATTTGAGCTTTTTGTTTGCTCCCAAACCAAAACCCAATGGAAAACACCTTCATAGTCCAACTCAGAAAAAACATTAACTCATGTTTTCCAGATTGCACCTCCATGCTCATTGTGCCATTCTTTCATTCATGGAGGTGCAATACTGTACCTTTTACACATACTGACATTCTGATGCCTATGGCCCTCAATCATATCAGATTTTTCTGCACCAGCAGGATATTGCCCATTCATTCCTGTTGGACCTAAACTGTTCTCCTTCCCACATTACATGTGCGAGGGACATTCCAGTCAGTACAAGGCCTACTGACTGGTCTTTTGCCAGTCATTTTAGATGGAAGACTCTCTTTGAGAGTCTCTAGAGAGGCATGTGGGAGATGTGTCAAAACCAACAGGCTCGGGATCTCTTGATCCATAGTAGCTGCTTGACCAGGAGTTTCTCATAGATGGAGGCACTTAGTATCCTCCCACAATGGGTTACACCAGCCACCAATCATGAGAACCTCGTTTCAGGAGCTTGTGTCAGTGACCTGATCCTTTTGGCCATTACCCACAGTTTGTGACCATAGGAGACAGTGGGAAATGGTAAATGCCCTTCAAGTTTGGCTTCCTTGAAAATGTTAAATTTGGCAACCACAGTCCTCCAGTGTTCGTGCAAAACTGCAGAAGCCCTAGAAATGAGGCTATTATCTCAGCCATATCACCTGTCTCTTGAGAACCAAACCCCAAGGTATTCACACTTCTCCACCAGTTCCAGTGAGACTCCCCCCCTACATGTAAGGTGCAATGTATAGGACTTCTTCTGAGGACTATAACTTGTGTTTTGGGGATGCTCAATTTCATTCTGGCTGCAGTACATTCCAAGTTGAACCGATTAAGCATGCCCTAATGCTCCTGTTGAGACCAGGGCCAAAAAGGTCAGCATCATTACCAAAGTGAAATATCATGATTTTGACCCAACCATGGGAGAGATCTTATGAAAATGGCCCATAGGTTAGGTTGGGTTAGGCCGACTGGGCCAGCCCACAGCCAATGCAAGACTCTAAACCTAGGGCACCAACAAATACTTTCCAGCAGTGCCTACAAGACACGGAAAAGATAAACCAACCTGAATGGAGATGGGTCACTATATATCACAGACTGTGACACAATGGACTCATAGACAGGGGTCTTTGGCATGGCCTTAGTCCAGTCCAGGGCCTCTGAGGTCAAATTGTATTGGAAGTCACTATTTCCTCCCCGTTTTCCTCCTGGCATGGGACGTACTCTCAATGTGCTCTGAGTATGATTCAATGGAACAGGACACACCTCTGCAGGCTGGATTATGCATGTCTTCTGTCTTCTTTCTAGTGCTACACAACACAAAAAATATATAAATAATCACATGACCCACCACAGTGACACAAGCATCAGTAAAAGAGTGGGGGGGGGGGGGGGAGATATATTGGAAGAGAAAAGACAAAGCAGACATATATGCATGGAAGATCTACAAAAACTCACAGACATGACGTGTCTCAAAGTTGAACATTTCCAGTGAAACTGGGAAAGGAAGATTATTGAGGATGAGGAGAGAAGATCGAACAGAGACGAGCTTCCGAGCTGTGCCATCAAATGTGACTGAGAAGACAAGACGAGTTGGACCAAACCCTGAAACCTGCAACATCAGAGACTCAATATAAAGGCAAAATTGAGCATGTCAATCAAGATTAGCATGACTATTAAGCTCTGCAATAGACCAGCATAAGAATTTCAATCTTTCCAAAGTTCATGTACATGTTGCAAAACTTTTGTATTATGAACATGTTTCATTTAGGGTGGCATGAGTACCTCACAATTGGAATAGTGTCAATCATCATGACCTTACTGCTAAGTGGTAACAACTTTTGTCCCATGCAGCATACCATCTAATACATACAGACAATCGTGAGTGAGTGACTGACTGACTGACTGATGCTAATTCTAACCATGTTCTAGGTATCACAGTAATCTGAAACTTGGTTCATAAGTAGCTATTAGGATGCTGAGTTCAAAATAAATCTGACTTTGGAGGTACATGCCCTGGGGGCCTATTTTTTGGGGAGGATTTTTAAGAAAATATTTTAGCTTCAGTCAAATGGAGGGACATGGAAAAGTAAAAATAGGCATGAACATGTCTACTGATATACTGATTTCAGGAAAATTTTCACTTTTCAGATATATCCCCTGGGGGCAAAAATTTTGGGGGAGATGTGTTTCAAATAATTTTTCTTCACTTCAATCAAACAGAGAAACACGGAAAGCTGAAACTTTGCACGAACATGACCACTGAGACACAGAAAAGCATCATGGAATGGTTTTCTTTGCCAGAATAATAAATGAGTCCAACCTGCTGATCAATAGGTGAGATGAAGCAAAAGTAGGTGCCAATTTTATCAACAGTAACAGGCAAAGACTTGGTCCAGCCCTTGATGTGAACAATGACTTGATGGGTGAGGGCCTGGCTGCCTTCAGAGAGGACTTGGCGATTTCGACTTCTCTCTTTGAATGAGAATGATATAGTGTCTCCTGGGCCAGCAGATCCATGAAATGGTGATTGTGGAACAGAGGTTCCTGTATTAGATGATTGGAGTCTTCTCAGATGCTCTGAGATTGTTTCATCACCAACACCTGTTTCCATACCAGGCAACCTGCAAAGATGGATGGAAAAAAAAAGAAGGAAGAAGAAGAATGCCATTTTCATGTTGCTGCACAGAGAAATAAATCTTAGTGCATTAAATCACACACCATACAAGGATGGTGTCCCAAACATGGAACATTCAGCATAGGATTGATAATAATGAATGAGAGCAATAATAAAAGGTCTATCTGATATTCTTTGCTACTAGTGAGCAAAGTGATAAATTATGTGAACCCTGAGCAAGCAGAGCCTTAGCAACTTATCTTAGGGCTGCATGTGAGAACCTGTTGCAAGATGAACTTGGTTCATGGCTAGAAGCTATACTTTTTATTTAATTTTTGGCTATGAAGACCCTACTTATTATTTCGTCACATTTCAATTTATGGTCTCCTACTTTTAAGAATAATTTCTAGCCAGCTGTATCCCACATTCAAATCTCAACTGAATTTCTGAGTTCACCCTGATCTGGCACCAGTCCATCAAGTTTAGCTGTAGGGAGTATACATGACATCAGTAGATCATGTGCTTCCTGTAAAACAGAGAGGCAATATCAAGTGGGACAGGATGTAAGACATCTGAGATATCTGCATTCTTCCTCTCCTTATTATCAGCTAGTTCTGGAAAATGACCCCTACATACAACTGGATGAAAAAAAATGCTAGGAAAGTTATAATATGCATAAGCAGTGTGATATAGAATGGCAATGAGTGATGTGAATGGTAATGAATGATGAAAGAACTAAAATCTATCATGCAGAGTTTGTCCACTCAGTGGATTCAACAATTTGCAATATTGACTTTTATGCAAGTGGAAACTTTCAAATAAACACTGGTGACTATTTGGAAGTGACCTGAAGCTGTATGTCACTGTTATTTGAACATCATGGGTATCTTAGCAGATTCAGTGGAGAAACATGGGATACTAGTCTTGCCCATATCCACCAACTTATAAACACATACATACATTTTCTAAACCATTCATCCCAATTTAATGGGGTAGCAGTTCAAGCAGGCCTAGGAGCACTATGCCTCAAGCAGCAGCTTTTTGCACCCCTCTGTATCATGCCCTTAAAGGGCATGATTAGACACCTATTAGACACATATGTGCTAAAGGCTACCTTCTTGTCAGCAATGGACAGCTGCACTTCTGGCATCCACCAGGGAGTTTGCTTGGAGTTAGCAAGTGTCACTCTGATTTGCTTTTCAATGCATATTTTCACTGCTGCATATGAAATGCCAGATCAAAATGGATCCCACTTGGTCTCTACATCAGAAATCTGGTGATGTGATTGGGAACAATTTTTGCCAATAGCTCTTGCCAACTTGTCACAAGTTTTCTCATCATGGAAGGCTTCCCACTTTACCTGCTCTTCAACACATGTGGCTTTCCACCCTGCTCTGAAGTTAGCCTGTATTTGGAGTTTGCTTACCACAAGGTGGTAGTCAGTGCTCACCTTGGCCCCCTGCTTTACTCTTACCCCACTTTATCCACTGGCATCAAGTCAAGATGCAAAACCTTGCCCAGTGGTTCACTGACAATCAGTGACATCAAGTAAAATGACAATCAGAAGTTTTGGGATTTGGAAGAAAATACTCCCTTCACTTGCAAGGACTGAGTTGGATATGTACCTGGCTGAAATACTATTCACACAGCTGGCATTTGCAACTTTTTTATAGTCATGGATGGACCCCTGTTTCTTGGTGAAGTTTCATCACATTGATGGAGAGCACAAAGAGACAGAGGCAATGCTTTCAGTATCTTACAGCTGAAGTAAGACATACTGCCACAGTAAGTAAGACTTCAGTACCTTACCTTATCTAATTGAGTTATTTTGCATATTATGTGTTTATAACTAGGTCCCTTAAAATGGCACAATTGTTGTTTTTCATGTAACAAGACTTTCTTTCTTCACCAAATTACTGGATGACAGTTAACCCTAGGTTGCATGGCTGAATTTATACATATTTCCATAGGTCAGGTCTATGAGACCCACTACCAAAATAACATGCACTTAGACCTTTTAAGAGAACATTCAATTTATTAACCCTTTCCAGTCCTTTGTCCTACTGGGTGGGCCACATGATTTTTAGCAAAATTCCTATGTCCTACCAGGTCAGCTGAAGTGGATGTTTATGCCACCAAGTAGGGTCTTATATTATTATATCCTTTTGCCTGTTTATTCTAGATGAAAGCAAATGTTGCTCCTGAAATATTTATTTAAACTGCTGACCCTTGCAGTGCCCAAACATGGGATCCACCTCACTATACAAAACAATTACATAGGTAATATACCTAAAAGATAAGGACTCTCCCATGGAACTGGTGCTAAGATTCTGTCTGATGAGCTGAACATAAGCAAAGTGAGTGCCCACTGGGTGCCTTGCATGTTTTCCAAGGGCATAAAGCAAGCCCTTTGGACACTTCTTTTGCTATGGTGACACCAAATGCTGCATGCCCAATGGATTTAGTGGACAGTGTGATTGATCACTATGGATGAGAAATGCAATTTTTCTTTTTTTTATCCTGAGACCAAGAGATGATCAAAACAAGCACACCAATTCCCCTTCACCCAACAAGTTGCATCAAATGAAAAGATTCTGCATTTTCTTATCTGGAACAAACAAGGCTAGACTTTGGCTCCTGCTGGCATTGTGACATAGTTCTTGGCTGAAAGATGGTTTGAACTCTTACCACATCCTCCCTATTTGCCAAATCTTACTGTGAATGACTTCTGGCAGCTTGGCAAGCTCAAGAATTTGTTGTAAGGAAAAAAATATTTTTCCAGACAGGCCCTGGGCTCTGCAGTCTACTAGTGGTTCAAGCATGCACCCAAAGATGACATTGTCAAGTGCTATAAAGACTGGTTAACCCCTCGCCTAACCGTTAAATTTACTTTCCACCATGCATTGCCCAGCCATTTTTTCACTTTTTTTTTTTTAATATACATAGTGGTAAGGAACTCTTTCTTTATTTCAAACACTGACCTCTATTTTTTATATGATGGTATGCCTTTGATAGCATCACAGAAAATATGTAGCATGTGGCAAGATTTTCCTTCCTCAGGTGAGAAGGGGAACTCTTGCTACACATTATAGAATGTCCCATCTGCTGCCTGCAGACAGACCACAGTTGCCAATGTGTGGGCATGAGACCTAACATCAGAATCCTCAAGGAAGGACCCCAACAACTAGATACTGTGGAACTTTCACACCACTAAAACTCCCTCTCCCACTCACCTAGAGCGATCGTGCCCATGGGGCCTCGATTCCAGGATCATAGAAAGTATTTATTTTATTTTCTCTTTGGCTGCTTACAGCACCACCAGTGGCAGAAAATTAAAGTAGACATTCAAAGAACTCTTAGAGCAAAGCAAGTGGTGCTATCTGTTGTAATTTACAAAAAATAAATTAACAAAGTTCATGATGCAGGCTGTGCATCAAAGTTAGTCAAGGGGTTAAAATAGTGGCAACTGGGTGCAGAGAGAGGAGACTATGGTGAGAAGTGGTTTGAGAAACTTGGTAATTCTAGAAGTTACACTATAATGGCATGCACTTTCTGACTACCACGTAATGCCTTAGTGACATCTGGGTAGTTGGACTGTAATTTCATCGAACTTCAAAATGAAGCCAAACTCAAAATCCTACTGTTTAAGTCCTACTAACACATACAGCTAGATTTCTTTTAAATCTGACTAGAATTAAAATGAACTCAAATTCAGATTCTCACATATGGTCCTTAGCATTGAGCTATAGAATCCTCTGGGTTTACACAATAGATATTCTCAAATTCCTTCCTGGTAACAGATCAATGTTAAGTACCACTTACATAGTTGCAAGCCCAGTGACAGCCCAGAACTGAAGCTCACACCCAGTATCATTCTTCAATGCAAAGGGGATAAATGGCATGCGCCTCCTCAGTCCACTACAATCCCAACTGGATGACCTGCACACGAATATAAATACAAATGTAAACTTCACATAATAACAAAATTAGACAAAACTAACAAATTTACAGAAAAATTGGGTATAAGAAAAAGCTCCTGAAAATTATATCTAGTCGAATGAATTTTTCATTGAATTTAGGAGACAATTAAATAGCATCAACTTCTCTATTTAGACTAAGGCTTTGAAAGAATACTAAAATAAATGCCATATTTCTAGGAGAACAGAAAAAAAAAGCATTCAGTATTTTTGGTGCCTAATCCACCTTCTTCTGACACACTTTTAGACAGTTTGCAATTAATTTTCAAAGCATTCCCCCTTCTTTTTCATGATTGAAAGTGAGTATGAATGCTGAATTTTGTGAATGTTGGAATTTCTATATTAAATGAGCTTTTGGGATGTGAAAAAAGTTCCCCAGGTTCAAGTTAATGGATGGATCTTTTTTTTTTTTTTAAATATATGGATCCTAAAACTTCTATCTGTATTTAGCCATTTGGAAGAGGTTGAATCAGATAATGAAATTCATGTGAGATATTGGGCTTCAGCACATTAGTCAGGAACAAGCACTCAAGGTGTGCTATCTAAACTGAGCAGAGCAACAAGAATGAAGTAGCAAAGTGCCTGCATTTGGAACAAAAAAAAAATTTTGTGAGTGACCCATTCCAATACCAGGGGCTGTATTAACCCATCATTTTAAATTTGATTTGAGGTGGAATTTAATATTTTTTTTATTTATTCTTGAGGCCTCCATTGTTTAAAAATTACTTTAATTGTCCCATCCTAAGAATGCCCTGTATTTCCTCAAAAGAAAAGAAAAAATTTACACTTACATCTATTCCATAGCAGAAAATACTGCGACTGAAGCATTTAATATTAATCTGTCACTGCACCTTTGTTTCATGCCCACCAACATTATCACTATTTCAAAGAAAATTTGCCTTTTGAAGAACTTCAGATTTGGTTGCTTACCTTGAGATTCCTGCTATTGCATTCTATATTCTGTTGTGTGGGGGAGAGGAATCAGAGCTCCACTTCCTCCAAAACAGTAAGAAAATTACAATTCATCACCAAGGCTAAATTTATGAAAAAGCACCACATTTCCCATGGATGAAGACACATTTCAATTGAAGCAATTTAATCATTTCAATTTGCTGAAGTTGAAATTGCTTGTTACTAAGTCTTTAGCTCACACTCTTAACTTACAGAATGCTGAAAATTAATTAAAAACCATCAACAAGTAAATTACAAAGGTACGAGGGCCACTCAATAAGTTATCTACCTGAATATGAAATGTGGTGCTTTTTCATAAATTTAGCCTTGGTGATGAATTGTAATTTTCTTACTGNTGGAGAGTGCGATACTGGAGGATCGTCGCACCAAAGTCTCTGTTTTAGCTCGTGAACTGGGGACTTCAGAGGGCATAGTGATTCACATTATTCATGAAAAATTACACATGTCCAAAGTCAGTTCTCGATGGGTCCCAAGAATGCTGACTCCAGCTCAGAAGTACAGATCTGACATCTGCAAGGAAAACTTGGAGTTTTCTAAACAAATCGGGGAAACTTTTTCCTCAGAATAGTAGCTGGTGATGAAACTTGGGTTCATCACTGGGATCCCGAAACCAAGCAGGAGTTCATGCAGTGGAAGCACAAGGGATCGCCAACGCCTCGCAAATTTCGTGTTCAGAAATCTGCAGGAAAGATTATGGCCACTGTGTTTTGGGACAGCGAGGAACTACTGCTGCTTGAGTTCATGTCAGACAAGTGTACAATCACTGGCGATTCCTATGCTACCACCATGGAAAATTTACACGATGCCATCAAGGAAAAACGCAGAGGACAGTTGTCAAGGGGGGTGCTTCTTATACCCATGACAACGCGCCCGTCCGCAAATCATGGAAAATTCAGGCAGCAGTGAGGGAGTGTGGCTTTCAAGAGCTCAACCATCCTCCCTACAGCCCGGATCTGACTCCTAGTGACTATTTTCTGTTCAGACGCTTGAAAAAATTTTTACGGGGAAAAAGATTTTCATACAATGAAGAGCTGAAAGTTGCCGTTTCTGATTGGTTTCATGGACAAGAAGTTGACTTCTATTCCCAGGGAATAAAATCCTTGGAATCAAAGTGGAATAAGTGTGTTGAGTTGAAAGGTGACTACATCGAAAAATAAAGTGTTATTTTTCCCCTCGGATGTTTCTTTCTTATTCAGGTAGATAACTTATTGAGTGACCCTTGTATATAAAGTGCTCCATTTCCATACTGTTTGCGCCCCATAGGTTGGAAAGTTCTGCTCAAGAGTGAAGTATTTCCTTAGAGACCCCATAATGTGCAGCAGTTGAAGTACATCACTCAATGCATTCATGAGATTTCTGCTCAAACATGGCAGGCAACAATGAACAATGTCTTACCTCAATGCCAACAGGGCATCAATGAGAATGGCATGTACTTGAAAGGAATTATTTTTCATCTGTGAATGTTCATGCAGTAGGTACATGGATACCAAAAACTGTCAGTATATGCTACGGTTTTCCTTTAAAATGAAGACTTAAAGTCCCATGATAAATGGAACACCCTGTACAAGTCCCATTGACACTCACCTCATGGTACATTAACCCTATTTTCCATATATTGCCATTCCCTCATTACTTCCCACAAAGTTGAATGAAATAATTCACATGGAAGCTCTGCACTAGAAAATAAATAACAATCAATGTCTCATGCCAAAGAAAATTAACTTAGAGCAACACTCGAGTGGATACACAGATACAAATCAGATAGGAGAGAAGTCTACCAACTGTACTGTAATGACAAGGCAGCTTGGAATCCCTTTGCAGAACTTTAATTGTCTGTTTCAGGTAATCTAAGAAATTGAGAAAAAAAAGACTTCCCACTTTTTTTTGCTTGTCCTTTACTCTCCCTGTAAATGCCTATATCCTATCTATTTTGCTCGTGTTTTCAGATTAAAAATTTTGTTAATGCATTATGGAGATCGAGTAGAAAGATTGCAAGTTCACACATATTTTTTGGTCGTTCATTTTTTAGATTGCCTGAGACAGACAATGATAGGAGACTTTCAAGGATTCAGGAAGATTCTCTTAAATTTCCACTAGGACATACATGGAGACTAAACTTCAGGATATAAACATATATGAGGCTCATGTCAACATAGAAACCCTAGTTTTCATGAACCACTGAGGTGCAGGTTTGACAAAGACGGCAAAAAAAGGCACTTACCTTTCTTTGTTGGATGCTTCATAATCCTCAGACCAATTGGCCTTCACATTCTTGAGGAGTCTCACAAAACTAGACGTCACATTAACATTCAGGGAGTCACTGGACTTCACCTCCAAGTTCAATGAAGATTCTTTCTCTTGCCAAGATAATTCAGCCCTATTAATAATAGAATATGCAAAGATTTAGTGTACACACTCCACAGGCCAACAATGAAATCATTACAGAATACATTGATTTTCAGGACAGAAATGAGATGTTCATGGCAACTTTAAGTCAAACTTCAATCAGAGATGTGCGTACTGCAAATTGTATTATAAGAGAATTCTACAGCTACTCCTAAGCTAACCACAGCATACTGAAGAAGCTATGCAATGTAGTTATCATTTACTGCTGCTTATGTCTTTTCATACCTCTTCTCTTTTTTTCTCTCAAGATGATAAACATACTTGCTTAAAAACAAAACAGAAGTTTATCATATAGTGCACCACAAGGCTCCCAAAAGCTACTTGAACCATGATCTTTATTCTTTCACTGGTATTGGTGCCTCCAGATGCCCAGGAGATAGTCAATGCCTCCTCTACTGACACCTTCTGTCTGGGTTGAAAAAGCCCAGTGTAAAGGTTTTTATGGCTTTTTCTTCAATCAAACCTTATTTTCTACATGAGAAACACCATTTAAAATGTGAGGCCTGCTGAAGACTGAAAATCCTCTCAAAATGGAATAAAAACAATAAAAATAATATATAATTTGAATAAGAAACAGGGAACAACCTCACTTGGTGTCAGAGCTTTTGATTTCAGAAGTCTACATTTTGCCCTGCAAGAAAAACTAAAAAGTCTGTGTATTGTAAGCTTCCTTTTTTCAAAGAAAAAGCAAGGAACATGGGTAGTGGACAGTTTTCAATTAAGACACACAGAAAAAGGAAAAAGATGCCTGCTTCATTCAGGCACAATACATAATTACAGGCCGTTAAAGGTAGGAATGTCCCTTTGTAGTCTATATGAGGCCTTAGTGGCAGCTCATGAATTACCTGGGATCTCATTTAGTATGAGTGATTGCTTTGAGAGCATATGTACAAGTACTACAGTCATATTTCAAAGTGGCTTGACACCAGGCACCTAGGCAGCATAGAATACCTCATCACTGCTCAAATTTGATCCTCCATTTCCTTGGTTGTTTCTAAGTTCAGTTTTAACTACTACGTTGTTGAATTTGGACAAGCACTGCATACTTACTTCCAAGGTTCTAGGAATGGTTCCCATCCTGACAAGGCTTGATTATAATAATCACCAGCAATGATGGCCTTCATCCTTCCAATGCCAGATTCCATCCCCCTTTCAATGAATACACTTGAAAAGATCAACTCCACCAGAGGGACATCAATGCCTCTGCAGTCATCAATGATGCAGAAACTCAAGTTCTTCATGGTGACCTACAATGAAGGTAGCCATTTTAAAATAGCTTACAACAAATGATGCAACTGTACTCCTACTGAAGTTGCTTCAGGGCAAAGGGAGTACTTGAAAGAAAGAAGTCATTTGCAACTGATGCAATTTCTCTTTTAATCACCATATTCCCCTCTTAATATGGAACATAGGCCCCACAAAGTGCCAGCAGGAGAATATTGCAAATAGATTGCAGCTCAACTTATCTACATTTTTTTAAATATTTAAAATCCATGAAGGCATGTAGGCACAAACCACTCCAACCAAATAATGGGCATATGGGAAGAGGGACCATGTACTTCTACCTGTATGTCTATTAAACAAGGTGCTCTATTTAAAACCAAACTCATTATATTGTTGCAGGAATAGTATATGAGGAATATTATGTTGACAAAACAGTTGGTAATACTATGAATTGTCATGGTAATGTTGTTATTTATTACTATATGGTGACTTCGGCTGTCATAATAGAGGGAATCAATTGAGTGAAGAGTTTGAATAAGGAAGAGAGTGTTATGTGAGGGAGTGTAAAAGCATGTTCACTATTCAGCAGTGCGATTTTGGGTGGAAACTTATTTTAAAACCAAACTTAATGTAGATGTCAACATCAACTTCATCTCTTCTTCTAATAAAGGTGAGTAATCTCATTTCTCAACTTAACATTAATATATGGGTTCAGTTTTAAATGGAACACCCTGTACAAGGGAACATTTTTCTGCACCTCCAATATTCCAAATGAGAATGTTGAGAGCACACCAAAGTGTTCAATTCAATAGGAGGAGGCAACCCCTACCCCTACCCTGCTCTTAATCTCATATCTCTTATATCAATCTTTATTAAATTATGAAATTACGCATGAAAAGGAGATACTAGTGTTCATGCAGGCATCACCTAAATAAGAATGAATTCAACAATGGTAAAGTTTTGCCCTCCCAAAAACAACCTCACTCAAAGTTCAAACATATTTTTCCTGTTCATTTATCTACAAGAGATTTACCTCAAGGGAATTGAATAGTGGTTTGGACTGAAGCCTGGTTGATGGTAATGATGCAGAATTCCGACCAGAATTAGTGGGCACCTTCTTATGGATCAGCCACATAGCAGCTTCATCTACTTGTGATCCATTTGCATAGAGAGCTTCCAAACAATCATCACGAGAAAATCCCAGACTCTCCAAAGCTTTCATGTGATCTACACACATAATACAAGATGAATGTTAGCATGAGATATGAATGTATGAATAGTTGAGAAAAATTCTAGAGGACTGACTGTGGAAATTAGTGGGAAGAGATGAGGATACTGATGCCTCCAGTTGCTGCTTTGCTCTGTGTAAGATGCTCAGGAACAATCGCATATCCCAATATGACAGACGAACACTTACGAGTTGCAGAAGGTGCACCTACAAATGACACTATTGTTTATTTCAGCATCCATCATGAGTATCAAGATCTGTCTTGAGAGTCACTTTAGTTGCAATCAAGCATGGGGTGATATAGGAAATAAACAAAGGGTAAACTACGTTGGTAGCAACAGAGAAAATTTGGAGGGGATTGGGAACCTTCTTTCTATGGATGAATGAGCTAGCTTTTATATATTGGATTATGTCTAGTTTTATAATGGATTAAGTGAATCACTTGATAAATCTGGCATCATTATCAGGATACATGTTATAAGAGTGACCTCTGCTGAGGCAATACATTTGAAATGATAATTTTAACCCTTTCAAGAGCAGGTTCTGCTGCCCATGACAGCTGTATGGAGTACGTTTCCAGGGTCTTGACTGGGCCACAGCTGTTCCCCTGACTGTTTTGCACAAGACACTACTCAGACAATGCTGAACTTCTGAAATCCATATGTGGCACAATCCTCTCCAATATCTTTGATGTGCATGGACAGATACAGCATGTTGCTCTTGAAAAGGGTTAAAATTCATTCAGACTTCTTCCGCCCTGTTGTTTGAGAAATTTTGTCCATACTAATCAGAGGAAAATAAATCTTTCACAAACACCAAAAAAAGGTGCATCAAATATGTTTATCTTAAACCACTACCTTTATGAGAAAATGAACTCATTGACCCAATAATTTATCTGCAAGCAACCCACCCTTCAGTGGTAGCTTTTCCCTGAGATTTAACTGTGTGCCAAGTGCACACAGGAAAAAATTCATCACTTTCTTCTTTTGACAAGATTTGACAAGAGGGAGCACATTTATTTGACTCAGCAGGGCATGAGTATGTACTTTGAGTACCACTGCTGGCTAATGCACAAGACTGCAAATATGTACATAGGATACCAGCTTGAGGGGCTAAGTTGAACGACAATCTCACTTCTGCAAAATACACACGCGAAAATAGCATTTTTCACATTTCCAGCATTGTAGCCTAAGCAATGGTGGCAAGATGTCCAAACACATTTCAAGCAAAATTAAATAGAGCACACTCCAGTGTGAAACATACTTGGACAACATTTTCCTCTAAAATATCATAAGGCCAAATGTATTATTTACTTTGCACAATTAGAAAAATTGCAGAGACAGAAGCAAAAGAAAATCAGTCTGGCTTACTTCCTCTACCATTTTAAGATGTTCAAGATTGAAATTAATTGCTCTTCAAATACTCCATATGCTTGGCCAGGACATAAGAGCAATTTGAACTCTTCACAGATCTAAACAATCATAAAAGGGAAGATAAAAAAAGGCCCATCCTGATTCATGGCAACATCTTTATAACTTAGGTTCCTGCTCTTGCATATCCTAGTTCATATATGACTGGTCTCTGGTAGAGAAGGAAGATGCACTCAAACAGAAGTGTGTACAAGCATGTTTAGAAGTCAGTGTCAGCCAACAGCCAGGCCTCTCCATTTAACACTCAAAAGTGCACCAACTCTTATCAATTTTTGTATGTTTGATTCTTGCCTAACCTTTAGCATACTGAGTAAAATTTTTAGGTTTTTTTCCCCCCAGTCAGCATTGAAAATGGGGATTTAATTGCAGGGAAACCTGCTTGTTTAAAGTTTCATCACTTCACATTTATTTATCTGTACGATCTTTACTATTTATTCATAAAATTATATTTTTTTGCATGATCTATTTATCCAGTGAACAATGTAGATAGTCATTTTGCTATGGAAGAAAACAATTTGTGCAGATAGATTCAACATTCAGATGGTAAAGGTTAACATACAGCTAACCAGAGTATATCTGCATTCATTTGAAAAACAAAAGCTTCAAAGCAAACTGGTCACATGTGCAAGAAGAGATATGTTGCTAGGTGAGAACAATGCATTAACTGTGTTGCCTCAACATATACTTAAATGCAATATTTGAATATAGTAAAACCAAAGACATTACCTCAAGAACAGGTGTGACATTCAACACTGTTGCATCAAGAACTCCCTTGGGCTCTGTTCTCCTTCCAACTACTTCAAGGTTCACAGAGACAGGCTGAATGATGGACAGAGCTGTGTCATTCTCTCCACCCACCATGGATGTGAATAATTCACATTGAGTCAAGTTGCAGCTAAAAGGCTTCTCCAGAATGGATGGGCGATAGCTCATCACTGCTGTTGTCTTGATGGGCAAGAAATTTTAAAGGAAAGAATGCTTTGTTTATAGCACAAAATTGGTCAACTCTTGTTTATCTTAATGTCAATAATTATGCAAACAAACAATAGTCCCAACAGAAATGTAATATAACTGTATGAACATTCTCAGTTTAATCCAAACACCTTTAATCCATAGCTACTAGAATGGGCTCTGCCTGTTTATCTTCTCTAACCAATAAAACAATTTGAGGATTCAAGGATTGTGAAGGATGGCAGAATAGATATCATACCCGAAGGAAGACGGCACTGCTTGTCTCCTGGGCTGGATTCTCCAAGATGACTATTTCTGATTCAATGATGTTAAGTTTCATTTCAAATGGAACAACATGAGGATCAGTGATGAGCTCTCTACGTGATAAGATTCCAAGGGAAGAAGCCACAGGGTTTGAATGCACTTGTCCACCAGTTGTGTGTCGGGATCGCACTGGACTCCGCCTAGTCATTGCTGTTGCAACATTGACAAATCATTTTCAAAGTCCTTCTCCACAGTTTTACATTTTATTTACCCACCAAGCCCAAAGCCCTATATATAATTATGCCAACAAGTAAGCCCAAAGATAAGACAGAGAATACCACTGTGAAGTTATATTGTAGCCATGTGAGGTAAAAACTATAAATGTATTTTTTTCTTTTTTTTCATACCTCAGTTGAAATCTGTTTTAGCATGATAGCTTGAATTTCAAATATCATTGAAAGTCAGACATGTATGCTTGCAAGTCAATAAAATAAGTACCAATTCTGTCTAATTTTTCAATCTTCACTTTTTCCCTCATGTAGCTGGGTACTTGAGCAAATGAAAAAATTTGAAATAACAGCTCAGGATGGGAGTCTGTGAAATCCAATTGAAATGGAGCTCACTACTACCCAGAGGAATAAATTCAGGAATTTAAAAAATTGTATGGACAAACCTTTTGTTTGGAATGGTGTAGGCTTGAGAGCAGGAGTTGTGATGAAATTGAATACTTCCAGCCACCAGTCAAAGATTGCCAGCAGTCTCATACTATTCAACAGGATGGTGTAGCGTAAGAAGTCTTGGTTTGAACGGTAATGAAGCTCCACCTGCATTGGATCACCAGGAGTTGGGGATGCAGATGGAGTCACATTCCTCATTGGTGTCAAGATATCCTCAAACAAGTTTTGCTTCCAATTTTTTGGAATGTCTGGAATTTAGGACAACCTTGGTAAGTGAATCATATACAGTATACTGCGATGCTTAGGCTCATGAAGAAATAGGGATTCACCATCAAATCGTGTATCTTTCACACGGATTTCTTGCGATACAAGATCAACATCCTTTGACCCATTGCTATAAGATTCCTGTAAGAATCTAGATCTGATGAAGTTCACCTTGGCTAGGCTAGTTTCTGACCCATGGGATCGCTTCACATTCAGCGTCACATTGATGAGATCAAAATATACAGCCAGTGTCACATACACTGTTTGAGTGGAACCCAGAACCTAGAAATTGAAGTACAATAGCATTGCATATTTTGAACAAGGAAGAGACACTGTTCTGACATAAAACTGGCATTGGTAAAAAAAAATTAGAGTTTACATGGCCTACTCAAAGAGGATACATGAACACCATAAAATATTGAAGATTTTGGCATTTACTTCTTGCTGAACAAATGCTATTCTGTTTTGTAGCTTTCCTCGATCATTAGTCCTATGCAGATGGGTATCTGCAAAAAATATACCATATAAAACAAAGAAAAAGTCACAACAGAATTGTCCTGAAATACAAATAACATGGGAAGATAGCTTCCCTTCTGTTAAGTTGGGGCTTCCCAACCTTGGGGTCGCGACCCCACTTGGGGTCACCAAGATCATATTTAGGGTTGTGAGATGGCAGCTAAATGCCAAATTATGTTTCTCTTTGCTATTTTAGTGCATAGGTGCATATTGAACTTCGGCCAGTACCTGGGATACTGAATGGTACGATCATGATTTTTGGGGTTGCACATGAAAAAGGATGGGAACTCCTGCATTAAGTGATAGAAGAATATAAATTGCTGGCTCTTCCCAATTCACATTTCCCATTTCGGTTATTGGGATATAGGCGTATGCTCTTCAGCATAGTCATACCAAGGGTAACGAGAAAGTTTTCCAAATGATGATGAGAATCATCATTCTGAAATGACTTCTTATGACAGCAGTCTATGCTATTCTGCCCATTATGAATGCTCAAGACCATCAAGTTCATATGGATGTGCAATATACTAGTATGTATAAAACCTTTCATTTTTCACCTCTCCAATAGGACTCAGGATCACTTGTTTTCTTTATCACTTTCTCTGGAAAAATGTGTTCATCATAACCCTTTCAGACCTGGCATCCATTCCAATGGACATTGCATTTACATTGTGTCTATGGCAATTTCTTAGGATTCTTGTGACTTTGTGCTCCATATTACACTACAATCATGCATGGCTCAGTTCCATCCGAGGCCTTCTTTCGCCCATTAGTTTTATCATATTCAGTTATTTGATTAAATGTATAATATATAATATATGGTATGATATGGTAAATTTATACAAAATATGAAAACTACATATAAAGCACAAAAATGTCAATTACAATCACGAAAGAGTTCAAAAATGCAAAAAAAGGATATTATTCTGATAGCAGCCTTAATTCAGGTCTGAAAAGGTTAAGGCATTGGCAGCTGGCAGACTTCAATAGGCATTCACCTCAGTCATTTCTTTTTTTGATGGCAAATTTCCCAAGTTTTATTCTTTTTTTTCTCTCCCACCTTTGCTTTGAAGTCTCCTGTAAGGACTGTGTTGGTCTAATGATGATCAAAGAGCTGTCCAAGGTTGTCAAAGAACTATTCATTTCCTCATTTGGGTGGCCTGACATTGGGGTACAGACCTGGATTACTCCAGCTGATACCTTCTTAAATGGTCACACAAGTCTGATCAATTGTCGAAAACTTCCACTTATTTTGGTAAGTCTCTGAGTACCAGAAGGCTCACTACTACTGCTCCTCTGGTCTTTCAGAACATGGTGGCATAACACATAGTTGCCTCATAAAGGAGCAATCATGAGTTCCATTATTGGCATGTTCTGGTTCATTCTTACTAGCATATCAATGTCTAACACATCCACATAATTACACTAAGTATCAAATAGTCACAGCCACAAGCTAAGTTAAAAATCAATGCAATGTAATATAACTTCTTTTTTTTTATAGATTGACATTTTATAGATTAACAAAGTAAAATGAGGATTTGGAAACTTGGTGTTCTTGGCCTTCATCTTGGTTACACATTTGATTGGTTACTAATATTCTTTGTAGTTTTACAACTTCATAATGGGATAAATAATTCTACCAGTATAATGAAAAGTGAATGAGGTCAAACCTCTTCCTTCAAGGCTTCTGAAGTAGTGGCAGGATTGAAGGACCAGCTATTGGCTGTTTCTGATGGCCTAATATCATCAAGGTCTTCACCAAGGTTATTGAAGAGGACCCCTTTGATTAGGCAGAATTGAGCAAGATCAAGGGAAATTTCTAGCTGGAGGAGTTCTGCACAGATTGTCATGTCTGGAACTGGAAAAAAGTATTCTTAAAAAGTAATTTTCAATTCATGTAAACCAGTGTCAAACCACCTTTTACTTACATTGGACCTTCAAATGTCCAGTGGATTACAACTCCTAATTTGGGAACCACTGACTTAAAGACTGGAACTCTCTTGCTTTTATATTTTCCTTAAAATATTTTACATCCATCATAAAGCATTCAATCCATGACCTCATCTTCAATGGATGTTAGTTATGTTAGTTTCCAGTGCAAAAAGTCCTCCTATCATGAAGAAGTGAGCTATCATGATTCTGTCAAAGGTTCACCACATTGCACTGTCACAAGTGCACATGAGGAAGTCATCTCATATCATGATACAAAAGAAAAGCATAGTCTCTGAGTGATGAGTTACCAGTTACATTGGAGTACTGCTCGCTGCACATAAATTAACCCTTTCATGGCGTACGATCATTATAAGGATCATATCTTTTGAGACTTATCTTGCTGTTATCATTGAAAAAAAATTGTTTTATATGGTACCACTTAATAACTTTCAAAAAGGGCTCTTGGGTGATGCATCATTCATTCAAATAGGTTGTAGTTCAGGCAAGCTGGATCAAAAAGAAAAGTTGTGACCTGATATGATTGATTTTTTGTCAAATAGAATTTTGGACGAAAAAGTAAGAATTTATTCTTATTTTTTTTTTGGAAAAGGGAAAAATATGCCTGCATGCTACAAGAATGGATGGAAAAATTGGGACAAAGGCCAAGTTTTAGGGGCTCCCCATGTGTGAACAATGTCCTGTAATTCAATATTTTCAGTTATGATTTTTGTAATTGAAAAACTCCATTTTTTAATATATGAGTAAATATTTGACATTTTCTGCAAGCTCTGTCTTTAGCTAGGCCTGTTCAATAGAAAAAGCAGTGAAAAAATATCCTAGTTATTCGTTTTCTTAATTCAGCCATGAAAGGGTTAAATGCAAATTAAGGCTCAAACAGTTCTCACCATTGTGGAACTTCTGAGAATCCAAATTTCTCTCCACCTGGACTTTTAAGTGTGTTTCATTCTGGAGAAAAGGTGGTCCACACATCTGGATGGTGTAGGCACCAAGGTTTCTCAAAATCCCACTGTGACTTGTGAGCTCACTCATGACATGACCAACACAAACATTTGTTTTGCGCAGATCCAGGTGTTGCACATCTAGGAGGCAGCGAAAACCAGCTGAAAAGAATAAGAGTAAAAGAAATCTTATGGTAAAGATTGGGACACAGATGTAACAATACAGAAGGGAGCACACTTAAGGGCATCCTTCCTAACACCATAGCTGTTAGTGTGATGCCTAAACTGAACTAGAGGATGGGGAACCCACCCACACTCCCACAGCTCACTGGTTAAATGTTGCAAGAAAAGCTGTGAATTCTTTGGGCATCCATGTCCTGAAGTGGCACTTAACTGAGCTAGAGGTTATAAGACAGTAAAAAAACTAACTGTCTTGACATTTTAGGGCCATTTTTTCCTGTCATATGTCCATTACCAATTGCTCTTGTGAACAAGCTATACATCAATAATAGTCAATGACTACACATTGGCTAAAATTGGAAGGAGGAATTTTTAAAATAAAATTATCTGACACAAATGAAACTGCTTTTCACCCATAGTCCTTAAAAGCTGTCACAGGAAAATCATAGATTCACAGTCAAAGCCTCTCAAACAACCAGTCACTGGTGAGTTGTAGCCACTCCTAGTTGGAAGTTCAATCATTCACAAACATTAATACCCAGGTTAGAAGAGTAGATAAGGTTGGGTTGAAAGCGAAGCCCAAATAATGGTGGTTCTAGCCCAAGGGCAAATGATGTCACTGGTATACACCAGCCCCAACTGCTCCTTTCTTGCCATTGGTTTTCTTCCGATGTAATGATACTACTTGAAGCATAATGTCCACATTTCGTAACCAATCGCTCATTAAAAAAATATCCATTAAATTGAGGAAGGGAAAGCATCGAGTGGAAAAGAGACAGGGAGGATTTCATACTGAAAAGTTTGAGGGGATGTGACTGCAGTGAGAATATATTATCATTTACTGAAATTGTTAACATGTGTCATTTACCCTTTTTAAATGGCAATGAAAATAAGTGTTCATTGTCAGACTTCCTCGTTCTGTGTTGCTGTATCAGAGGAAGGGAGCTTGTTTGTCACGGTCATGGCAAATCACGTGGTTTTTGTGAACACCATGAAGATATTCCTTCTCACAAACTTCAACGAAAGACTTTCATTTCTTCCTCACCTTCTTGCCCTTGCTGAGCAACTCAGAATTTATGGAGAGAATCCAGGTGAACAGCCGCGTTCTTACAGATATTTGGGATACTCAATGGTTGACTTGGAATTTCGATTGGATCATCTCAGCAAAAGATGACAATCGACCCAAAAGGGTTGTTTTGGGATACCTCCCTCAGTCTACTTCCGAAATTTCGTTTTCCGTGTGTTTCCACCACATAACTTAGATCTTTCACAACCCAGGGTTTGAAACGACGAAACGAACATTTCTCTCTGCCGGCTCAAAAAATCATCAGATGTTCTTGGCGGCGACTGCACATAGGACTGGCATCTGCGAATGCTACAAACCTGGCAGCGCCACAATCTAGAGATGCAATCGTTCAAGGGCTATAGAATGGAGGTGGAAAGAGCAAGGCAATCTGACTAGAAAAAAAATAACTGATGTGACATTTTTAATGTAGGAGAAATAGACTAGGAAAAGGAGAATTTTATCGGTCAGCTGAGGAGAGTGTATACCAGTGACGTCATTGGCTCTCTCTCCCCACCCCCCACTGGGATGTAGCCCAACCTTTTCTACTCTTCTAACCTGGATTAATACCAAATACTTTTTTTTCACTTTTTGCCCATTGTAACATTTTCATCATGATTAAATTTTTCATCTTTCCTCAGGAATCATCAATATGGTATAGTTGCCATCTGAAGGAATCCTTTAATGAAGGGTTTTGTGCTAGTTATAAAAAATGTTCCTATCTTAGATAGTTTTCAGTAGTCCTATTTAGTAAAATGATGAGGTATACTGTTGTAGTTGTGGGGAAAGATGATTCAAACAATGGGTAACAAATGCCTCTAACCATGCTATTGGAGACAATTTTAAACACAAAATTATTATTTGAAGATGAAATATAATTTCTGGAGAGATGTATCTATGTAGAATCACCACATACAGGGTGAGTACAGTCTGAATGAGTCTTAATTTTTTCCTGAATGGCCAAGACAACCCAAGAGAATGATTTGTGTAAAAATGTGCAGGATATATTATGATATTTTCATGGTTATGAGTATTAAAGAGAACTGTCATTCAATGATGTCAAGCAAAAGGGTTAAATGCACAGGAAATGCATGGAGACAGGCCTGGTGGGAAACATGGTACACAATTGAATATGCCTCATGAGTGAAAGGTGGTGAAATGAATGGAATGAAACAAGGAATGAAAATGAAAAGAATGAAACAAGGGAAAATTTGAGAATGTTATTAAAGTTTAGGCAGGTCACAATCAAAAGTTTGTTTCAAAGGAGAAAAACTAGAGTCTGTTGGAGGACAGGGTAAACTTCAAAAATGCTTTTCCATGTACCCCAGTCACACAATGCACTGAATCTCATCTTGATAGCACAATTGCAGATAAGGTTGCAAGCACTGATGGAGCTTGACAGTGGATATGATGTAATTTTTGTTTCTGCCCTCTCCTAATGTTTCCTTTGGCATCAAGTTAGTAATTCTTAACTTCTTTCCATTTCAACACTTTGTACATAAGTCATGCATAGAGCATATTTAAAATTGCAGGTCTCCATTACCTTATGTCCATTACCTACCTCTGTCTCCATTACCAAATTAAATCCCTGCATACGGCATTATGTAATTACAGCTGATGGCTTGAATCCATGGAAACTCAAGAGCCTCATGAGTTCATACTCAAATGAATTGTCTTTGCTTGCCTAATATTAGCATGAGAAAAAAAGGTCTTTTTTGAGAATTTATGACCATTCTATGTTCACACCTTGTGAAGAGGATTGAGGAGATGTGGCAGCACTTGAGAGTCCTTTCTGGTTAGTTGAAGTGAGCGGGTCACCAGCAAGAAGGAACCTGTTTTTTACTGTAATCTGCCCCAGGTCAAATACAAGAACATCTGGTTTGAATGTGCAGTGAGGCAAGATAATCACTGGGGTCTCGATCTGTAGGTCCAGCTGTATTCTACTGCGATGGCAATATACTTCCATCACCTAAATAGAAAAAAGAAGAATATAACACTGCTCTCATGCTGTGATACAAAGGGAGTGATACTGCCAGAAGATGGCTTTAGCAGACAGTCAAGGAAGTTTACATTTGGAATGTGTATGGTTCAAGAACATTGTGCATTGGAAATTTTAAAGTACAAAAATAATACGGCTTAGCAACTTTATTGAGTGATAATTTTAGGACTCTGGTAATACAGAAGAACCATAAATGAAACATTGTCAATATGTTGATTATAAATACAGGATGGCCCAAAAATAGGTAAACCATTTTTAACTGTTTACCATATTCAATTGAGTTAAATAAACATTTGGTACACATTTGTATTAAACTTGCCCCTGTTCCATTTCATTTCACCAACATACACAGGGTCAGGATAATGTTTAAGGAAAGTGCATTCTCAAGTGTCACTTTGGGAAGTGTTGCTTATTGGTAAAGAGCCAGATGCATGTCATCAGTTTAGCTTATAAATAGGCTTATGAAGTAAAACATGATGCTTTTTACAGTTTGTTAATCTCTCTCTCCTTGAAATTACCATGTTTATTCATGACAATGGAGATGAAGAGCTGATGATTGATGATGCTTCACTGAGAAATTGGGAATGTAGTGAAAAAATCAGTTAAGAGCTCTTAAACTACAGGTGAAATATGCAAGCCCTCTCCAAGTTGAGCAAAAAACTCCTAAAAAGTATTAGGTTTGTGTTGGGGAACACTTCTTGAGTCAGGTTTTAATTATAGTTAACATGAAAAGCACATCATCATTCTGCTTCCTCAGAATTGGCAGAATGATTGGGAGTGAAAAATTGTGCACTGCTTTCACACAATTTTAACTGCTTCCTGACCATGAGACTGATTTTGATTAAATAAAGTTTTAATTGAACATAAATTTAAATTCATGACATCTTGTGCAGTAAAAAAAAATATTTACTGTAATTTACTCGGAAATGGCAAGTGGTTAAAGCAATTGGACTGTTTGGGCCACCCTGTAGAAGTTGTGGAAATACATTTGGATAGGAGATGTGGTGGAAGACTTATGTGATTTTCTCCTTGTCTGTCTATGATAGCTTATATAAGTCTCCACAGTTTGCCCCCATTACACAGAAGGGTAAATGCTATGTAACAGGAAAGTAAGCATCCTTCATCCTTTTGCAAGATGAATGGATCACTGGAACATAAAAATTATTTTCTGGTAGGATGGCTGTTATTAGAGAAGCTTTTGGCAAAACAACATGCACTAGTACACCAAAGCCCAATTTTGATATTGCAAAAATTCAGGCTAATGACATATATTAATGGGTCTGGTACCATTCAACAACTTTTGTGGAATATAACTTACCTCAGCACCACGCAGAGATGCTCGAAGCTCTCCCAGGCCTTTCTGATATCCAAGAAAGTTGTCAACTACTCGGAGCATTGAAGTGACAAACCTTTGTGTATGGATATACACAATGGAAGCCATTTGCAAGTGAAATCTCATGTCCACGTCTCTCTTCATGTCAGGATCATCAGATCCAAATCTGCACCAAATCAGTTACATTGACAATTTACTTTCTGAATGCAAGGGGCAGTTATTATGGGGAGGCTCAGGAAGAAACAAGGACTAATACCACACATGTTTAGAATAACATTAACCAAAAACAAAATTATGTTTCTATTCAAAATTTAGATGAACTTAATGTAGTGGAAAGCAGCTGTGGAATTCATCTATCTATCCTTCTTTCATTCATACATGCACTTAAGGAATTTGTCCTACACTCTTTTCCATGCTTCAGCAGTTCAAGCTCAGAAAAATCTGATAGTACTTCATGTCATTGGACTTATTTAGTACAAATTGGTGTGAAACTACAATGTAATCTGTTATATCATATGCTTAACATACTTATTTTGCATATTATATAATATATGCATATGAATGCAACCATAAACACACAGTGAGGCATGCAGGGGCAATTGGCATTGTGTGTTGCAGAAGTCAGGCATGGGAAACATATAGCATACTGTGAATACAGTAGCAAAGATGATGTATGATATAGAGTCTACCAAGTAAGATGTGATGCTTTTTACTAGTAGAATATATACAGGGCAGTGTAATTCACCAAAATGTGCAGGAAGTGGATGGTGACATCTCAAGGCTATATGAACCCAGCACAAAGCACAATTGGTAATCCTGTTAAACATCACTCCTTGAACTATGTTATCCATTCATATGCACTTGGTTTCAAAATGCAATTGACACCATACACTTTCTTGCAATCTGTGACATATTTTATTACCCAACACTTTTTTTTTACTAACAAAAAAGAATCAAACTATTCATCTCAATTGGCCCAACTCCATGAAAGTAGACATCATCTTTGTGTCTATACTCTCAGGATGCAACATATCTACCACACCTGATTGCTCCATCACATGGTACTAATAGTTACCCCCCCTTCATGTATGACACTGCAGGCTACTGATTACATTCATGATTCACCAGCTACAGGGAGTTTTGGTCATTATTTGTACCCTCCTTATAATTGGATAATGCAAAAGTACCTACTTTGGGCTACCACCATGGTCCTCGTATCCTCTAAAAAATAGTATCCTTCTTATTGTATACCCTTTCCTTTTAATGCAATTCATATAAATCTACAAATAAATTGCCCATAACAACCTTACATGCAATATCATTCAAAGCTACAGCATCCTCATGAATTAAAAATACAGATTTAACTATGGACATTTCACACTGGGTTTTCAGGGTTGGTGAAAAGGCATTCTGTAAATTTCTAGCCACTTGAATCCCTAGTCCAGATTTATTGCCATTTGAATTTCATGAATAACCTAATATTCACGGCCTAGTCATCTGAGACACCCACCCAACAGTAAATTTGAAGTCATTCTAACTACCCATATAAAGTCCATGAGAAATATAAAAATTCAGACTAAGATTGTAGAAGGGGTTCAAAAGGCTAGATGGATGATACTACGAGTCCAATAACCTCTCATCAGCCTTCACCTCACCATCAGCCTTTAATCTGTTCAGTTCATACCTTCTCTTGTCTCACCTCCTTCTTCATTGCAATGAATGGATAAGATAGGATTCTAAAAAATTCAGAGCAATTGTAAATAGTTGATCTGATGCCAGGGGAGAATATGGTATGTCAAAGTAAAGAAAATGAAGGGAAAACATGGGTCTCAGTTTGAAACATTAGAACAGAATGGACAGGGAAAATGTAAAATTATTTTTTTTTTTAAGCTTGTAAAGATTTATGTCAGATTGATTTGAACACACCTACCCTAATGTAGTGGAATATCTAAAATAACTCATAATGCAAACCAGGGGCAATTATAAAACAGAGCAATCATTTTGAACAATCAATGTTCACAATATAAACTGGTCTGGACATATTATATTATGCTGTATTTTTTCATTGTAATTGTCACATTTGAGGACACTCAAATTATTCTGGCAGGACCCTGCATAAACCATCCTAGTTGCTGACCTGAAAAATGTGCAATGAAGAGCCTCTTGTCCACAAGTGACAAACCTCTGTGGAAAGAGGCCTGCTCGAGAGGTCAGATCTGACATGGTCACACTCCCAAGCACTCCTTTCCCATGCATGTTCCCTTGCTTAGAATTGTGATCCCAGGAGAAGTTGGAAATCTTCATTTTGGACAATTGAACACTTTCTTCCAAATGGAATATGAAAGCCAGAGAGCGAACATGAACACGGAGGTGTGTATTCTTCTCCTTGTCTTCCTCTGAAAGAAACCTTGCTTTCATACTATCAACACTTCAAATGGAGCAGTTGTCACCTTCTTATAACTACAATAAATCTAGGTGAAGTAGTATAACACAAATTGATGCAATGTTGTATCTAGAGATTCACATTAATATTTTCACCTGCTGCAGTGTGAAGGACTTCACAGATTCTGTTCCACAGAACTCTTCTTAAGCTGTTGATACTTGATCTTTATTGACATATACAACAACAAGAAATTTGGCAAAATGTAAGCCTGCTTGTTAAACCAGAGTATTAGAATTTTTGACAGAACAAATTCATCACCCTTGCCCATTTTCCATTCCCAGAGTAACTAAAAAAACTTGAAGCTAGGATAAGCTCATGGAGCATTAGATCTTACATGAAGAAACTCTCAGTAGAAGAGAATCATGAATTATTAATATTGTTTGCGGAACAAAAAAAAAAATATATATATATATATATATCAATATGAAATTATTTGGCAATTGGATAGACTGATAAGGGCTCTGGTAGTACAAAAGATTGAGGCCTATATAATATTTTGAAACAAACCTTCCATGGGTATGGCAGAGACAATGAGACCTCCATGGCTTGAAGAGGTGGACATGATATTGATACCCACATCATCTACATGAGGAGGGGCTGACTTGACTTCCATCACTGTTGCATTTGCAGTCATTATGCCAAAAAAATCCAAAACCATGACCCAAGATGATGGATTTATCTGAACATCCAAGGTGTTGAAATCCACAGTTGTATGTCTTTGTGCCTGTGAAAAAAAGTAATTTTAGGAAAATAATATGAGTATCAAGGTATACTGTTCAGAATAAAACTGAAAGAAAAGAGTTTTTAGCCATATGAATGTTGACAAAGACATGAATATTTTTATACCCTCATGAGTAGCAATAACAAGAAATGTCACTTCACTCCTCCATTACACATGCTGCTATGGTCATATTGGTACCTGACTGCTAAAAGGGAACCTGAGCAATTTTTTTTTAATTTGAGTTTTCGGCATCACTGAGTTCAGCTTATCAAGCAGCATTTTCTGCCAAAAGGACATTCACCTATCTTTTGCCATTTATGAATTATGGGATTCTAAAAAGACATTCAAGCTGATTGGACTTAAAAATCTAATTTTTGAGGAAGTTTTTTCTTCCTCGTGTAAAATTTGAATTAGTACTTAAATCTACTAAGAGTTATAGTCTTCATGAGTTGGGCATCTTTGCAAACTAAGTCCTACTTTCTATGAGAAACAGCTTCACATCTCAAGTTATCATTGAAATACTTGACACTTAGTCCAAGAGTTTGATTTTGCAACGTGTCCTCCTTTTGTCTTATTTCTGTTCCTGCATCAGATTTGAGACCTTGTTTTCCATCAGAGATCATTAGCTTCACTTTAGTGGCAAAACAATGGAGAAAAGTCAGCAGATAAGAAGCTATTTTTGTGAGGTTTTGGTGGAAACCACCACATTTCTCAGCCTCCACTGCTCCAATTCCAATTCTGAAAACATACATTGGTTTGTGAGGATGTGCTCTTCATTCAGGATAAGTTTGGTGATGAAACTCATTATTCTGCATTAAGTAAAATAAAGACATCACAAAAACGTCTTTAGTTGTTACAGGCAATTATTGTTAACATAAGATTTAAGAGTTATAACATAGCTTTTAGGCAAAAAAAAGAAACAGGATTCAGGTCATATTTATTTTCTTGTGAAAGACTCAAGACATTTGTTGATGTCTCAATCCTTCCTCTGATGGCATGAATATGATTAACTGATAGTGCAACAAGAACAAATCAGGATCTGAGTCATTTTTTATTGATTTCCAGGCATTTCATGAATAGAAATTCTTACTCTGGGTTGTGAAGAGTTTTATCACTTCACCCAGAGAAACTTATAAATGCAAATGAAGCAGACTCTTTACAATTGCACAATGGTCTCTTGGTGAGTCTTTTCATCACTCACTAACCCACCTGGGGAAAAATAATACAGAAAGATGATATAGGAATAAAATGGAAATTCTAGAGATGAAAGCATATTGCATACCACCATTCTTGCTTGTAAAGTAAATTAGGAAATACTTTTAGTCACACCAGGCTTTGCACTCACAGACTTGTAAGTTGTGTGAAAATTAGAAGCCCGTGGATCCACCAAGACAATAGATATTCTCATAAGGTTCTCTTGACTTGGGAGTTTCTCAAATGAAGGCACCCATGACTGATCCCCTTTTATGGAGGCAGAAGGGGAAGGTGGAGGTGTTGAAGGAAGACATAGTACTTCTGATTCCGAGTTCTTGTTTCTTCGATTACCTAAGGAAATGGAGAAGACATCTCTAACATAAAAGTTAAGTTCAAGTTTTTTGCAAAATGCCTAAATCTTGATTTTTTGACTTGACTTCATTTTATGTGAAGTAAAGTTTTTAGCACTTTATAGCTCAGAGGGGATTGAAGAGAGTACAGTACTGAAGGCTTTTATATTAAAACAATGTAGGCCTAGCTTTATTGGATATTAGTGAGAGCAAGAGGATGACACTCACAGAAGGAAACTTTCTTGTCCCTAGTCCAGGAAAGAAATACATTCTCAGTTTGCAAAGCATTGGGTAATGAAGAAGACAAGGCAGCACTTGTGGGAAGAGATGATGCAGATGAGGAAAGTGAATCTGCTTCATGAAGATTAGGACATGATGCACTTAGGCTATCATGAGCAGACTGGAAGAGGGAACCATCACCCTCTCCATATGAAGTCATCAATGTTCGAGCACATGAATCAGAAGGCACCAATAAATCTTCCATTGAGAGGCTTTTCAATGATACCTGTCAGAAAGACATCAAGGTCAAAATAGCCATTACATGTCTTAAGGAATGTAGCTTAACTTTGATGGGAAAATAATTAAGAGGTATTTACAATTTTACCTGTACATGTGATAAGAACTGTTCTGTCTTGGAGAAGGTGGCAGACAGATTTTGAAGTGCAACACAAATAAGAGGATCTTGTCCTTCATTGGGATCTGGCATCAGGGTCACATTGAAGGCTTGGACTTCAAGGCAAACTAAGAAAATTAAGTATAACATGGTTTTAACATTTTCATGCTTTGGGAAAAGAGTTAATAATTGTGTCATAATCATGAAATAAGACATAAAACTTCACCCATACATCATACCATGAACTTCTTATGCACCATTGTGAACTGCTGCATATACAAGGTATCTCAAAAAAAAGTTAATGCTTTAATAATGGGTTTTACATTGAACTTGAATAAGCTATTTTTGTGTCAGTTAGAAATTAAAGAGATTACGCTATCTCCTGCTGAAAACCACATGAAAATCTATCATCTCTGTAGCAAGATATATTAAATTGAATATTAGACAAAAATAAATTTATACAACATCACAAAAGGACACATTCAAAGCATGCTCAATGTGAGTACAGGGTGTGCAAGTTAAGATTGAGAGATGGGTCATCAAAAAGATTCTTTCATTTAGTGAATTCTGTGGAATTTTTGCTGGCAAACTAAATTTTTAAGTTACTGGTGTTATCAATGAGTGTTTTTATAATAAATATCAATGATTTTATAATGAAAAGAAAGATCATATACGTACTAGAAATAAAAAATAAAAAACAGGTAATAAACATCACTCCTTGACATTAGTATTTGATTGGAAAAACTTGAGATACAAAGCAAGGTTATAAATTAGAAGCAGCACAAGTAATGCCACCATCTCCTCTAATCATTAAGGCATGTTCTTACCTTGAATATGCATTTGATGGGAATCAGGAATTTCTGGCTTCTCCAACAATGTATGCATGCTATCCAAGTTCAGGGATTGCTTAGAACTTGTATGTAACTTCAAGACAACAGGTGGTTCCAGTACATAATCAATCATCTTCCACAGTTGCTGGTATTGACTCTTTGACAGAGAAATCTGAAGGGGGATCACAGTTGAAGACAGCACCTGTTGAAGGGTTGAAAGACACATTCAATTAAAAACTATTTCACTGATATACAGGATGGCCCGAAAGTCACATTACCCCTCTCCAGTAAAGCAATCATTCTTAAACTCTTTTAATATACAGGATTTATTGTGTAATACTTACAATAATTCATCAGTCATTGTATCTGTATGAGCTCCATCATTGTCCTGGCACCACTGAATTCACCGCCAAGTTTTCTTAGACATCATGCGTAGCATTTGTGGAGTCACTTGTGTGGAAGTGGCCACCACTGATGCACACAGCATAATCCTCCACATGTGATGATATGGGCAAGAATGACCTCAAGACATTTATTTGGTTCCTATTTTTTTGATGGACCAGTACATGGCGTAACTTACGAGTATATGTTAAGAAACTGGCTGGTACCACAACTTGTTACTGTGGGAATAGCTGAAAGTGTCTGGCTTCAACAAGATTCACCTGTGCATTTTACACTGCATGTTTGGGACAATCTTAATGAAACATTCTTTCAATGATGGATTGGATGTGGATCACCAACATCACCAGCACCTCTACTGTGGTCACCACTTAATCCAGATCTAATGACTCCAGACAACTCTTTGTGGGGCTTAATCAAGGAGAAAGTGTTGGCAAACTGGTAAAGGACAATTGAAGAATTGTGCGCAGCAGTGGAGGCCACTTTCGCACAAGTGACTCCACAAATGCTACTAAGATGTCTAAGAGGACTTGGCAATGAATTCAGTGGTGCCAGGACAATGATGGAGCTCATACAGATACAATGACTGATTAATTATTGCAAGTACTACAAATAAATCCTGTATATTAAAAGAGTTTAAGAATGAACGCTTTACTGGGGAGGGGTAATGCGACTTTTGGCCACCCTGTAGAGTTCTTTTTTTTCATTTATTTAATTAAAAATTCCCAATTTAATGGAGGATTCCAAATATTTACCTGTAAGAGGCTGGATGGTTCTTGTGCATCCTTGTGAGGGTGATAAGCTACATTAATTTGAAGAGCAGTGTCATGAAGTATTGGGTGAGCTCCAGTCTTGCAACTGTATAACTCATGCACTGTCAACCTGAACAGTAAAAAGTGGCCACTTTAGATTCTGACAAACAAATGAGATACTACAAAGAACATCTGGCGATTAGTTTAGTCTCAAACAGGACCCAGAGAGATCTTATTGGCCATTCACTGCAGTCACAAACATCAATTCTGGCCCCGTGGATTATGAACTATGGACTCCAATCTACTCAAAAGAGCTAATACAATCTTAGCAGTTACCAGGATTGAAGGGTTACAGGTATATGACAATCAATTCTATGACTGATCAAACCTGGAAATTTGGCAGCTGTGATGAAGCCTCTCATCCAAGTTTAGGGAATAGAGATTCACATTCTGAATTTGAACATGAAGATGTCTTTCATTTGAGGACTCAACAATGGTAGATGCACCATGTGAATCAGCCAAGCTTGAATCATGAGTCATTTGGATCTTTCCCAGATGACAAACAAAGACATCAGGGTTGTTCAGACCAGTTGGCAACACCAGTACAGGAGTCTCCAAGAATATGTTCAACCTGTTTTGGAAAGAGCAAGGTAGGTATAAAGCTGAAAGTGAGTTTCTGGTCTATATTTACTGTCCAGAAAAAAAGGTATTGCCCCTCAAGGTCAAGCAATGGAACTTCATACATTTTTAAATATAAGAATTCAACTTTTGGAAAGAAAAATATATCACAAGATGTCTCATTATCTATTATTTCTTCTGCAATGCCAAGGTATAAGCTAATACTAGTATCATTCTACTAAAATTTATGAATTTCCATAGGCATATTTTCCTTTTGACTTTCCTACAGTCAGATGATCCTCAGGATTGTTGGTGCCAGTTGGTTTTGGGAGTGATAAAATTCTGATCAAGGAGTTTTTAGGCTTTCTTTTGTAAAATTACCAAGAATCTTCCATTTTAATAAACTTTTCCTGTAGGGGAAGTTCATCAATGTCAAAATTAAAACTATGAAGTAGTTGGTATGAGATACAAACTATTACATTGTTTCCTTGGATCACCAGGTAGGTTGCAAAGCAATTTTTAACTGGCCATTATTGATCACTCATATATACTCCAGCTCTAAAACCATTGCACCAGATTCATTTTCATGCTCTACTCCTGCAGTTCTACTGGCAACTGTGGGGTAGCACTTGTTGGGCATGATAACCATATGGGAAATGCTAATTTTACAATAACCTCTCTCATAATCTGGGTATTATCAGGAGTATGGGCAGGCATGGCCTGCTGTTCAAGATTTTGCAACCTTACTGACTGAAGTTCAACATCTTAGCTACATATCCTTGAGAGAGATAACTTCAGCCAACAAAAAGTGACTGCAACTTCAGAAATAGAGTTAATTATTAGTCCCCAACTAAAGACCTGCAGTATAAAAGTAAATGATACATGAAAACTAGAAAAGAGGTAAAATCAGGAATGATCACACCTACCCCATTTGTGATCCCACATACCATACTGCCTGGTTTCAAGAGGTAAGTGACAACATAAGATTCCTTATAAAGTAATTTTAATTATTCCCCTCCCCTTCTCATATCCACAGTGTACATGAATAATAGATTTATATCAAGAAAGGAAGACACTTTCTTACAAATGGTATATGCCAGTCAGGCAACAGCAACAACAGCACCAGCACCAATCATCACTCTTGTTTCTCTCAATTATATGAGGGGTAATAAAAAATATCCCAGACAGGCTTTGCGATTTTTCTATTACTTGATGAACAGATGTCTCTCCTAAGTTAAAATCTCGTGTTGGGTCTTGGGGAGCTTGAGTAAAATTTCTTCTTTACGGGTTTCCATTTGAATTTTCTTTAACCCTTCCAGGCCCATGCTATTCAGCACCTTCTGGAGCCTCTGTGGGGTATCTGAACTACCCCAGTTTATTTCAGAGTTTCAAACCTCTGACTTATGATTTATGTAGTGTCCATTGATATGTTCTTGAGAATCTTACAGGAGATGAAGCATAAGGAAAAAGTTCCACTGAGATATTCCAGAAAATGTACAAGGTATTAAAAATTGGGGTCTAGGAGGGTTAATGGTCAATGGACTTATTTAGAAAAACTAAGTGATGAATTTAATAGAACAGAAATTGCAATTCAAAGCATCATGAAAGTTCTTTGTTGTTGCTGTGAAATTTGGGAAATGCACCTATGCAACACGTGGTATACTGTGTGTTGCTATTTGTGGAGCAAGTATTCCACACTGCTGGATGATATTGGACAGGCACAAATAGTTTTTAAAAAAGAAAAAGGTCATCAGGGAAAACTCAAGGTCTGGTTGGCCATCAATATGGTTCAAGAAGAGTGAAAACATAAGAAATTCTTCAGAAAGTCCAAAGTTCATGTTCAATTCATGAGTTTTGGAAGAACTTGGATTCATCATATGGAAGCATTCAGGCAGTCTTTCCTTTCCAGGTTCTATTCCTCAGCTGATGCTGATCACCCTAACCTTGGGTCACTCCTGTCAATGGTTGTATTTTCTGTGAATTGCTAGCATCACTTGAATGCCTACAAGGTTCCTGGACATGGTAGATTTCCCTCCCCTATTCAAAATTTGACAGTGCAGCTGATGGAGAAATTCCTTTCTCACTTCTGCTGAGTGTCCATAAAAAAAATTTTTTTTTTTTTATTAAAATGAACAATTGTACACAAGAAATTGTGTCCATGCATGCCCAAGATCCAATAAAAGATCTTTAACAGAAGAGATACCTATACATCAAAGAATAAAGAAGTTACAAAGCCAGTCTGGGAAGTTTTGATCATCCCCTACATTTCATGGGAACAAATTAATTTAATTATCATCAGCATTGCTACTTAACCCATTAAGTGTCAAGTTTTAATGTGGATTCTGAACTTCTTTTGTTATGTTTTAATTTTTCTGCCATTTTCAATTATTTCCCCCATAAATGAGAAACATTTCCAATAAAATGAAAACCATTATATTTTGATTCTCACTAATGAAACTGAGACCATTTCCCAGAATAAATGGCATGAATGAGAACAAAGCACAATGGCATTCACCCAAGTATACTTGGGCATGACAGTCAAAGGATTAAAATACAATTAAGTTTAACCAGAGCAGTTGAAACTGAATGTCAAACTGGCATTCATTTTCCTGTGTTAACTTTGTTCAGAGACAAGAAGATGCTATATGAATAGCACAGCATCTTTCAAAATTTCAAATACACATGCATAGTCAACTTGGGACTGAAACTTTCATGCAATTTTTTGCAAAGTTGTTCCCTAGTATAACTGAGATGGAAACATACTTAATGCCTGCTGATTTCTCCATGTGAATAGGCAGTTGCTGTGAGAATGTTGCAACATTCCACATTCCTGTCATGGATGGGGAACCAGAACGGGCAAATCCACTCTTCAGCTGGAGATCAGGGATGCTTGTGGATAATACTGAATTTTCATTCCTGGATTGTAAGTGAACAATGCAGATGATTAGAAGGGACAGCAGCAATCTTTCAGGTAATTATTTGCAAAGCAACTGACATCTTCATGAGTTCCAGAGTCACTTCTGCAGCAGCCGTGTTCATGTAGTGTGATAGACGAGAACCACATTCTTGAATCTCTTCCATGCAAACAGTAGCTTCAGAAACAAAACGAGGGGAATGGGTGTAGCATACTGATGCCATCTCCATGTCCAGGCAAATGGGATCCTTGGTTGACCCTAGAAATAGAAGTTTCTCACATTATGACTATATTCCACTCTTTTTGGTTATTAAAAAAATTTACCTTCAGAAGGTATCCAGAACTTATAAATCTAAGCCAGTGCATAACTTATGGACATCAGCACTTGACCAATAACCAATAACTTCTTAAGCAATTGCTATGAATAACTGTGTGCTGAAGTTAGAATTTGATTAATGTTAAGCCAACAAATGTTGAAGAAAGCATTGAGCTGTTATAGCAATCATCTGGATAGTGGCATTGGAAACCTCCACTTTTATTATAAATAAATGAAAAGATGGGCTTACTTTGCTGCATAGGACAGCTTAACTTGAAGCTGAAGGCCTTTGATTCATTTGGATTCTCCTGGTCATCTAAATATATGGAGGAATGCAGGTGAGGTAGAGCATGAGGGTGAGATGGGGGGATGGCAGGGTCCACACCAACACTAATGACCCTGGCAAACTGGGATCCTCCTTGAGTCAGATCCAACATCTGCATGCCTCCTAGACTCCCTTCCACATCCAGTTTCATGTTTTCTATGATAGAAAAAATATTGAACCACACTTTGATAGTAGCTTTAAATCATAGAGACAAACTGGAAAGACAATGCCAACAATGACTTACTCATTTCAGCATGGATGTGTGCTTGGGTGACAGTCACAGTCCCCACCTTCTGTACAGAAAGTCGAGAACTTCCTCCTGCATTTGGAATGGATCTCAGGAAGAGGACATGGAGACAGGAAAAATCAAAAGTCAGCTCCATGTGAAGTGGTCGATACTTCCACAGGTTCATTGCCAAGCTACAAGGATAGGAGAAGAAATCAGAAAAACTCTGCCATGAGAAATGTTCTTTCCTCAGAACATGAATATATAGTCATGCAGAATGTAGCAGTGGTTTAACCCCTTCACCAGCATACCTGGATAATTCTTGGACTGACTTCCCTTTGTACCTCAGTGGTTAAACTGATTTTGGCTTCCTACTTAATCAAATCATCTTTTTCACCCTATAACTGCATATATGGAGATAATGCTTTTCTGATTTTGTTTTGATGCAACATCAAAAAGAAGACAAGGGAAGTTAACAAGTGGAGTCATTAATCTTGACTTCACTTCAATGGAGGCAGGAATCATCAAGGAGAGAGGATGGCTTAATAAATAATAGACAAATTGCAATATATGATTGGTACTTGTATTGACCACTTAGTCTGTACTCCAACCCCTTCTTCTAGGAGGAGAGCCAGAAATCCAAAAATCCTTTGCCTCTTCCATGTGCTGAGAACCTTTCTGCTTTTTGCTTGTCCATGAAAATATAGCTGGAAGAGTCAGGAATCCTGACTTCCAAATGAGGATTTACAAATCCCAAATAACAGCTCCTACTTGAAATTACAGGCATTAACAGTATGAGACTAAATATGTAAATTAAGATGCTTGAACACTATCAGTCTTCATGTGAGCAAATGTATCAGTGCCTTTCATCCAGTCACCCACTCACCACGTGAGTCAAAAAAAATTAATCAGCCATACCTTGTGGCAGATTCGAAGGACTCCTCATCTTCAACAGGGGATGGCATATCTGTAGCTGTTGCAACATCCATCATGCAAGAAACTCTTTTAGCAAAAGCCACCAATTCCACTATGGTCTCTTGATTAGCTGAGGAAATAAGGCAAATGCCATCAGAGTGCATTCTCTACCATGAAATGCTAATGGAACAATATTAGCTTGCTGCAGAGTTCACCATCATCAGAATACTGTAACCCATAATGATTTTTTAAGGTCATGCACTGAGTGACTTAACACACACCCATTTTTCTCCTTTTGCAGCAAAGTGCTTGAAAATGCATAAAATAATAAAACATGTTCCATAGGATATATTAATTCTAATTCATCCAATAAACATGCAATTAATTTTACCATTTGCATTGGATTCCATGAGTAGAAACTGAAAAGGTCTTAGCTGTTACCATCAGAGATTCGTTATGAAGAGTCTTGCTTTCATAATTGCTATGACAGGTTTTGGATAACTGAAAAAACAAAAACGTCTGAAAGCATACCAATCACATCGAGTGTGTTGAAGAGAATTGAGGCAACCACAAGTTTCTCTTCTGCATGATGGGATTGTCCAGTGATCACAGACAGTTCACAAGTGATGAGGGCTTCTTCACCAAAGGCATTCATGTCAGGGATTGCTTGAGGAATGTCACCAATTTGCTCACACAAGCAAGGACCTTTAAAAAAAAAAGAAAAAAGAAAAGAAGGAATCTTTGGTGTGACATTCCCACAAGAAAGTCAAGAAGTAACTTAGTTGATGCTAAGCAGAGGAACTGATACAGCGACAAATATTTATTGTAAGAACACTGCCTTCATCTTCAACCACTACCTTGACAAATGTCATAAAAAGAACTTCCACATGGTACAAGACTGCCTGCATTGAAGCTTCATTAAAATGCTGCATGTCAGAATTTTTTCCAAGAACAATGTGTGACAAGGGTAATATTAATCTAGGTGCAGTGCCTCAAGCAAGTAAGATACACCGATTATATAGAATCAATACAAAAATTTTGGCTCACTGGAACGTATATGTGGAAGGTGAACATGATGGAGAGGGGAGGAAGCTCTGCTGGCATGAGGTGACGATGGTAAAAAAGGGGAAGCAGGTGAACCAGGCTCACTGTCTTGAATGCTCCCACTTAAGCTATCCAAGCTGACAGAAGGAAGAATAAAAATGTCAAAGCAAGGGGGTTTGATGCTACAACTACATGGATACCATGCAAATTTATAGAAACTCAGCAATATGCCCATGCATTAGAGGAAAATGGTTAAAACAAAGGCTAACACAATTTCCTAGCTGAATGCAAACACAAACCCTTCATCCATTCCATTCCAAAACTGACATTCCACAATTAGGATTTTGTTAATATAACCTCTCAATTTCTTCACTCCTTCCATAACCATATCAGAATTCCTTTTACATGTGCATAATTTCTCCCAATATAATTTCAAAAACGACCTTAAGGCCCTATCAAACTCCTGTCAAGTTCTTTTATTTTATTATTTATTACACCCACATTTATTAAAAGTAACACAATGGTAAAATCATAATGAACTTCCTTGAATCCAGCTAGGCAGAGCCTAGCAGGAACACAGAGCACAGCCAGACTGCAAGCTATGAAGCACCTACAAGTTTTATGGTGCAATGCTGCATGTTAGATCCAACCTCTCATAAACTCTCACATGTATAGAATGTTCAAATCACATAGGACTGAGAAAATACAAAACTACTAAGAAAGAACCATTTCAATTGGAAAAGAGACAAAGTCCATGCTTTTTTAAACCATCTCAATTTGACTTAAAGCTGTATGCTCCAATTTTGAGGGGCTGAAAGTTTCTACCACCAATGTTTTTACAAATAAATTTCTTAATGAAAGGTCATGTAACCATGCCTCCATCATGACACATACCAAACATTTTTATGACTAGCCATGAGGAGTTCAAAATCCGGTCCATATGTCTGCATGGCATCAACAAGTAGAAGCCCATGGATGGTAAGGCTAAAGTCCACACCACCAGTTTTCTTCGATAATACTGAATGAACACCTGTTACTTGAAGCTCAGCCACTCCTCTCCCTCGACTCTGCACCTGAAGAAAGAATTTGAGAGAAGGCACCTTTAGGGTGTGCAGTTTACAATTGAAGATCAGGTGCTTTGCTTACCACTTACCTCAACTGAGAGCTGACTGACAGAGAATTGCACTAGTAGTGACTGTGTTGGCACAGTGAGTAAACTCTCTGACATATCCAAAGTGAAGTCTCTCTTGAGTGTATCATGTTTCACCCAAGGTGGACTGATAGGAGCACTATATGGTGCAAATGGAGCTTGTTCCTGAACATTCTTCCACAGTACAGCCAAGGAATAGAGTGTGTCTTCATTTAAATGCAAGATAAGTTTCTGAAGATTTCCAGAAAGAATCATTTTTGGTGAACCACCCTCATGGTGAATCTCATGGGGACTGCAGACATGTTGTTCAAGCTGTCAAGTGTCAACATTATATGATTGGTGCATTCAACTAATAACTACAAACCAGCTATAAAACAGGCAGAGGTGACAACAAAATCCATCAATAAAGAAAAAGAAAAATCATACCATGAGACTGATTGTGAAGCGGTCCAAGATATGCATGACACTTGAGCCCTTTGTCAAAGCATGTTTCCACTTTTCTTTTACTTTAGTAAGTATGACTTGAACATCACACAGATCCAGCTTGAACCTGTAAGACCACAGTAAAAAAGCAAATAGTTAAAGAATACTCATAATGAGGGCAGAAGATTTGACATAAATAATGAAATAAAATGTTTACCGTTCATATAGACTACCCCGTTTGAAAGAAGGAGGAAGCAGTTTTTCAGCAACATGTTGCAGCAATTTCTCCATCTTTCCTGCTTTATCTTCCAATTCCCCCTCACAAGCTGATTCCCTGCCTCCTGGTGTTGATGCTGGAGTCACAAATTCTAAAAGGAAAGGAAACATGAGAAAACTGATTTCCAAAAAGTATAATTCTTAGTGAACCACCTTCAGTGTGAATCACACAGTAGCAAGGACACAGACCTCATAAGGAGTGGAAGCTGAAAATTCACTACTGCATGAATCTTTTTACTCTCTCAGTTGGCATTTATATTTTGCTTTTAAAATGCAGAGTGATAGCAAATTCAGGTTTTAAAAAATTCAAAAAAATTTATTTCTCAAAGGTTGAAGACAAAGAGCCAATCTCATCATAAATGTACAGATCATTCATGGGATGTGCACTGACATCCCTGTAATTTTATCCTTATGAAGTTAAACAGAGCACCACTTGGAGCAAGATATTGAACCTATATGTCCTGAGACCTTCATTGCTGTTGCATAAGACCTTTCTTCTTGAGACATGGTTTGGAGAAGACTTCGACTGACCTGATTCATCAGAATCAGAAGGGGCATGATCCATGACTGCAGAAGGGGCACTGGATGTTCGTAAAAGGGTTTCATGGGTCTCGTCTCTATTGCTGAAGTATAGGCGGCCCAGATCCAGAACAACCAGAAAGGCTTCATTGTCCACAAAATGTTCTGGAATAATGATTTGTGGAGCAACCAAGTTCAAATGTATTTCCCATTGCCGGAAAATCACCTGCAAAAAACATGGTTGATGTGGCATGATCATAAAACCCTGGCCACTGTGAAATTTGGTTGCACAATTCTGCCAACCTCTTTCCCTTGGATGATATCCTGCAAATTCTTAAACATTTCCTCCTTGGTTTGTTCTTTGATCATTTCATATCTCTCACGTGCTGCTTGATGAAATCGGGTTGGGACATGGAAATGGCCTTCATCGTGTGGAAGAGAAAATTTCTCCATGATGCACTTGATAAAAGCTGGATTATACACCACATCCAGAGCTCTTGTCACCATATGCAACCTACAAGATAAACTAAACTGAATGCAAAATTTGTAGTATTTTAAACAAAATTGTCATCACTATCATAACTTAAGAACACTCAAGTACCAATATTTTACATGAAATATAGAGAGTTGTGTTGGAATATATGAAAATGTTAATTAATAAAAAAACGAAATAAAAAAATTTCAACCAGTTGTGCACCTTCTGAGCTGCCATCTTTGATCTCCTTTTCCAGGAAATGCTTCTAAGTTATTACATTTTTCATGGAACTGAGAATAGCTGACCTTCCAAGAGTTTCTCATAATATGCTAAAGGAAAATTCTAGCAGATTCCCACAGAATAATTTTGAAATAACTAATCCTCATACATTCAAGCTCTCAAATGGCTGTTTAATGAAGCTTCTATTTTATAGGTAAACCTGAACTTTGTTGTAAAGAAATAGCCAGAAGCCTAAAAGCATTTATCATACCACTGCTCCACATTTTCCAACAAGTAGGAATTACTGGAAAGAGTTTATAACACCATTTTTACAGTAGGAATATATGTAGTAAAGACTTGCAAATACATATTGTGAGGTGCACAAGAAGAGACTCGTGAGATTTCTTTATGAGTATTTAAAGATGGGCAAGTTAGTAAATTACTTCGAAAATTTTCCAGAATAATGGGATTGTGCCCAACAAATCTGACTCCCCCCACCACTTTGAGGTTCCCCCGTTTGGTCTTTCATTTGGACAGAATATAGCTAAATGTATAGCATTTGGCACTGAATGTTTCTCTTCCTTTAGCAATGTTAGAAGAGATTAAACTTGACATCATTGGCAAAGATAACCAATGTACATGAGATATAAATCATTCTTAATAATATTTCAGACAGAAGCAAAAACTTTTCTACTCTCAAGTATAGCCTGCCAAAATATTAAGTGAAGTACTCCCTTCACTTGATCATAACATAAAAGTGAATTCTGGGATGCCTTGCAAATTGCCAATGTTCCTGTTTTGATAATGTCTGTTATTAATCATGCCATAATTACAGAATTGCAAAGCTGTTTGTATGTAGTTCCATGCTGGTCTCATTCCTGTTGTGATTCTGTCACATCTGGCAGGAATGGCATCATAAGTCTTGGGAGAACAGAATGGCATCAGAGGTCAAATAGGTATTCCAATAATTCTCTACTGGGTCCAAGGTTATGCTTTTGGCATTTAGACTTAAAAGAATTGTAACTACAATGATGATAAAACTTACCGTCTATTAATGTTTGCATTGGGAGGATGATGCTCATAGAAGACTTCAAGAAAAGGGTGCACCTGATTTTCAATACCCAATGCACGAGATGGAGAGAGAATCCGACAAGGCAACGTGGCCTGACTTGACTTGTCTCCTCGAGGACTTGAGAAGATAAGGAGAGGAAAAATTGTGTTGGATGTCACCTTGTCTTCCAGATTGACTGCATTGAGCTTCAAGTGAAACGCATACGACTGAGAGCGGGGTCGACTCTCCATGCCCACTTCCATGTCCTGGACATTGAATTCACACAATGGCTCCCTTGGGAAGGAAAAATGAACATGATCCAAAGTAGTCACTCCCTTATAAAATGCAGGATACCTTGGAAATAGAAAGGGCAGTTTTTTGGAGCTAAACTGCTTTCAGTGTAGTCCATGGGAATATTTTTGCCTCGACCTATTACTTACATTAATAACGTCTTGTTCTAAATTTATGAGTTGTAATGATACTTTGTTCTCAACTTTATTTAGTCTGATTACTTAGATCACTTAAAACCTCATCTAACTCCTCCACCCAAAGATGGTCTTGAGGTTCATTTACCTGGTGAGGGAAACAGTCTTCATGGCATATTGATTCAGTCTTGCAGCATGTGAAGATGATGAGAGGCAAAACTTCAGTTCTTTCAGCTGCACCCGAAGCAGCAAAAAGAGTGAATCCCGTTTGAAGAAAGTGCTGTTCTCCATGGTATCAGATAGGGCTTCAAGGATCTCTTCATCTTGCTGTGTGCATTTATATTGATCTTTTTCCCATTTTGATATTTCAGGCTCTACATAAAACAAATATTTCATGAAAGACAGCTGAGTAGTAATATGTGTTACACGGATATGGTCACCATAGAGAGGTCTACCAACAAGTTGAGCAAGGAAGTCTCAATAGAGTGAAGGTGAACTGACCCAGAACATAGCTGCCTTCAGGAGTCTCAGGGGGCGTATCATAGTTTTCATACCACCCACGCCATAGTGGGAAGAAGCGTTGAAGAAGTCCCTGTCCTTGATCACGGTTAGAATCACCTGGTTTTGCAATTGTTCCTTTCTTCATGATTACACTCTCATTTAAAGCCTCCATGGACAATTCTCTGTAAAAAAAAAAAAAACAAAAAAAAAAAGTTGATATAACCTCAATGATGTTAACATTTCTCAGTGCACTTAATTAAGCATTCTGTATAATTCACCTGAGAACTTTCAATTCTTCATAGGACCATTGCTGCTCACAGATTTCTTTATGGATCTTCTGTGATGATGAAAGTCCAACTGGATTGGCAAGATGTTCCTTATAAGCCTGGACATAGAGCAAAACATCTCTTGCCCTTTCAAGGGCATATTTCCAGTTCCTTTGCTGCTTTCGACGTCTAAAGTCCAACAAAAGAACATCAACCCCAAACTGCCAATAGGCACGAGCATTTCCCACCAGAGGTAATCTTGGATGCCAACGACAGTATTTCCTCTGTTTGTCTATGCAGTCAAACATCTGGACCCAAGCTGAAAGACACCTGAACTGTTCCTGTGAAGTGAAGAATGAATTAGTAAATCACAATTTCAAGAGAATTTTCAAGTTCCTGAACACTTCAAGGGAAATCAGTACCAGGCATAATTTTCACTATCCTATTATAAATTTAAGTTAGGAGGAGATGACTTTAGAATAGGTGTCAAATGAATTTGTGGTTGGAGCTGAATAAAATGAGATACATTTCCCTTCTTCAGTTACTTTTCAGAGTTTCTCTTCTGACTTTAAAAAACAGCAGCATGCAGTATCATATTTTCTAAGTAAAGATTCAATAACATATTAACCCTTTCACTACTGTAAGTAGCATGCAACCTGAACCCTGTGCATCGCCATAAGACCTACCATATGCCATGAATTTGCAGGCTCTAATGGAAGTTAATCCATCAACAGGAAGTTTTGTCAACTGCATTAGACATAAAACAGAAAACAGCCTCCCTTTGTGCCACTATAGCTAGTAAAACCTGTATGAAACATGAGGTATGCTGCATGTCATTATAGTATCAAAAAGGATTAAAGTATAGCAATATGATGAAGCATTTGCAAAAAAATATATACTCTGCTTTGAAATGCATATTTCAGGGAAAGAAAACATTAATAAGTAATTCAACGTCTTACAACATAAGTTATAGAAAACTGACTACATGCAGGTGTTTCCTAGGGCTAACATTTTTCCTCCTTAGAAAACAGCAGCAATAGCAATTGCTCTAAGATGCACTTTGATAAATTTCTTTAAAAGATATTCCCCACCTTCTCATGCCAGTGGATGTGGGAAAACAAATGATACAGAACTATCCCAACTCACATCAGAAATATTAAGAAGAATGTCATGAATCTGAAGATCACAAGAAAAACGTGGATTTTCCTTGTCCCGAAGTGGAGATTGCTGCAGGTTGTGCTTTAAACGAGCATCTGCACAGATGGGAGAAAGCAGATACTCATAGCTGCCTTTCTCCTGAGACTGTCGGAATAGTGTTGCCTGCAAGGAAGATACAACATCTCAACACCAAAAAATACCATAACAGAATACAAATGTTTTAGAAAACAGGAGACTATAAGGCAATTCCCTTTATAGAGCATTAACCATTAACTCATTTAGTACCACACTGCCAATCCATAGGCTTGATAACTTATAAACAGTTCTCATGGCACTAAAAGGGTTAAATATGAGCTTCATTCTTGCCTTCCACAGACAAGTTGAAGAAATTGTAGTAGTGCAAATTATGTATTGGGCACAAAAAATTACAATTCATGCTTTTGTTACCCATGGTAGCTTAGGCTCTCAGTAGGAGAAAGACATCCAGATGGTATCATTGGAATTCCAGGAATAAAATTTAGATTACACTGTCAGAACTTCAAGCCTGCTCTGGTTCAGCAAATTCTTAGCAAAATTATAGCCCACTAACAAATTCTCTCAAGTAAAAATAAAATCCTCTGACAGATACAACCTCTCAAGGTCAGGACTTAATTGGTCAAACCAATATTGGAAAATTGCTTCAGTTTGACATCTTGTCCATGTGGATGAATAAAAATTTTAAGAAAGTCAATAATAATAATAATAAATGATGGTAACTAATCAAAAGTTAACATCCCAAGTATTCATTTTCTTATAGTACATGAAGATGAAAATATACATTATTTAAGCAGTTAATAAGAAGAAATAAGACTTTTTCTCTTTCTGAAAAACACATGAAAATACCGTATTTACTCCAGTATAGTGTGCCACCATGTATAAGACGCACCCCCGCTTTTGAGGTCCCAATTTGTGTAAAAAAAGATTCCTCGCGTATAAGGCGCACCCCCCTATTTTGTAGCGAAAAGTGTCGGACAAGGGAGATGAAAAAGGGGTAAAGCTGGTCTTGAGGTAGGTCGAACCTCGTTTCTTATTAACTGTCCTGACCTTTATCGAGGGGGGGCACAGTATCCCTAACGTTTGTTTTATTATCCATGAAAACGGATGGAAATATACAGGGAAATAACACAGCTGCAGAGAAATCCATGTGATTCAGGAAGCGAAGGAGTTGGGCATCCGTACAATAGGTCATAAGTATGACATTGAGGAAAGTTGTAAACAGAAGCGGATGGAGGTGAAGGCGAAATTAAGCCCGGCTCTAAAGAATCTCATGGCCTTTTGTGAGGAAAAAGGAATCATTTCCGGTAATCAAGAAGGGAGTGACCGAGAGTGATGGAGACGCAAACCCATACGATTTCGAGAGCAAACGGGATCTCCCATAGAAAATTCAATGCATCATGAGGTTGAACGGCGCGATTCATAAGCAAGTTGGATTTTCTGTTCATCGGAAAACGTCAGCAGCTTTCCATGAGAAATCATTGCCTCTGGAACTGCCCCTCGGAGGAGGATGTGAGCTCCGCTAATCAATTTTCCATGCTGCCAGACACCTCAGATTCCAATTCCGATACTGAATGAAGTCTGTGAATCGACATAGCCACTCCCTGTTTATTGTTTTATAATTATTATATTTCTCCTGTTCTGACTGACTGCAGACAGTTTCCACCTCAAATTAGTGACCAATGAGTTATACATACGCTGAGCAATTTTTTTCTCGAAAAAGAGAATTTTTTTCCTCAAGTATAAGATGCACCCCCTCATCAAACACAATGAAATATGCAAAAAAAGTGCCCTATACACGAGTAAATACAGTATACCAATTCTGAAGCAAGATGTCAAAAGACAAAATTGATGTTCCCAAATTCAGGGATGCCAGTGAGTTAATGTGAGCTATATAATCAAGGATCCAGTGATGCATGAGCTCAAAGCTAGTGGCACTTAAGCTTTCTGCCAATGTGTTTAATTCTGCATGGCTGTGCTAGTTGTTGGTAAAACTGCACTGAAGTAAAAAAAAATCAGTGCAGAAAGAATTTATTGTTGATCCTCATAAAGCATTTGAAGGTGTGATGGCATCAAGGAGGAAGGCACCTTGAACACATTCTTTGTGGCATTGCAATAATGAGTAAATTTCCTTTGAGCTTAATTCTTATCCTCCCATATATTGATTAATATTTTATCAATATTGATATGGTTTTAGCAAAGGAGAGCTGCTTGAAATGCCTAATGAATACTTTTAAAATTTAGTACAACTCATGAAAATCTAATTTTACTGTGTCCACTTTTTCAACACACATTACATTCCCTTAACCTTGATTCAATTGCAAGCATATTTATTGGGAGGGAAAAGCATGAGGAAAGACTTTCTTATTCATAAGGAAGAAAAATAATGAAAGTGAAAATCAATACAATTAAATCAAAATTCCAAAACAGCTGCAAAATGCATAAGGATACTAATGTTTCAGTTCATCATTAGGCATTCTAGTTATGACTAGCTAGATATTTTAGTCTGACAAATCACTTGTGGATGACACTTACAGCTGCTTCACCCAAGGGTTTGTTGCCTAAGAGTTTCCCATGAACATTCCAGTATATTCCAAGATTCTTCAGTTCTAAGTACTTATATCTGAAGCTTGATGACTGTTTATTCTGAGGCATGTACTTGGGAGCCCAATCCTCATCACAGGTATGTGCAATAAGTGTTTCCAGAGTTAGTCCAAAAGTGAATGGCACCTGAGGATTGGTGAGCTGGTCCTCATATCTGAAATGAACATCACTTATCTGCAACTGCAGATAAGAGGAAAACAACATGAGATTCTCACATTCTGGAACTGAATCATCATAGTGAATCTGTGAAAACATACTTGAAGATTTTCTAAGATATTACTTGCAACAGACGTTCCCATGTTCAACCAAGAAGAATAGCTGCTTTTGTAATATGACTCTTGCTTGGCTTCCTTTTCTGCTCTCCACTTTGCCTCAAGGGTATCCAGCAATGACATTTTTCTTTCTTGATCATACATATCTTCTTCATCAGCATCATACTGTAAATAATCAAATTGTGTCAGTAATCACTGAATGATAGTGGACTAGCAGAGGTACCCGGCATTGCACAGGTGAATTTTGTATATGTCCCATATTTGTCTGCACTAAATAAGGTACTCCAGGGCAGGCAACCCAGGCAACCACCTGGGATGGGGGGGAGGGGGGGAGAATGCTCCTAGCCTAGGGTGCCATTTGATCTAGGGCCAGCCCTGCCCTGAGAGGTTCTGAATTTTGAAACACCCCCTAGCCTATGACCATCCCCAGATCAAATGAGGAAGTCATGCATAATTTAATCAAACAGGGATCAGAGGTGTGGCTGTGCATAAAGGACAGACAGATCGACAAACAAACATTCTGAAATATAGTATACTATAGATGCTATGAACTTCATTCTCTCACTTTGTAACTTTTCTCACTGTTAAGTGAACAGAAAATTACCCATAGAGTCCATTAAGACATAACAGAGTCCTCTTACTTCTGATGGATGAATAGGGCTGATGATGGCATATACTTGCTCCAAATAGATGATCCACGGAGATGATCTCATTCGTGTCATTGGGATTTCCAACCTCACTTTTCCTATGAAACCTGCCCTGACTTTCAGAGGCAAATCAAAATGCCTCAGTGCATCTTTCCTGATGGGCAAGTTCTCCATCTCCACTGATCCTGAAAAATAACGAGACTTTGTTTGCTTTGCCAATTGGAGAGAAACTTATTGGATACAAAAAGAGGCAATCTTTCCATACCACTCAACAAGAAGCTCTCCTTTACATCCCTTCAGATAACTCTGAGATAACTATGACTTATTTGGCTAATCAGTAGGCATATTTGGGGGATCCATGGGCTAAGATCCAAGGTGATTAGTGCATACTTCCTACCATAGGTGATAAGAGGTTGCCTTTATAGCCAGCTCCATAAATCCAATGTCCCACTATTGTTCAACTCACCTCGCAAGATGGCAATTGAGAGTTGATCAGTGTTCAAGTTCTCCACATACTTCCCAAGGTAGTTGTTGATCACCCATGCTGCCAATCCTTCCAGCATGATGGCACTTGGGAAGACTTAAAATTTCAATAAATATAGAGTTGACAGGATTGAATATGGTAAACCATCATATGAAACTACTGAAGCAGTGCTCCAGCACCAGATTGTATAAAAACACATGACATCTTGTCATACATCTGCAGCTATATAAATACAAGTGGTACATATAGAATACTGAAGAAATCTCAAGAATCTCACATTTCAAAATAAGCTAACCTAGACAAATATTCACCTGACAACTCCAGAGTTTAAAATAAAATCACCAATCTCTGTAGAATAAAGAATATCCAAATTGAGGAAATTCAACAAAATAAACCAGCCTCCATACATCACTCATCCTAGTAATGTCTTGGCAAGTGATGAGATAATCATTAAGATCATGACATATTCCATTTGTTAACTATTAATTTTGCTTGTAACAGGTACATCACCTCCATTAGAATTTTTCACTCTCTTGAAAAGGAACTACTACTCTGCTTCCTGGGAGAGATTATTTCTTGGGTTAATACAATCAAGATTAGTGTTCTCTCTGTGAGAGAGAACAGCAACCTTTAATATATTTGCAGCTTTATGAGTCACCAATGACTTGTACAACCTACCTACAGTATCCATAGGCATTTTGGTCCCACAGTGATAAGCTTATCGGAAAAAAAAACCTTTTTGCTTTACCTGCTGAATATGTACATTTGATTGTGGAAATCTCTGGGTTTTTGTAAGAATAAATTTGTTCACTTACATGTTTACATAGCATTTATGCTAACTTGCAAAACCTATGAAAATCATCAGGAATCTAGGGGGGTTGAAGTAAATCTAATGGATACTTTGAAAGCTATTGGATTAAAAATAAATTAAACTTACTTGACCAAAAATGGCTCAGGTAGAGGGTGCAACAATACAAAAAAATTATGTAACAAAGCAAATAGAAATGGCAGAGGAACAGTGAGGTGATTTAAAATTTCTTCATAAGGCAAGGTAAAGTGCTCAGAATGTATCAAAATATTAAAAAACTAGACTTCTACAACTACACCTCCTTAACAGAATGTCACATGGATGTAACAACATCTGCATGCAAATACTAACTATTACTCCCAAGATAAAAGCAATCAACTTGTTGGAAGACTTGTCCTAAAAAGTGCTGACATCCAGTATACTGAACCATGATTCATTCTCACTGTGCTCCTGTCCAGTATACTGGATTGAAATAACTATATATCATTCATTTGACCACTTGTCAAATCAGGGATGCAATATGCTGTCCAGCAAAGGGCAATTTACCTGTTGTGAATCCTAAGATAAAACCCAGTACTGGTGGTGTACGGGCCAAGAAAAAATTCAGCAGTATAAGGGTAAAGAGTTTAAAGAGAAACACAATAACACATAATTGTTCCATGACTTTACATAACACTGTCACTAAAGTAGGCATGAAATAAATTTCAGAATACCATCAATAATTACTAGTTTTCTGTGTGTTCAAGAATGAACATATCTGAATTATCACTTCTGCTTCACAAGAGTCACACTGAAAACTCTTCAAATCAGCAATGTAGATGTGTAATTGATTTTAATTTTTGGCCAGTGGATGATTGCTATCCTCCATGTTTACTCCCATCAAGACTTCCCCAGATACTGTTGTGCTTTTGGACAGTAAGATGAGTAACATAGGCCTATACCTCACCCACAAAAGGATTAGCAAGATCCCCAAGCAATGGCACCATAGGCTTTACTCAGATCAGGAGAAACTATAGTTTGATATGCACTCAAATATTTTTTTTTACTTAATAAAGCTTAACACCATCTAATATTGTTATTTTCCATGTCAAAAGCAGTAGGCCACTTCATAGTATCGATCGGCGCCTTGGCTTAAGGTGCTGTGGATATATTTAGAATATTTGTCCACATTTTATAAGTTCAAAGGTGTGATGAACCCTATTACTTATTAGGGGACATTCTTCACCAATTATCTCTTACAGATTAAGGGAAAAAGACAGGTAATACAGGACAGGCCTAATGCTGTAGTTGTTGCTGAGAGCCTGGGTTAAATTTGGAATTAATTTGGAAATTCTTGGATCAACTTTGTACTTTTCCAGAATGACTTCACACCTTTTCAAAATGACTACACGTTCTCTGAATGACCGATTATTCTTCGAAACAATGAAGTCTAAAACGGTAAAGATTGCATGGGTACAAAGTCGGTCTGAAAATGTAACTTAGTCCTATGAGCTTAAATGTAAAAAGTATCATGTTATCCCAAGTTCACTGTACAAACATGCCTCAAGATTGGCTTAATGACTTACAACCTAAGTGTAGCACCCATTGAGATTTCCTGCTTAATGTGGAAACACGTGAAAGAAAGGGGATGGAGGTGCAAAGGTATCAACTTCAGGCCACTAGTCACAAGACCTTCCGGTGTTTTGCATCACATGATTGCATGCTTTCGCGGTAGTGCGGGCGGCCATCTTGAACCGCCATGTCTACTATGGCTACGCAGGAGTTTAGGCGCTGCCACCTTTAGCGGGTTAGCTTAGCAATTTGAACAATCGGAGCTTTGGCTTGGTTCCATTCACCTGCCTCTCAGGACGTCGGGGATTGATCTCAAGCAACGGCCGAAGCTCGAAGCCGAGTTGGTTCATTTCCCTTACCTTGGCACGAGGGGGTTCTAGTTCCACCCCAGTTGGGATGTTTTTCTGGCTCACAGTCACCTCTTAATTCGTCTCTCTAAAACCAGCTTGGAGGAGCGCCCAAAAAAGCGCAACTCACAAAGGCAAGTATTCCAAACATTTCTGCCTCAGAAGCTACTTCCGAGTGAGGGGTTGGCTATGGAGGGGTGGAGGGTACAGTCCGATTTCCGTGGTCTCATTCTATTCGAACAAGAGGAGTCAGAATGTTAGTGCCTGAGAACTTCGAACTGCCATCGTTAAGCCAGTGCCAAAAGCATGAAGCGACAAGCTCCGGAAGATACAAGTGTGAGAGTGGCGAAGGCATTTTCAGGAGTTGGAGGCATTAAGGTAGGTAACAGACGAGCGCGGGGAGGGGGTTTGTCATGGGGGTTCGAGCGTCTTGCGGCCCCCTCTTCCCGCCCCTAAGAACACCATTATAGGTCGCTATACGTTCCTCCAAGGCTAGAAACAATTTATTATAATTTTTCCAAATATATATATATTTTTGGGAAGTACCGCTAGTGTATCAGAGCCATATCCTCAAGTATAATTATGCACTAGCACTATCTCTCTATTAAAGTTTTAGATAAACAACAAAAGGGAAAAATGAAAAACGATGAGAGGAAAAATGAAGAGCGGATCTTGCTGGCTGACATTCCCTCGCTTGGACGAGGAGCGAAGAAGGTTGTTTTACCCATGCAGAGGTAGCGCTACGCCAACGCGTTCTCGCGGCAGAAACGCAGCAAAACAGTCTCCAGGAACAAACTTTGCTCACGACTGAGAGTACTGTTCGTCGGTGGACGCAAATCGGTCTCGAAAGTGAGACCGTTCAACGTATTCCTGAACGAAAAACCCGTGAACCTCGATCGCAAAAAAAAAAGCCCCTGATCGTCAGCTTTGTCCGCTGTGAAGAAAAGCCGATCGGAATGTGGAGCCTCGCAGGCTCTCATTCTTCGTCCCGCGATGACGCGTGGAGGCTCCGCTCGTCTCGCTGCGAATCCCGCCGAGAACTCGATCAGACGGTGCGAGGATCGCATTCCCGTTCTATCGTTCGAGTGACGGGAGATTCATCGTCGAAGGCCTTTCTTTGGCAGGGACTCTTTGCAAGTTTTTCGCTGCATCATTCATCAGGAAAAGAAAAACATGCCATCTTCGCTTCAAAGTTGCTCTTGCACATTCTGGTAGATCATTCTTCGCTTGTCAGTGTCTTACCATGTTGAAAAGCCGCTCGGTGTAAAAATACAAAGCTATCTTGACGCGAAAAAAGAGCATATTCATCGTTATCATCGACGCAATGAAGAGATGGGACAGATCTCCTCGTCCCCCACTTGTTGAAATTAGCCCGATATATTTTTTCCTATTATTTTTTGTAAGCGTTTTTCAGCTATTTCAGGCTTTGTTCATCTCCCAAAATACACTCGCACGGAGACACTTCCCGCCATGCCTCACTTTTCGGTTCGGTTCCGCACATAATTGCTTGAATATTTTCGTACTACCGGCGACCAGCACCCCCAGACGCGAGACCCGAGGTTTCTTCCAAACTCTTCCCTAATTTTGAGCTCTTGCGTGAACTGCGGTCGATCACAGTCGGGCACTCCCTCGAAACGAGACCGGTCCGTCGCCACCAGAACGAGAAGAGGGAAGCGGATCTCCGATGAAGTTCACACTGGAGGAAGCCCGTTCCCGTCGAAACCAGGCGAACTCAGAAACGTCCGGAAAGGAAGAAAATGCACCAGATAGGTTTTCTTGCGTAAAGGTGGACGTGAGTCGCCACAAATGTCATTTCATTAGAAGATGGCTGTGTCACGCTACGATTGCCGATACGTTCTTACGCAGGAAACGGGTGTGCAATGAGTTATACGATGAGTCATGGGATCGCAATCACAAGTGCTTCTGTAAAGGATGTCTCTGTCTCACTGCAACAGGGAGGCGGATGGAGAGAGAAATTCCTCATCAGTCCTTTTCGCGTCGTCGACGAAGGGACTCAAATTCTGGCATGCTCACGCGACGGTGCCACTTGTCGCAGGATTTTCTGCTTTATTCCTTTACTCCTTAGCCAATAAGAGTTGTCCAAGACTATTTCGTCCTCGGATCAAAATCGTTTCGATACCGGCCGCTTCGCTCATCACGATAGTAATGCAGTGCAATGAAGGCCTGATCTTCATTGCACTGCATGAAATATTCAGCATTGTGCTGATTGATGCAGTCAGAACTTTTTTTCTTATATCCAGTACAGGATATCCCAATAGGACCATTCTTTAAATTTCTTCATTAGTTGATAATGTCTATAGAAACTTATGATATTTCATTCTCAAGCATGGCTGCTTTCTCTCTTAACCTTTATCGTACGGATTTAAATCTCCCGCATAAGCGCCGGCTGTCGGATTTTTTCTTCAAAGCTCTTAAACATTCGCTAGCTGATTAGTGCAATTGTCCTATTTATAAAATAAACAGTTGATAGTAAAGTCATTATTGACGGAGTATCAGAACATTTTCCCAAAAAAAATACAGTATAGCATTTGTACCTATAGGTGATGGAAAAAGGCATTCTGTGGCCCAAAACTTGCCTTTCGGCCGGTAAAGGTTAATTGAGAAAAAAAGTGAAATAATCATGAAATACAATGGATAGCCCATTTCCTCTTCAGTGGTCTTATTAAAATCTCCATAATTTATTGATCTTTTCGCTTTAGTTGCGAAAGTTTATGAGTCGAAATAAGCCGTGACCAAGTATTTTTTTTTTATAGGAAACATCCAGCATGCCAACTTTTCCAAGAAAATGCTGAGCAGAGAAGCTGTAAGCGGCATTGAGTTTGTCAAACTAAGTTTTTGCGGGCGGGGCTTGACATCCATTCCGTCGCTGGAGCATTTCTTTTTTTCTCAGGGGCTCTGCTGAGGCCTCCAGCATCTCATCACGACATATCAGGGCTGGCCTGCTCGACGCTCTCGAAGTTCACTACGTTCCGCTGGCAGCTGCTTGCCCAAGAGTGGCGTCCTTCGACGACGTGGTCCAAACACTGGAAACGCATGGTGTGCGCTAACAAGGCTGGCTGAGTTCAAAATAGGCGTCGAGGAATGAACTTCACGTCACACTAAATACCAGCACGAAACGCCACCACCATAGGCAGCACACCACGTTGGGCCCACGTTGGCTTCCCGGTGGCAACCACGTGATGGGTGAGTGGAGGAGCGTGGGCCAACTTCACTGTAAGCTCCCCGTGTAGGCCCCACTTCGGTGCTAGTGCGTCGGCAAACATTTGTCCTATCTGAAGGCAAGCCATCTGTCTCAGTTATTCGAAATGAAGCAATATGGCGCCGAAATATACAATATTTTAGTGGTATCAGGGAGTGACTCGCTGTAAGTCCACCAGCATTTGTTTTAAACAGACCAGAGACTTCCGGTAATTGTGGAGAAAGGACGGTTCAACTGAGAACCTGATTCCATGGGGTGAGATTGACTCATCACCTAACTGGGGGAGGTTGTGTCTAGTCATCCTTCGAGGGATGAAGATCATGGTGTGACGAAAAAGGTCATCATTCACCGGAAGCTATCTGACAGCGGGGAAAGAACTAGATGAGTGATGACTGAGGTCACAATGAGGATCTAATCCCATATGGAAAGTGAATGTCTCAGAAAGCGATAATCGAGGGAGGTAGTTACTATCTGGAGTATTCTTAGCCAGACCGAGAGAGACTTTACGGCAAGGTTCCTGGTAGATAAGAAACATTCGTGTGAAAATATATAAGCCTATTTCGGGGCTCTTCTAAGCCCATGCAATTGTGCCGCAAGTCAGCGTTTAATGTTGGCCAAACCGAGGGGGGGGGGGGGGGAATTGATGTTTAACTCAACGTGGGGCCTAGGGACGAGCCTACATGGGCTCAACGTTGGACCCACATCGCACATGTGGGAATCCAACATAGCCCCTACGTCAGTCTAACGTGTCTGTGCGACCTGGGACCATACTTGAACAAGCTCACTGGGGGTGTTGAACACATTGAAACCATGCTAAGTGCTCATTCGTTCCATCGATGCTCCGAAGGTGTGAAAAATTCCTTACGAAGCTATCCCCATCCCGTTTGTGTGCATCTCGCTGTTCGTTATCTGGCACAAATATCGGTTCAAAGGACTACGTAACTTTCCCGTTTTAAGAAAGATCTTCAAGAAAGAGCGTTTTTCCTTAGAGTGAAGCATTTCCTCACGCAACTCGACACTCTCGCATGGGAAGTACCCCATCGAGTGGGTGTCCGAGTCGAGTGAGAAAACCTCGGAAGGTTACAAGCACTTCGATTTCATCAGAAATGGCGATATTTGAGATTTCCTTCCTTTCACCTGGTTACAATCTGATGTTTTCTCACGTCGCATTTCGACTTCCAAAGTGGGAAGCGATCCCCGAGCAGTTCCGCTTGCTTTTCCTTATCGACCGATTTAACTTTTTCCAGACGAGCAGCTGGACGGATTGGAATTTCAATATCGCATTTGCCTTCCACATGTATCCACGATCGACTGAAAAAAAAACGCAAAAAACGTTTCTTTTCCGGGGAAAGGCCATTTTGTGGCGCCTGTCCCCTCCATTCGAATCAGAAAAACTGGTAAAGAAACCTCGATGCGAAATACGGCATAAATCGAATAAATCCCATCGACTGATCGATCGGAAGGCCCGCCGCAGCCCAGCACACGCTCGAGTTCCAACGGGACCGGCTATTTCAGTGCAGAGAAATCCAGGGAAAAATCCGTCTCCCAACGGATCTTTCTTCCCCGACTAGTGCCTTCGTGTGATCCTATTTGTATTGCGAATGAAAGACACATGGAAAAATATGTTTATTCTATCAGTTCTTGACCAT